TATGGCTCCTTTGACTTCTACGTTACTTCTACAGTGTTACGCCATATAGATGAGTGAAAGCAAAGTTTGTTGCATGTTAGTTTTGATTGTTTCTACGTGTTAACTTAATTTTCATTTGTTCCCCTTGGCAATTTCCGTTCGTTTATGTCATCAGTGTATTTACAGTGGTTGGCTCTTCTTTTGTTTTCTTTCGTACTCACTTTTTGAATACATGCAAATACGCATTTATTAAATGAGTTTTATGGCTTAACTCAATGTCTAACATCTCTTGAAACAAGATTTGATATGAGTACTCATGTTCTTGTGTACATAATTTGGTATCGCGGCCTTGATTTGCATCCTGAAGATATGTGAGTGTGTAGCTGCACGCTCGCACTCTTTCTCACTTATGAGTGCACGCGTAGCTGCGAAAGCGCCGCCGTCAGCACAGGTAATGCAGGCCCAATTACTTGACGAACATGTTGAGTGTACAACCAGCGAGGGGAAGAAAGCATGCTGAACTCAGTGAGGTATGCAATTGAGCACAGGCTCTTGCAAGGTAAGGGAACAAGCTACTGTACAGGTGAACAGGGACGCCGAACTATGAAGGCATAGATAACTGTCTAATGTGGAGCATGCGGTGGCGCCATGCGCGCAGAAGCCCAGGGAGACCGGTGAGGTTCTCAACGGGTTCCCATATAGCGCAATCTTTAGGGATGCCCTGCCACTTTACAAGATACTAAGTGGTTTTGCGTGTATCCCGTTGGTCCCAGGAATATTCGACCTCGTACTGTTCAGCGGGTTTCAGACGGCGCCGAAGACTGGCAGCCAGCCAACGGCTGCTTCTTTGGCGACTAAATTAGTGTCTTCAGGGCGATGGTATACAAACTGAGGTACGTGAAACAGGGTAGCGGTCGTAAATGAGGACCTCAGGAAAACCATGGTTGCGGACGATGCAGCCTGCAAGCAGTTCGATGGTTATCAGCTGCTATGGCAGTTCTTCGGTTGGCATAAATTGAGCCACTTCGCTCAGAGGCATGACAGTGATTAAAATAAAATCGTGTTTTAAAGCTGCAAGAGATAGGTTAGAAAGAAACTCGACGCTGACTTGATTCTAGCGGCGAGAAGGAAAAAGTAAGGGTTGAAGAGGGCCCACGGATTTCTGTGAAAGGGATTTGAAGGCGCAGCAATGCACACAAGATTCTACGAATGTCGTTGTGTGGTCGCGCATGGCAGTTCTTCGGTTGGCATAAATTGAGCCACTTCGCTCAGAGGCATGACAGTGATTAAAATAAAATCGTGTTTTAAAGCTGCAAGAGATAGGTTAGAAAGAAACTCGACGCTGACTTGATTCTAGCGGCGAGAAGGAAAAAGTAAGGGTTGAAGAGGGCCCACGGATTTCTGTGAAAGGGATTTGAAGGCGCAGCAATGCACACAAGATTCTACGAATGTCGTTGTGTGGTCGCGCATGCCTCGCCAGTAACAGTGTCAGCTGAGAGTGAGGAAGGTCGTTTTCTGCCCACGACGACCTGCTGTGACATGGTCATGATGAGCATAAAGCACGTGTGTGAGGAATTCCGGGAACTGCGGCACACAAATCCTTTACATACCGTCGATACAAAGCCGCAGATTAGGCGAATTGAAACAGAAAGCGAGGCACTGGTGGCGGGATCCGCACCGAGCAGGCTTGCGAGAATGCTCGGCGGCTGCGATGTGTAGCCCTTAAGAAACTGAACACTTCGTGTAAGCTGAAATATAGAGTTGGGGAAAAGAACTCTCGCTGTCGATCGTGAGAATTGGCCATGGTGTTGAGAAATAGTGCAGGTCCGGTGAGGGAGAAGGCTTGTCTTGATGGGGCAAATTCTCTCCAGAGGCGTTGGGTGCCTTATGGTCCTGTGCTGCGCCGCGCATGGTAGATCTCGGAGGACTTACATCGGGTGGACGAGGAGCTATCATGCGTACATCTGCTAGAGCGCAATAGTTCGTTAGGCACCTCCAGACGTCATCATGTGTTCAACGCCGTCTTCGCGTAGGCGCCAACGCAACGAGCAGCTGAGGAGGAGCCCTTAAATTCACACGAAGATCACTAAGCGCCGGGGGAAGAGAATATTGGAGGTGGCGTAACAAGACATGCGCCACCTAATTGAGTGCATCTTGTAAGTCGGTGATGGTGATATGCTAAAACTCAGCGAGAGAATCTAGCCAACGAGCACGCATGCAGCGGCTTCGACATGTTTAGCTGCTGTGGGTGACTAGTGGGCTGACGATCGATCGCTGTGCGCTTTAATATATCCGGTACGTAGTAAGTAGGGCAATTTTTAAAGCGCGGTGACCAAAGCGAGGTGTTCTTTGTTGTGTATCGAATGCTTCTGCCCAGCGAATATCATGACTTGGTTAAGGAAGTTAATTGCCTGGTGTTCCTGTCCAACGACTGCTTCTTTCGCAGAACCGGAAGCATTGGTTGACACTTCTAAAGGCTTCGTAGTGTGAATTACCTGTAGAGTGGTGCAATCAATCATATGTTGCTTGGGGCATTGCACAGCTTGGCTTTGTTGCTCTCTCCACAGGAAGGATTTGCCCTTTTGGGTGAAGCCGACAAGGAGTCGGACTACGCCGGCGTAGTCGAGGCACCACGTAAACACACGACAGTAATCAATGGCAGCGATGAATTGACTTGCTTGTATTTCGTCACTTAGCGCCTCTGGCCAAGCATGGATGCCTTGAACTTTGTTGGATGCACGTATGACGCCTTGAATGCTGGCGGTATATCCCAAGGTAGGTCAGCTTTTATTGTGCAAGCATGCACTTGCGAAACATGAGGTAGAACTGATATTGAAAAAGAAGCCGAACACTCGTAGCAGGAGGGCGCCGTGGGTAGCGAAATCGAGGTGGTAGATCAAGACATTGACGAGATAAGCAAAAACACCCTGTCTCGGAGGAGATTAAGGATAAGAATTGGCGTCAGCTTGAAAGGGCGCGCCTATGACCGTAAAACATGACCTTGTACTCATATTATCCAAAAACGGAGCGAACGGCTATCTTTCACCGGCCTGCTATGGCCATGCTAACTTCTTGAAAGCCTGCCCCAAGGTCAAGCGTGCAAAAGTGCTTAGGCCCCCCGAGGATATGTGAAATAGTTTGGATGGGTGGTAGAGAAAAATCAGGAGCAGTTGCAAGAGGGTTTGAAGCTTGATAATTGGCCACCATAGGCGTTTTCTGCACACCAGTATCGTCACCGCGTTTGCCAGCCATGGTGGTGGGAATATATATAGGAGAATACGTCGGGCCTCTCTATCCGTTAGATGGTAGCGTATGTATTTCTTGCTTGTGGAAGTTGAGTTGGTCCAGTGACACGCGGTATATGGCGGCCTTGCTAGGTAGTAGGCCCACTAATATCAGTACGGGATGATCTTGCGGGCTCTTTAGGGGGTCAATCTGCCAGTACTCTGACGGGACACACCTTCCTGTGCTCGTTAAGAGCCTCGAGCATTTGTGCGAGCGCCTTCTGGGCCTCTTTGGACAGGAACAACTAATCAGATTGCGTATAGTTGAGTGAGGCTGTTGCCCAAAGACACTCTTTGCCGTCTGTATCGTCTTGCAAGGAGGCTGCGAGCGAATCACTTCATTTTACCGGAGGTTCAACTCCCCATCCTTTTTCTCCAGGCTAATATCTGTACTGGGCATTAGCCTTGCCTAACCCGTTGCTTCCAACACTTCTTAACTTCTACCTATGCTGCAGCTGATGATGTTCAACAGCTTATGAAACCTCATTCAACAGTACAGCTCTAGGCTACCCTACAGACTAGCCGACACCCAATAAGCAGTGCAGCTGTATCGGCTGCTAGGACTGTTGTTAACGTGGTTCATAGGTAGTGTTAAGGTAACAATATCCAAAACTGCGCCAATCGGCAAACCTGTTGAGGAAATCACAAGTATTTTAGCTTGCTAGTGCTATGGCGGCTACAAAATGCTTTCAAGAAATTGATATGTGCGGCAGTGCCATATAATGCCGTATTCTCAATTCAGTTCCTGGTGTGAAGAATGGATATGCCCTTCATACCTAATACAAAGAGGATGCCAGGAACTAGGTGACCGCCACAGATTATGTCGTATACAGACACTAAAATGTACTCAAGCGCTTGTTCAAAGGCTGCCAAGTGCGTCAATCGAGCATGACTGGCATGTATGCTCTGAGGCACTGCGAAGCCTTTGCGTACCCCTACGTGACAGTTTCATGCGGAATTCACTTCATTTCGCCTGCCTTCCTGGTTAACCTGAAATCCAAACTCAACTGCCTTTGCGTTAGACTACAATCTCTGTGCGTTTCTGTAATGGTTAGCTTTGCTCAGTACCGTGGTGTCTAGGGCCTTATACTGCCGGCCCATGTAGACTAAGCAGCACAATCACCAGGTGCCTTTGCACCAAACCCAACTTTAGATACCATTCCGCTTGGTTTCTGGAGAGGTTGGTGTTTTTCCTCGAAGGCATGTTTTCTCGGATTGGCCGGCAGCCACAGCCCCCATTTGGTAATTTAGTACCATAATTAGTGTACCTCCCGTGCCTCCTTAAAGAGTATGCCAGGTGATTTAGAACGGGCTGCTCGAAAAGCGGCCTCATAGCCTCGCAAAAGATAGACTGCAGGATGGCGAATACTTGCAGGAGAGGTCTATAATTCAAGGCGGTGGACACTCACTTTCCTGCTAATCTGGCCATTATTCTGCCCATTTCAGAGTAATTGGGAATATTTTTATTCAACGAATATATTGTGAAATCATTGTTGCTGCAGCTGTTGCATGCGCATGGATTTGTTCCCGGCCCCTCGACAGCCCCACTTACAGCTGAAGCGGGGCTTCTTCTACTAGGTGTGGGCTGCAGTTGCGGCTTGCGCTGTTATGGTCTCTGTCCTTGGAAGGCTTAATAAAGTCCTCCTTTTGTAATTTCAAATACCGACGGAGGTATTTACAACGGGTCGCGCGGCGGCAACGCAGGAGGGAAGCCCACAGGACTCTTTTGCCGGCAAAATGGTGAAGTCGTTGGAAGAGAGTCCGATGCGGAAGATCCGCATCGAGAAGCTGACGCTGAACATTTGTGTTGGCGAGGTAAACATTTTCTGCGTTCTTTTTGCTCCTGAATTGCGATTTTTACACTGATAGTGCACAATATGACGCGGCGCGAATTGTGGGGTGGCGAGAGCTGGCCTGCATGCGATAGATTCGAGTGGTCATTCAATTGCGTTAGCAAGAATTAGGCAGAAAGTTTCTTGAGAGCTTCAGACTGCTGCAACAAATCATTTTGGGTATCCTGAAATTGTTTGGGAGGCCGGGCCGGCCAAGTTTGCGGAGGGCTTTGCCCAATTGCCGCTAGGCTGTAGTGTCATGCTTGGTCGATTGAAGCGGCGCATTCATGTCGTTGCCACGAAATATGATTTTTTGTGCTATGCTGTGTGCTGTATGCAGTCCGGCGACAGACTGACCCGCGCTGCGCGTGTGCTGGAGCAGCTGACTGGCCAACGCCCGGTGCTGTCTCGTGCGCGATTGACCATTCGTTCTTTCAGCATTCGCCGCAACGAGAAGATCGCATGCCATGTGACAGTCCGCGGCAAGAAGGCGGAGGAGATTTTGGAGAAGGGCCTGAAGGTCAAGGAGTACGAACTTAGAAAGAAGAATTTCTCCGACACTGGCAACTTCGGCTTCGGTATTCAGGAGCACATCGACTTGGGGATCAAGTATGACCCATCTACGGGTACGCTGAGACGCAAACAGCTGTTGAGGCAATTTCTGAATCTCCTTTTACATGGACAATGCGGGGCCGTGATGGGTGTTCCGTGAACACAGCAGACCCCGTCACTGCCCGATTAGATCTGTAGATTTACTTGTGGCGAGTTCAGATTTCCCAACAAAGGGGAAATTTAATGGCTCTGGGGCCGTGATGGGTGTTCCGTGAACACAGCAGACCCCCTCACTGCCCGATTAGATCTGTAGATTTACTTGTGGCGAGTTCAGATTTCCCAACAAAGGGGGAATTTAATGGCTCAAAGTCGGAATAGTGCGTATATAGGGATGGGCGAATGCCTGGGCGCGCATGCATGCATATGTATACTCGTTTGTGTGTCGGGGACTTCAGGTATCTACGGGCTGGACTTCTACGTGCATTTGTGCCGGCCGGGTCTGCGCGTCTCGAAGCGCAAGTGGGCACGGGGCCGCATCGGGCACCGCCACCGCGTGACGAAGGAAGACAGCATTCGTTGGTTCCAGCAGAAGTACGACGGGATAGTTTTGAACCGCTGAGTTGACTGCAGGCGTTGACTGCAGCAAGCAGCGGCAGTTTGGGCCTTTCTGAACTGGGGGGGAGGCCCCCTGTTGCTTGCCGCTTCTTTGCATGCACCCTAGCCTGCGGCTTGCGCATGCAAAGGACAAGTGGCGCCGCCACGACGGCTCTTCAACTTCAGCACTTCTTCCATACCTCGTCCATGTGTCTCTTGGGCAGCACAGAGGCGGCTTCCAAGTCCCCGTAGAACTGCAGTTCCAGTGTTTATACTCTTAGTGAATATTCACATGAGTTCACTAGGCTAGCAAGTAGGGGCTCAAAATGTATGAGCAAATGGGGTGCGTGCAAATAGTCAGATGAAAGTGCAGCTGGAGTCCATGCGAATACGTACGAAAAGATAGTGCATAGTATTCAAAGCAAGTCTAGAAGCATGTAATGATCTGTTGGCAGTAGCGTGGGTAGAGGTAGCAAAAAGGCTGGCAAGGCACAGAGGAGCTAACTGCCGCCGCCTCTGCGTCGGAGCCTTTTGCACTTGCGTTTGCCGCTGCATTTTCCGACGCCACATCACACACTAAGCTCTAGTAACGGATTTGGCACTCTTCGGCTGAGGGCAGTGGAGGCCGACACACTTCGCGCCCCAAACTACGCCTCAATCAGAGATTTTCGCGACATTATTGCGCAGACAACGCCTTAGAAGACTGTGCGGGCACATCCATGCAGGCTCACGAAGTGCGGGGCAGTTGTGGGCCGGCGCGGGGGCACGCACAGTCTGCTGCTCGCGAGTTTAGTGTCCGCGTCACGGCTGAGAGTCGATCTTGAGTTCTTTGGCCAACTCCGCAGAACGTGAACGGGCGGCTTGGGCTGCGAGTTTGACAAAGTCTGTGCCGAACTCCTCCTCAATTCGCTTTTTCATCTTTCTAATGGCTCCTGCACACACCACACCGAGATGTGAAGGGAAGCCATCATCAGGTGGTGTAACGGCACAGCGCCAAAACAGCCACAGATGCAGTGCGTCATAAGACGCAAGCCCTAATCATGCAAAACCTTGAAAATAACCTGCCAAAGCCCTTACCCGCCGGATCCAAACCTTTCGGGCACGAAATGGAGCAATTCATAATGCCGTGGCACCTGCGAGAAAGATCCGCATGCATCGCATGTGTTTCATCTCTTACGATTCCGATCAAACAGTCACAAACGATCTAACATTAACTTTAGCACGCAAAAATGCACTGAAGCCACAGCCTGTGCTCTGCAGGGACTTTATCGTGAAAACGCAATTACGAATTAAAGCGGTGCAGAAGGGAGAGGGAACGCTTGAAGCGTTGCTTTGAGGTGTATCGACAGCTCAGACCGGCAGAGGAAATCAACCGCGGCTGACCTGTACAGTTTCATCGTGTCGTTGATTTGTGCGAGACGTTCGCGAGTGAATTCATCGCGACTGTCGCTTATCCACCTAGACAAAATAAAAAATGAACACCGACCGGACTGGAAACAACTGCAAGATATGCAAATCATTTACACTCTGCGTGCGCAGGCAAGACCAACTCTGTGTGCTTTTGTTCAGTTTGCGGTCATGCAAATTCTATCAGCCAAGTGGCAACGCACCTGAAAGCCTGCATCAGCACAGCAGGGCCAAGATAAGACTGAGGGTTCCACCAGTAAGAAGGGCACGAAGTTGAACAACACGCGCACAAGATGCATTCATACAGCCCATCGAGTTTCGCGCGGTCTTCAATTGACTGCAGAATCTCAGAGCCTTCCTTCTACAGCAAACAACACAAAACAGAGAGGAGAAAGACCACGCATGCACACTCGCCAGGGCTTCATGTGTCCAGACAGCTCAGCCCACAGTGCTACCTTCACAGAACAGTTTCACGACTTGCGCAGTTTTATTTATACCGGTTCTGTCTTCCTCTGCAGCCAGGGCTGGATGGACTTGTACTGCGTGTAGAAGTTGGTGAGATCGGGCACCAAATCCTTCAGCACCATTAAGTACGGCAGCGGGACAATTTCAACTGGGGCGCTGTCATCATCCTTTTCGAAGTGGTCGTGATACTCCTCAGTGCTGGGCCCCTTCATCTGGTCCTGGGCCTCCAAGCTCTTTTCAATGGCGCCAAAAGCGGCGCCCAGAGTGCCGCCCTCTGCCCAGGCGCAGCACAGGTGCAGCACATCATAGTGCAAAACAAGTTCTTCCACATTAATGTACTTATGTAGCAGCACTACACGCTGTGTGTGCTGCCATTAGGCCCGCACAGGCCACGCTTTCACCAATTTTTGCGCCGAAAGGCCATCGACAAACACAGCATAGACGCAGAGGGATCAAGTGCATGCAGATTGAAACGCTCACGGATCTTAGGGCTTCTGTGGGTGGAGCGGTGGGTCTTCTGTATGGGCGTGAGGCAAGCGAGGCAATTTATGCCGTCTATGTTCATGGCACAGGAGCCGCAAATTCCCTCGCGGCAGCTCCTGCGAAAAGTGAGGGTAGGGTCCTACAACAGCAACAAAAGGGCACCAGCAAACACACAGCACGGTGCAGCCATGCGTCTAATTTGCAGCGACTGGGTGGTGAGCAGCTGCACATGCGCTGCACGAGCCGGCGCCTCAAGGCGCCGATGCAGCTATGGATTCCTTCGAATAACATTCAGGGGAGGCCACACACATCTTGGCGGGAAAGTTCAAAACAAAGCAGCGCGCAGACTTAGCGCAGCTGTGTTACGATAAATTAAGAGGAAATTGCACCTGTCTGTCCTTTATAGCAATGAGGGCGTCCAGGACCATCGGGCCACAGGTGGAAGTATCGAGCGTGTACTCCTGCATGTGAGGACGCCCGCCCTTCTCTGGATCATATCGGTGGATGCGAAAAGTAAGATTTGTGCCGCCGGCATTGCTGCTGAAACTCGCGCGGTGCTGTGGTACTAAACCCGATAAGGCCGGAGAAGCCCGCGGAAATAGGAGGCGACAAGCAGCCGACACACCCGCTGGGGACAACGAAGAAGTAAGGCGGCGCATTTCCATGAAAATCAATGAGTTAACTGGCCATTCGAACAGTTGGGCTTCGCTCAGTGTACAGACAGCTCAGCTCTCGCCGGCATGCATTTGTCGAAAGCAGCCTAGAACTTTGCGATCATTGGCCCAATTTTTTGCGTTGATCTCCTAAAAGGTGCACCATACTTGAGAAATCTAAATCCTTTCCACCTAGCCAGATGCTCATGCATGCAAAACGCATGCACAACAACGAGAGTAACAAAATGCGCTGCGCGAAGTCGCTCCCTTGGAAGCGCCGTTGTGTGCCTTCTCAGTTTTCGGTAGTTTTCACTGCAATATAGATTATGGTAGTCCTAGATTTTGGTCTCGCCTGCAGCTGCCCGTGTTCCGTTTATAACTCTGTTGCCGACTACTGTTACCGCTACACCATCGTCCTGGAGCCTAGAACATAGCCTGTGTTAGGCAGTTAGTTCTGCCTGGGGAGCTTCTCAGCTGGATCTCTTCTTTTCAGCTTCTCCAAGTATCAAACACTGCTCAGCATTTATCAAAGGCACAGATTGTGGTGCTAATCTGCCGATCAACTACATTGCTTTCGTCTCTCCCTGAAATGGATTTTAGAGCAACGCAAACCTCCGTGACCATTACCCTCAGACACATCTATGGAGACCTCTAGTTTTGTTCCCCTTTCTAAGCAGAAACAAAAGTGAAGGGAGACAGTGCTTGAGGAGTAAAGAGTTGCATGATGAACATGCGCAGGTCCGCTGTATAACTCTATGTAGGTGTCATTGCAGGAAGTGACCGCGAGTGTCCCACCACATCAATTCGGTGGTTTTTTCAGTTACAATTAGCGCAAATACAGGCATTATAAGCTTCAATTCATAGGGGGCCCATGAACTGTGGTCTAGTCCATTGCCATCGATTGTTATTTAAATCTACGCAGACCCGCTAGCCTCAAGTGCAGGTCTAGTCCTGTGGGAGGTCCTTACGCTGTTTTCTCTTCTACATTGTTTGACAAAACAGACCCCCATTTGCAGCCATGTCTTGTCTTTCGTGAGTGGCCTAGACCTGAGGGCGTCGCTACATGCGGCATCATCTTCTAGCCACAAGTGGAAAAGATCTTTTTAGTGGAGTGTCGCATATAAGAAGTATTCTCAAACCTGCGACACTCAACGTCTTGTTGCAACTAGCCCACAGGATACTGGAGTGGCTCTGTTGTTATCGAACTAGGGGAAGCGAAACTGCACTCAGCTAAATTGTAAGCTCAACACAAATCACAGCACCAATCTACGCTGGAATAGCGTAAAATTACAGATTTAAGGTGGAGAAAGTGGAGCCGTTGTCTGCGCATCCTAAGACAATAAATCATGTAGATGAACAGGTAGGACAGAGGCTGACACACCTTGACAAAGTAGACTAAAAAACGTCCAGAAAATAGAATGTTCGCTTTATTCAAGTACGTCTGACTCTCTCCAGGCGACAGCAACTGTGCTGTAGCTCTGACGTACGCCCATATACAAGTGCGCATCTCCAAGCGTGCCGGCTTTCTTTGTATTTACCTACTTGGTGTCTGTACTTACATGGCCTTAGACACGCATTTGAAGCATCCCTAAATAGCTAGAATGGTTAAATCCCAACAGTTAATGTGCTATGTGGGCGAATGCGCCCACTCCACAGAGGGCTGAATGTGCCTTGACAGCGGAGCAGACTGTCGGTGCTGCTTTGCTTGCGACAAGCTGAACTTGAAAGTGCATGAATATGAGCGCTCCAGTGGACATCCTCGTGTCTTTCTGTGGGGACATCAAGACAGCACACTCCTTTCTTTGCAGTTACGTTGATCTACAATAGAAATAAAAGTGAAATGCCGCACTTATTCATTACTCCCCTTGTCCTTGGGGATCTCTCCTGCCCGTAAATTCAGGCAAAGAGCAAAAACGTGCAAACGTAGTAGCGCAGGAGCAGGCCCATGGCGCAGCACGCGGCTTGCAGCAACAACAGAATACAGAGAAGCCGCTGCTCCGTCATTGGGCCAAAGATCTGCAGTAGCAGCAGCAAGAAAATTAGCAAAACGTCCAGATGTACAGGAAAGCTTTAAATCATTACATTACACATAAAATGAGTATCTGAAAAATTCAAAAATGAGTGGCTCACCCATAAAACAAGGTTTATCAACGTGAAGTTCGGCGAGGGCGCCAACAGCCCCAACTCGGGGATGTACCTGAGGATACACAAACACAGCATTTTCTTTTACCATTGCTTTGTGGATCACATAATTACGTTTTATGCAGCGTTTACAGTAAAAAGAAATAAAAGTTGTCCGTGCTGCGTAAATAGTGCAACAAACAAGACAGCTATACCAAGAAATCTTACTTGGGAGTACGATGACGAGGGCACGGAACGAAGCCGAGGAGCTGCGAAGCAGCACACAGAGATAGGAAACCCTATCAAATGACTCATAAAATCAACTGCAACTGTGTCAAGTAAGTGTTAACGCGCATATGTGGAGGCGAATCTTCAATTATATACAAATGCAGCTGAGAAACAGCTCGTCTGTGTCCGTTCCTTGTTTTTCTTCGCCTCATGGAGCCGGTGTACGAAATTGAAGAAAACCAGCGTATCAACCACCAATTAACAAAGCCAATCGCTAGTTTGCAATTATACAAAGGAGTGTACAGAGAAATATTGTGTTTATTTGGGCTTTCTTCCGTGATAGCAGCTACACAAGTCTCACCTGAGGGAGAGAAATAAAAAAATTCAGAAATTGGGGGATAAAAAATAGCAGCAAAGTCTTAGAAAAATGGCCTAAAATCCCGGCAGCAGCCAAAACTACGCCCTGCAACAAAAGAAGTTAGCTTTACAATGCAAAGCTTGAGCACTTGGCCCTCCAAATCAGAGTCTTTCTTATTTGAAGATGAGTGAAGAGTGCATAAACGGCGGACTTGCCATAGTCATTGTCTTATTACTTAGAAGTCCCAAAAGCAAAGGGCTATCGCTGGATCCCTCAGCCTTAAACCCTTTAAATTACTTACCGCAAAGCAAGTATATGTATCTCCTACGAAGACGCGCGATGGATACCTACAAACATAGCGCACCCGCACAGTTTCGGCACGAGATAACGTGAACTGCTACAGCAGCAGCACCCAAAAGACTGATAAAGCTCGATGAACAGGGACACTAATGCAGCATTGGTACTTACAGCAGATCCAGCGAGAGCAGCTGCAACAACAGCAGCAGCAGCAGCAGCAGCAAAAGCAGCAGCAGAAACGATAGTATCTAGGTTACCAGTTATGTTTCAGCAGCGCCAGCGAGGTGGCGAGGAATGGCAGGCAAAGAACTAAGGAGAAAAAATGCTGCAAAGCAACACACCATTGTAAATACAACGAAATGTAGAGAGGACAACTAAGGGCCCACTCGCTGCAAAGGGAGTATCGCCAGCTTCTCGGCATTACCTGCTGCGCCAATACCACCTTGGCTGCATCCACCGAGCCGAAGTGGGAGCTCAGTTCCTGGAAAGGAAGCAGCGGCAGAAGCAACAATACGGCAACACTAGCGGCAACAAAAGGAAAAAGTTCTCGCCGCAAAGCCCGCAGCAAATGACATGCAAGCCAAAAGAGAGGATTTACTCCCAAATCTGATGCGTTATGAATTTTTGTGTAGACTCATGGGCAGCCAAATGAGAACAGCTACAATTCAGCTGCTTCAGCAAATCTGGGCTGCTGCGCAGGCAGAATGGATTGCTGCAACACATGTGGTGAGTTGTTGCGGCAGCAAAACGACCAACAGCGTTTGCCACTTCATCTACAAGATGCAACACGAAGCACTGATAAAGCGATTTTAAAAGAATGGTGAAGGAAAAACAGCACATGTAAATGCCAAGAAGCGCGCTTACAATGACGTTGTGAATGCAAACAAATGAAGCAATGACGACCGATTGTCCCACCTCCAATCCATTTATCCCTAAAATCATAGAAGACATTATACAGACATTGTTCATTTGCTCTTTGTGCTGCTGCTGTTACTGCGGTTCCCGCTGATGTTCTTGCTTTAATCCGCGTTGTCGCTGCTGCAGCTGCTGTTTGTACTGCAAATAGTATGATAGCGGCTGCTTTCGTTTTCATTTGTGCTGCTGCTGCTTCTGCTGCTCCCGTTGCAAAAGCTCACCTGCATAAATATTTATTGCGTTTGTACAGAAGATAGTTAGAAGTGTCATGTAAACATAGTACAGCTCTCTCACGTCAACCAGCACCCAGAAACCGCTGCTGCAGCTGCCACTACTGCTGCTGGTCAGAAGTTTCGGTTCAGAGGGTAGAAGATGAAGGACGTTGTGCTGCAGCAGTAACTGCAAGTCACACAAGAGTTATCTCTTCAAGGCAGAGCTACAGGGGAGAAGGCGCAGATGCACCTTATACTTACGGAAAGAAATATGCTAAAATAGATCTGACCAAACTGCAGAATGGCAAGCAGCCCACACAAGAATGGCGGATTTAAGTTGCATTCAAGCATGCAGACGCAGCGCCTGAGAAGCGAAGAAACTGCAGAGCAGCACCGAAGCAAAGCAGCCGGCAAAACTCACCAATAGATCTGACAGCTGCTGCAGGCCCAATGAAGCGCATCTCGCAGCAGAAGCAGCAGCAGCAGCTGCTGCCGCTGGAATTGAGGAAAGCAACTTAGAGTGGATCTGCCGCAGTTGCAGCTCCCACTGACAGAGCTGCTGCATGAGCAGCAGCAAAGCCCCTACAAGATGTTTAATGGGCAGCTCAACAGCTGCAGCAACATTCGCTGCAGCAGGCGCAGCAGCAACAGCAACACCAGTCCACGCGTCCCGGAGAAGCGTATACACCCGGCAAGGTAGCACAACGGTAGTGCTGCCACTGTAAGCAGCAACTATTGGAGATGCTGCAAGCAATGGCAGCAGTAGTTTCAAGCGCCACGGTAGAGCCAAAGCATCATCAACAAAACCCAGAAAACCCATCCAGGTCGCCCCCAGCAGTGCAGCCGGATACTCCACCAGCTGCACACACACGTCCATAGAAACTTTAGCTGCAGAAGAGCGCTATTACTGCAAGCTGCACCAACACGGAAGTAACAGCTGAGACATAACTAATAACCGACAGGAGACGAAAGACGCAGAAGGAGCAGAAGCAGGCGCAGTAGCAGCAGATTTACAAGAGCTGGTAACTGCAGAAGCAAAAGCAGCAGCAGCAGCAGCAACGCGCACTTGAAGATGACGCCTATCCAGCAGCAGCTGTCCTGCAGTGGCAGCCGCGAGAAAGCAAAAGATGCAGCAGAGGCCACCTGCCTCAGGAACAAGAGGAGAGGGAGATGGCTTGTGCAGGTCGCGACCTGCAAAGCCTGCAGCAGCAGCGCGGCAGCAGCAGCAATAGAAAGTGCTTCTTTGTGTTCCTGAAACTCGCAAGCAATGAATTCAATGAACAAGAAGCACGGAGAACACAACAGCGGCCGCGTATGCACAGCATCTACACACCAGACAAGATCAACATGAGCAGCAGTCGCGGCAGTAAAACCACGAGCAGCATTAATAATAATGACAGAACCAATGGCAGCAGACAGAAGAGAAACGGCAGAAGGAGCAGCAGCGGCAGCCGAAAGAACAGCATCAACATGAACAGCAACCCTGGCAGCAGCAACAGCAGCCGCAGCAGCAGTAGCAACAGCAGCAGCAAGTACACGACGTCATGAATGCTCACCGCACTCAAGCAGCTTCCTCGCAAAGAGAGGCATGAGTCGATCAGCAGCAACAAACGCGGCAACAGAAGCGCAGCAGATAAGCTGCATGCGAAGACTGATGGCAGCAGGAGTTAAGGAGAGGACAACACAAAGCTGCAGCAGCAGCACAAGTAGAAAAATCCTTGAGCCTGGTTCCAGAGATGTCACCTCCAACCTATGGCTTCCACTACTAGTACTGCCGCTGGTGCTGCTGTCAGCACTGCCGTTGCTGCTATTAGCACTGCTGTTGCAGCTGTCAGCGCTGCTGTTGTTGCTGTTGTCAGCACTGCTGCTGTTGCTGCTGTCAGCACTGCTGCTGTTGTTGTCCTGAGGTTGGTGTGTCTCCCCATTTTCCCCACTCTTTTGTCTTTGTTCTAGACGGCTCCGGGATGCCCCTGCAGCAGATGTTTCTTGGCTTCTGCTGATTCTGTCGGCCCTATTGCTGCTGCTGCAGCGGGGGCTGCATTTGCAACAGCCGCACGCAGCGCTGCTGCTGCTGTCGCTCCTTGTGCTCTTGCCGGTGTGCCTATCTGCCAGTTCCTCTCCTCTTCTCACTGCCTCCCTTGACAAATCCGCATTCCCTGTCCTCTTTTTCTGAGCGAAGCAGAAGCAGCAGGAGCTGCTTTGGTCGCCGTTGCTGCTGCTGGATCTGGTTGCTGCTGCTGCCACTTCAGCAGCATCAACCCACCCACAAGAAAGCGGAGAGGATGGCTTGGAGTGGAAAGCTCTTTGAGCTTCAACTGTTCCATTTTCTGTTGCTTGTGCCATTTTGAAGAGCTGATGCAGGACCTCGTCTTCACATCTCAAGCATGCGCTTGCAGCCACTGTTGCTGCTGTTGTCGCTGCTAGCACTCCTGTCGATTGAATTGCTGCTGCTGCCTCTGCTGCTGCCGGTGCTGCTGTGTTTGCTGCTTGGCTTCCTGCAATTTTTCATGCTGCTTCTGCTTCTGTTGCTGCTACCGCAACTGTTGCTGCTGCTGCTGCTGCTTGCTGCTGCTCCAGCTACTGTTGCTCGTTGCCTTGGGCTTGCCTAGACCTACTGCTGCCTATCCATCTGATATGTAGAAGTCACAGCCGAGGATGTTGAATATGGAAAGCCCTATAAATGGAGATGAAATCGGCGTCGCACGGCGGCTGCCTGGTGAGCTGCTTCCGCTGCTGCCGCCGCTGTTTATGTTCGTAAAATATACTTAGTGTCAATACACTACACAAGCAGTCTTTGTTGTCGTCTCACTAAGACTTTCGGGTCTCAGCTTTAAAGTCCGGGCTCAGAATGAGGACACAGGTGACGGGTCAGCTAGTGGAGACAACGGCGCTGGGGAGTACAAAACAGTTGGAGTGCCCCTAAAGCTGCAATCTTAATGCTCAGACGTGACGGAAAAATGTAAATAGTTAGTATTCAAGTAATAATTGCGTACACAGCTTAATTGGTCTGGCCATCGGGCTGGGGGCCTCGTGTTGGGGGGCCCCCTAAGGGTTGTCTCTGAGTTTATGCTGTTACATTTTGAGATCTGGCGGCTATTAATGAAAAATTAAATATAGTTTTCCTTTTTTATTTCTTTGTTTTCCCGGTGCTGCTCCTTAATTCTGCAGAGGCTCCCTCCACAGACCTCCTTTTTCTCGTCCGTTTCTCTGGGTTCCATTTCCTTCCTTCCACTCCTTCTCAGTCTCGGTTAACCTTTTTCCTGAATGTCTGCTGTACAGTACCCTGGTGCATTCATGACATTCGCTCTTCTGCTCAGCATTCCGAGCTCAATACCCAACAGCAGCAGCAGCAACATTAGCCACAATACCAGCGAAAGCGGCGGCAGCGGCAGCACACTAGGGTTTTTCAGCACTCCGCTGATGTTCATGAGATCCTCAGCGGCACCAGACTGCGGTTTTCGCAAGCCTGGCTCCGCGAGTTAGCCCTTGTCAGCCGAGCCACGAATCACTGAATTTGAATGTGAAGAGTTGAACAACTGGGACGCAAAGTTTGCGCCTACAGGCCTCTCCTGCAATGTATCTACGGCTCAGAAGGCGGGCAGAGCAGTGGCTACCTCTGCCTCCTAAATGCGCGTGAATTCTTCCGCAGCACTAGCAGCAGCAGCAGCAACAACAAACGAACGAAAATGGCTCGGTGGGTCTCTAGCGACTCTGCCGGCCGCCTTTGTTTTTTTGACTGCGCTAATGGTTCCAGGGTTGTCCATCCTTACATACGTCGGAGCAGCAGCAGCAGCAGCAGCAGCTGCAGTGGCACGGGCAACAGGGGCTACTTCGAGAAGCTCCTGCAGAGTCACTGCAGCTGCTTGACATTCAGTGGGGGTTGGGGTGGCTATGATGAGACAGAGGTGACACTGGGAACCTCTGAGGGCGGCATTTTCGCTATCAAGTCGCACTGGCCTGCTTCTGCACCAGCTACCATTCCTGCTGCTGCTCCTGACTGTGGGAATCAGGACAAAATAATCAACAGTAGCAGCAGCAGCAGCACGTATTTTGATTTCCCGGAGACAGAAGGGAAGGCTGAAGTGCTGCGTTGTGCGTCTCTCCCCTACTCCGTCTTGCTAGTGCAGATGCTAGGTGTGCATACACCTCAGCTGCGGCGTCTGCTGTCGATCTCAGAGGCAGCAGCAGGAACAGCAGCAGCAGCTGAAGCCGAATTTTTGGGCCTGGGGGATGCTGTTTGCTGCAGCAGCAGCCACAGTGCCAGTGGCAGCGCTGGCAGCAGCGGCTGCTGCTGCTGCCACACGCGAAGTAGCGAACTCTTCGGGTCGGACCGGCATCTGCTGGCAGTCGACAAGGGAGGCAACGGCGTCGTGCTAGACTGGAGTGGCAGCAGCAGCAGCAGCAGCAGCGATGGTCTTTATGAAGCGAATGAATTGAAGGGATTCTCACTGCGGGAGCCGCTTTGCTGTTGCAGCAGCAACAGCTTGCTGCAGCAGCAGCTTGCTGTTGCCTCTGCCACAGCTGCATCATTTCTTTCCGTATTTGACATTGAAGCTAATGCTTTCTGCTTTTATGCTCACGCCCCGCCTGCCGCAACAGCAGCAAAGACCATACTTCGCTGCAGCACCAGCAACAGCAGCAAGCCCCAATCGGGCAACAGTTCAACCGCGGATGCAGCAGCTCCTGCAGGCAGCAGCAATAGAGGGGGCGGCAGCAGCCGCCTCCCTGTGTACGCTGACGTAAGCCCCCCGTGGTATCAGGGGCCGTCTGCTAGTGCAGTAGCCGCTGCTGCTGCAGCCAGCAGCAGCAGCAGCAAGCTTCAGCAGCAAGTTTGTACCAGTGTCACCTGGCTGCCCCGTCTGGGGCCCAGCATCCTCTGCGGCGTCACTGCAGATGCCCTGCTGCTGCTCTACGACACCAGGGCCTCCTCGTATCCGGTCTACCTCACTTCAACTTCTAGGCAGAGGGGCCCAGTGGGGCCCCTGGGTACTGCACCTGCAGCAAGGGGGGCCCTCTCAGAGCGGGCAGGGCCCCCCCGCCCGATGGTCTACGTCGGCGCGCAGCCAGGTTTGGTTGCTGCTTATGATGAGATGGAAGCGGCAGTACTGCCGTGCTGCTGCTGCTGCTGCAGCTGCACAGCATGCAAAAGCCAGCGAAGGGGTCAGATGGAGCAGCAGCAGCAGCAGCCCCGTGATACGCAGCAGCAAGAGTGGCAGCAAGAGTCGCTGTTCGAAGGCCATAGGGGTCAGCTTGTGCTGAAGCCCCACGCAACCCACAGGAAGAAACATGGCAGCAGCAGCAGTAGCAGCAGCTTGCGGCTACTGTCTAGCAAGCTGCGGCAGCGCATAGACGAGGATTTTGACGGCCTCATTGAGTGTTGCATGCAGCGAAAAGGTGCAAAGCCGCGACGCCAGAGCAGCAGCAGCAGCAGCAGGATAAGCAACAGCAGCGGTAAGAGCAGCGCATTATCAGCAAAAGCAGAAAGTGATGCAAAAGTAACTGACAGGAGGGAATCCGAAGGTGCGCATGCAGGGGGGAGCACAGCGAGCAGCAACCAGCACAACCTTGCTGACAAGTACAGCAGCACCAACACTAGCAGTAGCAAAGAGGCAGCAGCGCTAAGGCAGCAGCAGACCAGCTGGTGCGCTGCTCTTGTATCTGTGAGTTCTTCATCTGATTCCCCACTGACTTCATTCCCCGCGGTGTCTGCTGCTGCTACTGCAGCTAAGCACCAGCAGCAGAGGCATTCATCACTACCCCAGGAGGCAGCAGGCTGGCTGGCTACGGCCTGCTACACCCTTGTAGCGTGTTCTCTGTCTTTGCTCTTGACAGAGAAACATATGGTTAGGAGCAAGCTGCTGCAGCTGACGCTAGAGCAGCAACTGCTTCTGCTACGCAGCAGCTGCCTACCTGTAGGCGTGTTGCAGGCAGCAGGTGGCGCTTCAACTGTAAAAGGCAGCAACAATTGCGCTGGCAACAGCGGCAGTGGCGGGAAAAATGGTGGCAGCGCCGAAGATGCCGTCGCAACAGCAGCAGCCAGGCCATCCAAGAAAGCTCGACTAAAAGGAGCAGCGGCAACACCGGCATCAGGAAAGGCTTCTGTTGCCGCAGACCCTGCTGCCGCGGTGTTGCCTGATGCCGCTGCGCCCCAGGACAAGCAGCAGCTTGTCTTGCAGCAGTTCTGTAGCAGACTGGTTCGTCTGCTGCGTCTACTGGACCCAGCGGACAGCAGCAACAGTAGAAGCATGCTACAGTTGCAGCAGCAGGTGCAGCAGAATCTGCCATCTCTGCTGCAGCTGCAGCGTCAAAATGCACTGCGTTTGCTGGAATATTGTGCAGCATTCTGCTTTTGCTTTTCGCAGTCTTCTCTAGGAGCCCCTTGCGCACCTTGGGGAGGTACCTCCCCTGACACCTCAGCAGCAATGCTGCAGGCTGAAATGCCTGCGGTGCTGCTGAGGCAAGCAGCGAAGGAAGTGCTGCGTAGCTTCAGGAGAGCTGCAGGAGCAATGGAAAGTACCGCGCCTGCTGCTACTGATGCTGCTCGGGAGTTTATTGGGAACCTTCGAATGGGCTTTGGGCTGTCCACACAGCAACAGCACTTGCTCTTCAGCGTGCTTGTGTGTTGGCAGCAGAAGGAGCGGGAGCAGCAGCAGCAACGGGAGGCGCAGAAACAGCAGGACCAACACAATCTGGAGCAGGACAAGTTAAGCTCAGTGCTGCAGTCTGGGCGTCTGGAAGACGAAGGCGACCGGCAGCACCGCAGGGATGCAGAGTCAGTTGATGAGGCGCCTGAGGTGTGCATACAGCGCAACTGCATCAGCAGGCTGCCAATCTCTGACCGTCTCTACTTTTCCATTGCAAGGCAACAGAGAAACACTAATTCCCGCAGCAGAGAGAACAGCGAAGTTCACAGTAGCGGCAGCAAGCGGAACAACAAAGAGATGGAGCCAATTGTAGACACAGCCAGACTGATCTGCTGCGACACAGCTGGAGAGATTTCAGTGCTGCAAGTTTGTGTCCGTCGTTTTAGAAACCACAAAGAAAAGCAATTGCACGTGCACTGCAATGCTGCAGCATCAAGAACAGCAAACAGCGACAGCCTACAGCAGCAGGAACAAGAGCAGCGGGAACAACAGCAGGAGACGGACAAACTCGCGAGGGCAAATATTTGGTTCCCTCAGTTGCCATCCCTAGGCATCTCGAACACCAGAGCACCAGCAGAGTCAGCAGCAGCTACAGAACCGACAGCACAATTAAAGCCAACAACTGCAGCAGGAAGTTGCGTCAGCGAGAAGTATTTGGTCGATGCTGGAGGGTGCAGTTGCCGCTGCTGCAGCAGCAGCTACACTGTGGATCTGGAGATGAGCTTTGTGGCTCCGCGAAGCAGCAGCAGCAGTAGCAACATCGCTGTGCATTCCAATGGCTCCTACCTCCTACTCGCCTCAAGAGACTCTTACTTTGCTCTCTATGCAATCAGCAAAGGCCTGCCACTTAACTGCAGCAACGCCCACGGCAGAATGCTGCCACTGTTGGGTTTGGCCTTGCCACCTGTTACTACAGTCTCGCAAGAGCAGCACCAGCAGCCAACAGCTGCGGCATCAGCCGACTTTGTGCAGCCATTGCTGCTGTCTGCTGTCCCACTGTTGCCGTGTGTCCCTCTGCCCACTTCGCTGCCGCCTTATCTCGCTGCTCCTCCAGTTCCTTTATCCCAAGTTTGGCTGCAGCGCTGTTTCCAACAGCAGGTGCAGCAGCAGCAGCAACAACAAGGAGCAGCAACTCCAGCAGCAGGCACCGGCAGTGGAGTGGCTGCAGCCTGGGACACATCTATAGAATTCGCTGACTGGATATCGGAGCCCGACGAGGCCGAGTTCCAGCCAGTTGAAGAAGAAGACTAAAGGGGCTGTAGCAGCAGCGGCAGCAACAGCACTTGCTTCATTCATGATGTCACAAGCAGGCAGGTGCATGCGCAAGCAGCAGCGTTTAAGTTCCAGTTCGCACTGCGCATTTTTACAGCATTGACAGCGGGAGGAGGTGCTGCTGCGGCTTTGGCTGTGGCCCAAGCAGCAGCGCCGGCAGCAACAGCAGCAGTTGTTGCAAGAGCAGCCGCCACTACTGCTCGTGATGGCCGAGGAGAGCCCACGTGACTCAAGTGTAGCCTCTTTGGGTAGCGTACTCGCCATCCATATCATGTCAACCGTGTCTGCAGCGAAGCTAGTCAACTCTGCTGACTATAGTTTCAATGGACGAACTCGTCATGCAAAGGCATTAAAGGTCTCAGAAGTGAAGCAGCTGGGCACCGGCCTCCCCCCTGCCCCACAGTTCAGCTGTAGAGGTTGCATTCAATTAAGTGGGGAGTATGCGCGCTTTGCTGTCGAACCACGTAACACCCACGAGTTAGTATTTTCAGCTCGAACACCGGAAGTGGCTCCAAATGATCTACGAGTGGCGCATTTGGAGAGGGAAATCAGTTTCTGCACAAAGCTCATTGAGAATTAGATGATGAAGCTGCCAGTTTTTACTGGATCTGCGGTGATGTATACAATAAGCGCCTGCGTTGCACGGAACGGCGTTGTGACATATAACCGCCTTATGGAGATGAACATAAGCTTTAGTGCGTGGCGCTGCACGGAAATAACGCACAGTAATACCTTCCGACCTCTAAATTGTAGCTGAATGCTCCTTTTCAACTTTGGTTATGGGGCATAGGAAATATGCAACATGATCGTCACGGGTTCCGTGCGGCCTTTACGTTCCGCCATCACCAAAAGTTTTCCATAATATGAAGCTTTTGCAAAGGCAGTGAAAAGCAGTTAAAATTAGAAGATTTTTTGATAATACAGCCTCACTTTTTTCTTCAACGTAGATTCCTACTCAGAACTCGCGACTGCATAGCCCCAATGGGGGCCCCACCTTTGGGAAAGGGGCCCCTCTCCCCAGCTGCTGAATTGTATCTCTGGCGGATCTTATCTGACGACTTTAGCGCCTACTATGTGAGATTAGTAAGCTCTTACTCCGAAATTTTTGCAGTTGATTTTTGTCTCGTTGCCACCAGGAAAGTCTACCCTGACTGTTACCTTGGACCTCCGAGGTGTCCTCCTTGGCCCATCTCGTCTACTTCAGTTACTTCCTCTTATTTTCATGAAAGTATTTAGTTGGATGACTTGGCAACAAGTACGTATTTTTATCTGTATGGTGCGAGCGGCTCACGGGGGGCTTCCACGAAGTCGGCTGTGACCCAACCCCACGGAGGCCGCTCCTCCGCCCGTTTCAGCAATATGTTTCCCTCTAAAAGTAGTATTTATCACATGAATCGTGAGTAAGGAGCCCTGTGGAGGGATTGGGCTCGTCGTCAACTCCCTCTGCGTCCCTGAAACCTCATTGCACTCAGCCGACGTGCAGCACGCACAGCACCAGCAGCAGCAACTGCTGCTGCAGCTGTGGTGCTTCGATTTGTTTAATGCATCACAGCGCCAATGGGGCCTGAAGAAGACGAAGAGTCAGCAGGTGAACTTCGCTGCTTCTCGCAGCTGTGTTGCGGCAGCCAAGATGACACTGTAGGTGGCTGTACGCAGCAAGCGGCCCCCGATGGCCCCTTGGGGGTTCAGCTTCAAGGAACTTCCGAGGGACGACTGGAAGCGTTTTCCCCTCCGTCTTTGCCGCTTTTTGGTTGGGAGGATCTCCGAGTTGACAGCACCTTCACCTCCACCGCTGCTGGGGATCCCCCTGAGGCCCCAGGGGCCCCAAGGGGTCCCCAGGAGTCCCAAGGAGGCCCCTGGACCTCTAGGGCCACTGCAGGGGGCAGAGAGATGCTAAGCCTTTCGAAGAGCAGCATTCCCGGCGAGCCGCGAAGCAGATTTAAGGGAGCATTCAAAGCGTCTTCAAGCGGGCCCGAAGTGAAATCCGCAGAGTGCAGCATAGCGGACTTGAACGGCAGCAGCAGCACCGCTACCGGCAGCAACAAAAGCAGCAATGGTGAAGGAAACTGCCAGTCAGAGAAGCAGAGCCGACGCCCTGCATCTATTGCCTTTTACTCCACAGGCCTTGCTGCGGTGACTGCAGCTGTTGCTGCTGCATCAGAACCAGCACCAGCTGCAGCAGCAGCAACAGTAACTGGAACCGAAGGCAAGCGCGACCAGAGAGGTAAGGGTGGAGCCAGTGCTCTCTGGTTGCGGCCCTCTGAGCTGTCTTTGTTGGCCCAAATGAAAGCTCAAGCAGAAGTAGCAACTCCGTCACAGATTCATGCAGCAGCAGCAGCTGCTGCTGCTGCCTTCCGGAAGAGGGGAGTGGGCGCAACCGCAGCGGCAGGGGCAGCAGCTGCAACTGCAGGGGCAGCAACTGCAGAGGCAGCAACTGCAGCATCTGACACTGCTGATGAAGCTGATTGTGCGGCGGAAGCAGCGCCTTCAGCATCAGCAGCAGTACCAGCAATGCCGACAGCAGCTGCAGCACCAGCAGAACCTGCGGCAGCAGCAGCGGCTGCTGAAGCACCAAATGCTTCCGACATTGCAGCCTTTGCTTCCAGCGTCGATCCACCTCACTTGCCGTGCGAGAGGGGGGAAAACAAGATTTCGGGTTCTTTGTCATCCACAGGTCTTGCTGCTGCTGCTGCTGCTGCTTCCCCAGCCGCTGCTCCCGTTGCTGCCGCTGCTTGTGCTGCTGCTGCAACGGCTGCGTCTCACGCCCGTCTGCCTCATACAGATCTGCAGCAAGCTCACGCTCCCGCGTCCACAGACACAGCTGCCAGCCAAGGCCCTCGCAGGCAGCTGGTGGGGTCCCCGAAAGAAAGCCTTCTTGAAGGGGGCCCCCTTGGGCGGCTCCCACTTGCGGGCGAAGGGGCTGTTGAAGGGCTTTACGGGACAGCCCCTGTGGTTTGCGGCAGTTGGAGTGAGGCGGACAGCCAGCAGACACACAGAGAAGTGGTCTGGCAAGTTTACCAGTTAGAAGCAGATGAACTGACCCAACACACTCAGAAGGAACTGACAAGCAAGCCTGCAGCAACGGATGCAGCTGCAAAAAGGCATGCAGCTACAGCAACGCATGTAGCAGCAGCAACGGATGTAGCAACAGCAACGGATGCAGCAAATGCAACGGATGCAGCAGCAGTAACGGATGCAGCAGATGCAACGGATGAAGCAGCAGCAACGGACGCAGCAGATGCAACGGATGCAGCTGCAGCAACGGACACAGCTGCAGCAACGGATGCAGCCAGGGAAACGAATGCAGCAGAAGCAACGGATGCAGCGGCAGCAACGGATGCCACGGCAGCATCAAGCAGCACAGGAGCAACGGACACAGCAGCAGCAAAAAGCGACACGCTGGCGATGGATGCAGCAGCAAAAGTTGCGGCTGCAACAGAGGCAGCAGCAACTGAGACAGTAATAGAAGCTGCAGCAGGAGATACAGAGCTGGATATGGAGGCCGGGGTGCTCCCTGCAACGCAGCATACGGAGAGGGACCAGTCGCCGCCCTCTGTCCCAGACAAAGCAGCAACACCCGTTGCTGCTGCTTCTGCTTCATCTGCTGATGATAATGGCTTTTTATTTCCTTCTCAAGGTGCCAATACAACCCTTGAGAGTTCCTCGCCGGCAGTTGGTGCGGCGGAAGCAGCAGCAACTCGCTCGCATGCTGCTGTCCCTGCTTCCCAGCAGGTTGCTGTTGCCGTTGCTGCTGCTGTTGTTGCACCACAAGAAGTTGTTGCTGCTCCTGATGTTGAAGTGGGAGACAATAAGCGCTTAAGAGATGCAGGTGCCGATAGTGCGGCTGCTACCGCTCCCCGGTGTAGAGAAACTACACTATTGGCAACAAACTCGCAGCACGTCGCCATGAACACCGCAGGACTAACCGCAGCAGCAGCAGCGACAGCAGCAGCAGCAGCCGCAGTAGGAGCGAGATTTGCCCCAATACTCTCTCAGGGCTCCTACAGCGAACCGTCGACGCCGCGACGGTCGCTGGCGAGGGCATCATCAGCGGTAGCAGCATCGTCGTCAGCAGCAGCAGCAGCAACGCGAGGCAACTCGCCTTCGTGTCCTGCTGTTAGCACTATACCCTCTCCCTATGTGACGCCTATCAGGGTACGGGGGCCACATGAAGGTAGCGGGAGAAGCTCGGGGCCCCCCACTCCTTTGTCTTGTTGCTCAGGTTCCGGAAAGGGGCGCCTGAAGTCGTCAGCTCGACTTGCTGCTTCCTCCCTTAGCCGTGCAGCTGTAGAGGCCACAGCCAAGAGGTTTAGTCGGCTGCCGCTGGGAGGGGAAGGCTGCATTAGCCCTTTAAAAAGAAGGAAAGCAAGCAATCAAGTGCAACTAACACAGCAAGAAGCAGCGGGCGACAGCAGCAGCAGCGCCAGCGGGTTCCCGGTGGATCCGTACACTACTGCAACAAGTGAAAAACGTGGGATAGTAAAGACGGAACGTACCGGAGAACCTGAGCCGCGGCAGCAGCAGCAACAGCAACAGCAGCCAGAACAGCCCCAACAACAACAGCAGCAGCAACAGAAGGCACAAGGACAAGAGCAACAGCAGCAGCTACAACAGGAACGGCAGCAGCAGCAGCTTTTGTCACAACCAAGACTTACGGGTGAAGAGCCCGCCATATTACCCCAGCCTTTTTGTGACTACACAAGGAAAGCTAAAAGGCAAGGCGTGGTCAACTGCAGCCCAGATGTTTCAGTTCTGGGAAGCCCCCAGAAACTCTTGGAGGCATCTCAAACTCGCCTAGGGGTCCCTGAGGAGCCTCCAAAGCACCCCTCCCTGTGTGAGTCCAAGCTGCAAGCCCTACTTAACAAGGGGCTATATGCCTTTCAAGTTGAAAGTCTCTTGTGGATGCTAAAGAGGGAAAGGCGGCTGCCGGAGGAAGTCCCCGGGGCCTCCTTAAGGTATTCTGGGGCTCTGGAGCACAAGGGTGGCCTCCTTGCAGATGAGCCTGGGCTGGGCAAAACAATCCAGGTGGTGTCCCTAATTGTCGCCACTTCCGGCTTGTCTCTATTCTCTCAAGAGCCTCTTCAGGCGTCGGGGAATGCTTTCGAGACTGCCTCTAGGGCCCAGATGGCTGACGCCCAGGGTCATCCAGGGAGCGCAACAGAGGCATTAAGAGACGCAGAGAGGCCCTTACGGTCGCTTGTGCTATCTCCCGCCTCTCTGGTTTCTCAGTGGGAAAGAGAAATTCAGAAGATCGCTGGCAGGCAAATATCAGTGCTGAATGTAACGTCGCGAATAAAAGAAACAGGTGACACCAAGAGCTCACAGCAACAAGCCGCTGCTGGTGCTGTTGTTTCTGCTGCGCACCTGCTTCGTGTTGTGTGCTTCCGTAGCTGCGGCAGCTAATGTGCTTCTGCTGCTGCTCTTGCTGCTTCGATGTCTGAGTTGTGCGGAAGTCCTGCTGCACGAGAACGAACTAAGTGGGGAGCTGATAGTTGCGGGTGTTTTTTATTTCTCTTGCTTTGCTTTGAGCAGGGTCACTCCTCACGCCCTCTGTTTTACAAGGCGTGGAGGTAGTTTTGGCGTCTTACGAGGCGCTGAACACCGCCGAGTGCCTCTGCAAACCCCCGCGGCTCAGCAAAAAACGTGGGAAGCAGCAGCAGCTGCGACAGCAGGTTGAGCATGAGGGGGAAGACGATCCGTCGTGCTGCAGCTCTTCTGGTGTTGATACAGCTGACTCAGAGGGGACTCCAGAATCCAAAGTGCCTCCTTTTCACTCCCCCGTTGAATCTCCAAGACTTGCGCGGTGCACCTGCGAATCCGGAAGTCCATTTCCTGCTGCTCATACACCGTCGCCTTTTCGTAGGAAGCTGCCTATACACCCGAGTGGACCAGACGAGCGGCTATCTGTACGCAGAGGCGTTACAGCCATCAGCAGCTCCCCTGTGCACCAAGCAAGGCCTCCGCATACGCCCCGCCGCACTGCAGTCGCATTGTGGGGCCCACAAGGACCACGGTGCTCCTGCGTCCGCTGCTTTCTCTTGGGCTTCAGGTGGGAACGGTTGGTTTTAGACGAAGTCCATCTCCTTTCTCGCCGCCGGTGGCTCGCGAGCACCGTAAAAGCCATATGGGCTGTTTACCGGTGGGGGCTCACGGCCACCCCGGGAAGCTTTCGGGTCTCCATGGCCTCCGACGAGGGAGAGAAGCTCAGTGCATTGTGGGACCGCGCAGCACTAATGCGTTTGTTGGGGCTGCTGGGCGTGGCTGATGAGCAGGAGAGAGGACAGGCCGAAAATGAGGTCCAGTTTAGTGTTTGTTTTTGTGAAACCAAAGAGGCAGAGGAGTCCTGCAGGTGTATATGCACTGGAGCAGGCACAGAAACAGGTGCAGGTGGGAGCGACATGGGCAGGCTTGTGCTGCGAAGAACTCATGCTGCGTTAAAGTTCTGGGCAAGAAGAGGCAAGCAAATATGCACAGGAGCGCACAAACAGCTGCAGCGCATGCGGGTGCAGTACCTGCTACGACACCCGACGCTGCCTGCGGTGGAAATGACATTCCAGAGACTCAAATTTGTCTTTCCTGAAGAGGCTGAGCTGTACAGAAACACCGAGGCTGCGGCAAAGCAACAGATGGCAGCTGCCAGCGGATCAGCAGCAGCTACAACAGCAACATATGCAAGAGCTTCACTCGAGTGGATGGTACGCCTGCGGCAAGCATGCCTGCACGGCAGCCTCGTGCATGGACACGCTCACTACAGCCCCCCTGCAACACAAGGCTCTCCACTGTGTTTCAGTAGCTGGGAGGACACAAGTACGATAGGAGGTCCACCGCTGCAGCGGCGGCGTCGACTTTCTGTGAGATCATGCGGGCAGCCGACGGAAAGACAACAATTTCGAAATGGGAGTAAAGGCGTGCAGCACCCCCAGCAGCAGCAGCAGCAGGGAGAAGAAATGGCTGTGGGCTGTAGCCCTCCAACTGCTTTTAGTGTTGCTGCTGAAGCTGCTGAGCTCAGGTCACGTCCCAGCACAAAAGCGAAGGCCATTGCGTCTGCTTTAGCAGCAATACTGCGAGTTGATCCCATGGCTAAGGTGCTCATTATGTCCGCCTTTTCTTCCTTTCTAAACTTACTCGAACTGTACCTAACCAGCATATATGGCTCCCAGCAGCACCCGCAAAAGCACGCGCTGCAGCAGTCGCTGGCTGCCCGAGACAGTTCCGCTGCAGAAATATTCAAAATAACGGGAGATACGACTATTGCAAGCAGGGCCATGACTATAAGCAAATTTGCATCAGAAAGGCACGCGGCCATCATGCTCGTCTCAGCACTCGCCACCGCACATGGGGTGGATGGACTCCAGGTGGCAGGCAAGCAAGCCACGAATGCTGTCTTATTGGTATCTAGTATCAGCCAGAGTGTACTGCAGCGCGTAGGGATTCGTGCTGCTGTTACGCTCAATGTGTGTCACTCATGGTGTAGTGTAGTCCTCTATCGCTGGGCTACTTATGCAGAGGGCCATGTGAGTTCGGCATATAGCTAATGGCTAAGGCGAATATCTTATACCGCATGTTTCGTTGTGCAGGGCATCTGCTGATTTGCGAGCCCATAATGAACCCCGGGAGGCTGCGGCAGGTCGTAGGCCGTCTCACGAGGATCGGCCAGTTGGCGCAGCAGGTGTCAGTCCAGCTTTTTTTCGTAGAAAACACAATTGAACATCGGATCCTTCGGCTCCATCCACCCGTAGGGCTCGGTGACAACCGCAGTTCCTCAGCAGTAGAGGAAACGACACTTTTTTATGAGGGGCTTCCCCCACAAGTGTCTCAACAAAATCAGACGAACAAATTTAACGCTAATAATGCTTTGTCCATCCTCGGACTAAGCTCAGAGGAGCTTAGATGAGCTATCTTATTCCACTCTAAGGTGTATATACACGTCGCGGTGGCAGCTTGTGCAAGTTTCTACTACGTTGACCGTTCCTCTTTTTTCTACCTCTTTCTTTTTGTCGCTTCCCGAACATATTGATTTAATCGTTTTTTTGCACAGACCCTAGTTAAATTATGGAGTCAGGACAGCAGCCTGAGTGGAAAGCTGTATCTCAGGAAGCTGGTCGGACCGAAGATGCCGACGAGCAACCGGGTGAACACGGGCTCTGTTGGCGGCAAACGGAATTTGGCATTCTGGCATTTAAAATAAATGAAGACGGATCTAAAACGTGGATTCGATTTGATAACGATGGCAACGGTACAGAGGTTGTTTTCGATGAAGCTGGCCAGGCGTATTATGTTGACGGGGAAACAACAATCCCTGTGGCACCGCTGGACCCCAGCCTGCATGGCCCAGAACATGATTCCCTTGAGAGAAGCACAGCAGAAGCTGCAGAGGCACCAGTTACAGTCTCGCAGGAAACGTTCGGCAGAGGCGCGGCTGCGTCCCAGGTTGAAATGCTTACACAGAAAGACAAATGGCTTAACAGTGATTCTCACCTCCAGATGACAGCAGCAGGGCAGAATCTCTATCAAGACTCCCCCACAGAATGCAGTGACGAGAACGGGACAACAAATCCGGGAGCTGAAAATGAGGATGAGAACACGCAACATCACTCTTCAAAGCCTGGTACTGCGGCGATACAGCCTCGCAGCACTGTGGACTGCTTGAAAACGCCAGTTTGCGGCTCTTCCCCTTTGGCCCTGCTTTCAACTGCAAGTGAAGAGCTGACAACCCAAATAGGTGTGTCCGTCATTGAAGGGGAGAACATTAGGACTGCATATTCAAACTGTGTGCTCCACTTATTGCACTTAGGCAAGAAGCGCGCCATATCTGTCGTCCTCAGCGGCGTGCAGAGCCCCGCGGGAGCTAGCGGTGATCTGCTGTCACTTTGGGGAGAAGCTAAAAGTGCAAAGCCAACAGAAGAGGGAGGGCTGACGACTGCGCAGCAGACGCTGCTGCGCCTACAGCAGCTGGGGGTTCCCGAGCGACTAGAAAGAATAGTGGAAGAAGAGAAAACGTAAAAGCTCGCTAAATAATGCGCATTTCAGCAGTGAACGTAAACTAACTTGTTGGAATGCAGTCTTTCAGCCACGTTCGAGGAGCATATTGCTACACTTGTCGCCGAGATGGACGCTGTACGCTCTGCTGTGACGCTTGGGGAACAGGTGCCCAAATAGCATTTCCCTTTAAATATTATTCATTTTTATGGTTTTCGCGTGTTGGCCTTCTAGAAATTGGAGCGCTGCTATGAAATGCATCGCAAAGCTGCGGGACTGCAAGCCAGTATTCTGCTCGCGTGGCCGCTGGCCGAGGTCATGAAGAACGTGACGAAAAGGGCTGAGGCATTCTTAAGCTCTTCTGATCCCGAGTAAAGTCAGGGCAACACTAATAAATCCCATTTTTTTGGAACATAAGAGGCATTGCACACACGCAAAAGTTGCCTTGGGAGTTCCGAGCCCGCCACTTGCTGATCACGAAGTATAAGAAAGAATGCACCAACCTGTTTGATTTCTTAAACAGGTATATGGTATTTGTTTTTTGTACTAGACAACTCCTGAAGCGGTACAGAATCATGCCGCTGTGATTGTGGGCAGCACGGTACGCAGTGTATGGTGAGGGCATTGCATATTGTCTATCGGGCTGCCAAAGAAACTATACACGAAGGTAATTTAAGTGCAGCGACTAAAACGAAAACATAGACTTGGCCAGAGAAAAGGATATCACTGGCAGAACTATCGATTTGAAAAGGATCGATTTGTCCGGCTAGTAGCAGCCACACCAGTGCCAAGCAGCTCAAAACGACTGCAGCAATGATTAGATCTCACCAAAACTTACTGTGTGATTTACTTAAATTAACTTTACTAGCTCAAATATATCGAAATTCGTGGTTCGATTCAGTAACTGAAATCTCCTTCTCCCCCACTGGCCCAACGCTGCACTGGCATCGTCGGCGGCGGTCAGATCCAAGGCAATGTGTTTGTGCGTTTGCTTTCTTTTTCCACTGTAAAACTTTTACAGTTTATTTCATATCTTCCGTTTTAGTTTATTGCTGGTGCATTTAGAGTGCCTTGGGCAACTTCACAGGCCCTCCAGCCTTCACTTACAGAGAGGTATATTCTCTCATTGCTTGCACCGTGGAAGCACTCCGAGCGCCATCAGCGCCTTCAGAATTGAAGGGCATCTTTTATTTTAACAACAGAGACTGAAGAGGTGCATTCTCCCTGAGTTTGCAGTCTCCAGCAGACCAAAAGCAGTGGCGTGACCGGTCCTCTATATGTACGGAAAATGAGTTTACGCAGAATAGAGTCTGCCGTCATGCCCACCCCCAGAGAGCACGTTCATACAATCCTTCCCCATGGCCACACTCGTCGTGTGCCTGTAGAAGCCGTGTGCAGGTGAGCTGAGAACAACGCCGTCCAAACAGAGCACATCAAGTTGAAAGTTGCGGCTGATAAGCTCACCAGCGTCCAGGACGCTTTTCTGTTTTCCTCACCTGCAGACTGGCAGAAGCCCCAACCTCCGTCCTTGGCAGCTGCCAAGATGCACTTTGCCCGTCTGCAGAATCCCTCAGCCCGCACACAGTATGTGTACAGCTGAACTACACACTCCAAATGACACACTTCACGCTGCTTTCAACACGAACTACTTACAGATAGGCAGCTTTTTGCACAACTAGCTAGGAACATGCAAAAGCGCAGTCTTTGGGAGTTGCATGTGCTGGGTAGGGGCAAGAAGAATACGCTCTGTAGTGCTAGCAGAAATCTGTAGAACCAGCACATCTTAATTAGGATGGGTTGTGCAGTGTATGTGCAGGTCCTTGAAGAAAACGTGCAGGCTCGAAGGGATGAATCCGGGAGTGAGCCACTGCGTCTGGCTTACTTTTCTGTTCCTGAGCACAACATTTCAGAGCCTTCTGCTGAAGAAGAGCCGATTGAAGACAGCAATTTGTTAAAAGATAGAACGCAGAAGGCCCAACAGCCGACTCCCACAGCTTCTTCATCGCTGTGCTGGAACTTAGTGAGGTTCACACCACAGATGCGGCAGTTGCAGTGACTGTGAAGTGACCATTTGAGAGTAACACGTATTGATAGCAAACGCACATTTTCGCTATATTAATACTTCAGCGTGCGTTTAAGGAAAGAACACTCAAAAGACACTTCGGTCTCATTGCTGCAGCTGTGGCATTTGGTGGCGCACTGTCTTGCTTCTCCGCTGCAGTGCCATTGCGGGGCGATCTCGCAAACGGACGTAGGCACAGAAGAGGCTCCTCCGCCCTTGCCTTCTGAGCAGGCAACGTCAGCAGAAACAGCAGAAGCCAAAGCACCTGCAGAGGCCGAGGCTACAAAAAGTGATGAAGATCTCAATATTATTACGGTGAGCAGCATTACTATTGGGCTGAACAGGAGTAAGCGTTTTCGACGTTGCTACTTAACTGTCTCCCCTTACAGCCGCCTTTCACACTCGCGCACCTTTTAGTATACAGGTATTACCACGCCTCTTGCCTACGCGCCCTGTACTAAGCTTTTGCTGCCGCGTTGCGCGTTGTGCTGCATCTGCTGTGGTGATGCCTGCCGTAGACGTGTTGCGGCCTTTCTGCCCAGGCGACTTCGCCGCCTGCTCCAGTAGAGACTGCCTCTCGAAGCTTCGAACAGCAGCAGCAACCTGCCTCAGTTAGCGCCCCGCAGAAGAGCGAAGCCTATGTAAGGCCTGTAGAGACTTACCAGGCGAAAGACAAGGAGAAGGGAGAGAGACCGGCTCAGGTTGTGTACATCGACCATTACCCCGAGCCTTTTGTGAAGAGCTACTTTGGTGATGATGGAACTGTTGAGATGCCGAGTGACTGGAGAGGTAACCACCAAGCAGCATTACAAGTATTTAAGCATTTTGTTGCCTTCAAGTGTGGTCCTTTCACCTTGTGCACTCTGTAGTACTATTGATTCTGCATGCGGCTCTACTCCATGGGGCTTTCCACCTTCTCCTGCGATCTTAGAGCGGCTAAGTAATAATGGGAAGTGCACTGCCTGACTAGAACTTCATTGTTGACGTCATGCTTGTACAGAGCTCGAGATACGGCGATGCCTATCACACGCAATATATTAGTAGTTTTTAGTCTACTTCATCCTATCAGTTCATGTGTGCTGCATTCCCCGCCTTGCAGACATCCGATTCAACACGGCCACAGACATTTTGTATGCAGCAGGTGAGGGTACCTCTTGCCCGCAGTAGCTTTTGCTTCATATATGCAACTCATGATGGGCAACGCCGTGCTTCAGCGATCTGTATACAATGCCTCATTCTGCTATTTGTGTCCTATCAGGAACGGCTATGAGTGTAGTGGCGGCTGGGGGAGCTGTTGTCCTGGGGACTGCGGCGCTGACTGCAGGGCTGACTGTCGGCATTGCAGCCCTTGAAATATACAAGCGCGTAGCGAATAACTATGACATATGAGTTTCTTTCTACGCAGCAGATGGGTAGAAAAATGTGCATTTGGATTAAAATTTATGCAAAAAAGAACTAAACAGTCTTAAATCCTAGCCGGTATCCAGCCACTCTCTTTTATCTTTGGATGGATTGAACCAGCCCCAAGTCGTACGACGCCCAATTGCGCAGTCCTACAGCCGCCGTTTTTCTCGGCATTGGCCTTCAACTGATACGACCAAAACATATTGTCATTTCATGTTCACTTCGTGCGGAAAACAGCATTGGCTGCATTTTTGATGGCTTTCGCGGTGCCCAGGGCCCATCATCAGAAATTGACATATTAATTTGATTGCAGTAGCCTTCTTGTTCTTTTTAAGTGTATATATTTTTGGAGGGCAGTGAATAAGGCCACTGAAAGACGAGTTGGTGTAAACTTCACCGTAGCAGCAATGTGCCCGTTGCTGCTGCAGCTTCGTCACCTAATCTACTGGCTTTCGGCAAGTGAATGCCCTCGAGCGCTCACAGACAAACCTGAACGGAGATAGAAACAGAGAAAAGATTCAGAGACAAGCACCGAACTGTATCGTGGTTTCATGTTTGCATGTTGAATAGAGAAAGTAGGGACTAGGTCCGCAGGAGTGGATGGAACACAATGAGACTGCACGGATTTTCCTCACAAACTTAACTTGGTGCAGTCATACGAAGGAGATTTGAGCCTTACCGCCGTGGTAGCCTAGCAACTGAAGCGTTTTGTACGTAATCATAAATTGCCCCACATTGACCGCTGGTTCGCCTGCCAGTTGAGGCTTAGGGATAAAACTCTGCCCATCCAAAACTTGATCTGCATAGACGTGATAGGGTACAGCAACAAGAGAAAGTAGCTAATAAATGGTTAGCCTCACTATGTCAAAAAGCGCCACCGCTTGTACACTTAGTAGTAAATGACAACTTATCCCTCGTTATCGGAAGTGACTTACCGTGTAATTCTGAAGCTGAAAAAGAGAAAGCAAACACACACACAAAGGCAACCAATGGCCGATTGTACGGTATCTTAAGTGTGACCAGAGTGTGATTCAAGGTCAGTTACACGGAATAGATGAAGGCGAAACCTAAAGGGACCGTATAACTGAACTTACGCAGTTGAAGGTCGCTGAAGTAGGAAGCTGAAAAACATGGGGACACAAGCAGGAGAACAAGGCAGTCTTGACACTTCGCAGCTGCTTCCACGTAACTAAGATTAACGTGAGATTTATTGAGATTCGAATAAGTCGTGATATATATCCAACTAGGAATGTTCAATATTTATCGCGGATCATTCATTTCCTAATGAAATATCAAGCTAATCAATGTCGAAGTTTGAGCGATTGCACATGCATACCTGTTTGGGTGAAAAGGCCTCCTATGAACTGACGGTCTGTGCAAGGACAACAAAGGCGGGAGAGAAATCGAGAAAAGTTAGATGTGAATTACAGCATCGGGTTGTGCGAAATAGTCAGAATAATCAGAAGTATACAAAATCTTTGATGGCAGAGACATTAGTGGGCTATTTCTATACAGTAAAACTAACGAACAGAAGAACAAAGCTATAAAGCATAAGGGCCCAGAAAAGCTCATTCATAACTGCATTGTAAAGAAGTGAAGATAGCTTTGTAATGCGCATGTGCTTGAGCTTTTGTGTTGTACACAGTTGTCTCATCTCGCATTACCTTCTGCAAATACGAACAGCAACTTCGTGTCCAGGGGTGTCTTCGTGTCTGAATTTGGAACCGGACAAGCAGTTGCCTTTAGGTCTGAAGCATCCCTTTAATGCAATTATATCTAGGGTCTACCCACAAAAGCAGGGGACAGACCCCGTAAGGTGTTGAGTGTGCCTGCACTGGTTTGCTGATGCTCTGATTGATGTACGAATTTCAATAGGCTTCATCAGCGCAGAAATGATAAGCTGTATGCAATGTTGACATAATGGAGCGTGCACGATCATGTAGGATGGCATAATATATATATTTATATATATTCATCTAGGTGATGCACACGGCATATGCGAATGGATCATGCACTTCCTAGTGAGTTGACGCAGGTGTACTCAAGCATAGCTTTTTCCTTTCAAAAACGTACGCATAATCTCTCCCGCTTCGACGTGCCACTTTTTGAATCTTCGCTTGTTTGCAATATTCGACAGCTTTTCATTTAGCCAGGATGCGGCAGCTACAGGAGCGAATAGAGGAATGAAAGCGAGTTTGGACTTTGTGATTTTCCTCCAGATGTGGCTTTTCGCTCCTTGAGCCCCTGCGAAATTGTACAGCGCAGGTTTGAGATGTCTGATACTTACAGAAAACCTGAGGCACGTGCACTCGCACTTTGGTGACACATACATACGTAGACAAATGAAGGAGGAAAAGGGTGTTTGCAGCTTCGGTCCGGCGGTTATGCTTCGCCGTGCAGCTTACGTATTGCTGAGAGTGATATGACGGCTTGTCTTTCCTTTCTTTTCGCCTCATTAATGTATGAAGACATGAAGGGGCACGAAAGCTGTAGGTGGACAGGTTGTTTAGTAACTCTTTTCCTCGACTTGACGTCTACCTGACTAATGCGCGCCACGTGTGAAGTGGCAAACAATGCGTTCAAATAGTCTTGATAAGCTTCAGGAGTCTCCTTGGCGAGGTCAGACTTTGCCACTCCTGTAATATATTCTGCATCGCAAAATGTACTAACACAGTAGCGCCATTTCAGTCGTTTGCTTCAATTCCTCACGGGTCGGTAGCAGCACTGTTTTTGATGTTTTTGCCTTTTATATAAATTGTGTCTCGTTTGTTGCTCTTTAGCGCACGCTGTAATCCGGCGCAGTGGAAACGCAACGAAGCTTCTGTCTGCATAATGGCAACTCCGCTGAGGACTCGGCTGCCCTGCATGTACAAGAAAAATCGCAGGTACTTGTGTTTTGCTCAAGCTCTGCTGAGCGTTTGATCCACTGTTCATCACACGGTTAGCGCCAAAGAGACATGAATTGCGGGCGCTGTGAAGACTACTCAAGACGTTGCTTACCTTCTGACTAATCTGGGAGGCAAGAAGAGTATGTGCAAGGTCGACAGCCACCCTTATTATGTCTACTGGGTCTGCTGAACCTGCTGCAATCTCAATGAAAAAGTCCTCTAGGTTAGCCCTAGTCAAAGGTACTTGGCCTCGTTTGCGCAACGACACTACAGCGCCTGTTAGCTCATACTCAAAATTTCCAAGGTATGATACTCGGCCAAAATCAATTGCTCCTGAAGGAATACCATGACAAGACAGACGCCAGATAGCCTTTGACACCTTACACAAAAAGTTGATTTGTTTTTTTTGGTCTATGACAACGCAAACCCAGGATGAAAATGAAAAAATGGAAACTTAGCTTACTGGCGCCTGGTAATCTGCCCGCTGCTTCCATCACGATGTCAACTGCATAGCCGATGTGTCCTTTCTCTACGAGACAGAAAACGAAGAACTAGGGCCGACATGTCTTAGCCGATTACGCCGATGTTTCCGCGACGAAACAGACCTTTACTCAAAATTCCCGAAGACTGGAAGACTCTAAGACTGGAAGTTAATTGACTTGCGAAACGTTACTTTTAATGTGCAGCTTTGATAAAAACAGCATTTTACAGTTGTGCATGCGAAAAATTATGGCGTAGTGAAACCATTTGAACCTACCGTGAAGAATGGCCGCAAGAAGAAAAGTCTTTCTGGCCACTGAAATATCATTGCTAGCAAACGAAAAGCTGGGTAGCTGCCTTTGTGTCCATAGCCCCATAAGAATCCCGACGAACTCTTTGAGTGAGTGTGGAGCCTCAACTGCAGGCTCAAGGAACAGCTTGCGCGCCTCTGTAGCCAAAGCGTATATTACCTCCAGGGCTCCTCGATAGGCTGCAAGGCTTGCGCCAGACGCTGGCTGCATTGTGAGCTCCAAGTTTACCCAATCTGAAGGTTTGCGTGCCACTCGCTGCTTCTTTCCTGCCAGCCGCTTTACAATTGCTGACCCAACACGCAATACCGATCTTCCTAGTGACCGAAACAAGCCTTCCTTCTCAGCATACTCCTCCACAATGGAGTGTAAAAATCCAGCTGCGCCATACACAAATGCCTTTTATATATTTGTGAACTACAAGCAGGCGACAGAGGAATAGGTGAGCAAAGATATATAATCCACGATGGGTTTACGAGATTATGTGACACAGAGGATACACTAAAGAGCAATGGTGGCGACACTAGCAGTGCAGGCCAGTGGCAGCTTTACCTGTCTGCATGCAGACAGAGGTGAGAGGAGCGTAAGACCTTGGCAGTCTCCATTTCGGCTGTGACTGGAACAGTGCTAGCAACACAGCTCCTAAAGAGTCTCCCCCTTGCTTCCACTGCTCGGCTTTCCGTGTAAAGGCGTTGCTTCCTGCATGCATTTCCCTCGCCCTTGTCCACAGAGTCTGGCAGAGCAAGTAGGGGTTAGCAAGCGCTTTTGGTCCTTGCTTTTCAGAAGCCATAGAGGCGATTGTGGCTTCAAATGCCTGAATGGCTTTAAGGGCCTGAAGTCCCTTGCCGAGGTGGCCGCCCTTAACTGCGAAGGCCTCAAGAATGCAAGTTGTCGGTCTTTTTCGTTTTGTTGTTGGGTGGAGAGCTGCCCAAGGCTCTGCTTCCTTTCGTGGCTGGTCCTGCATACAATGTAATTGGCACAATCAGCAGTGGAGAGTTTACCAGAAAAATTGCAAAGATAGGCCTGAAGACTAGATGCATGCCTTCCAAGAGACACGAAGCGCTGCCTACCAGTTGACGGAGAAAATCAGGAACAGCAAATTGCGGGTCCTCAGGATCAACAGGTGCTGCGACCAGCTGCTTGGCTTCGCTGCAGGTGACACTGCCGTCAGATATCCTGCAGACGTCAGACGTCTCGAGGAGCAAAGCAGCAAAAATCCGTTCTAATGAGGCCTCGGCTAGTTGGACGAGACGAAGATGGTGGAACAAAAAAAGACGAAGCACTGAAAGGAAAAGGAAACCAGCACCATGCGCGTAATGAAAGCCCGCAGAATTGCAGCAAAATGCTACATCCAATTTACGAACAGTGGCGGCATGCGCTGCTTGTATGATTTAGAAACGCCATGCCGATCTCTCCACCTGTCTCATACGCACCGTCTGCAGTGACTGTGTCTTTCGGCCGTTCAGGACGTTCTGGGCTAAGAGAAACGGCGAAAAGCCGTTCACACTTTTTGCTGCAGAGACCGCTAAGCCCAAAAGCTCTTCTTGTTTTAACCTGTGTAGGGGCCATGCCTGAAGAAGGCAAAGAGACCGACGGGCCACATTGCTTGCAATCCACATCTAATGGTGCTTGTGTCGCACTTGCAAAGTTCTGTGGATCTGAAGCGTAAGTTCCTTTTTTACTCACCACGGAGCCTTTGGGTAGCAGAGGCCTTCAAGATCCAAACTGCAGCAACTATAGGCGAAGTGGTAGCCCATATCCGTTCTAAAAGTATCACAAGCAAAAATGATAAGGAAGAGTGGAAAATATGTTCGTGTGCAAGACGGAAGCTAGGTTAAAGATTTGTCAGCTGAAAGTTGCTCACGGTTATCCATGAGGTCTTGTAGAGTCCTCTGGAATTGGGGCCCTTCAAGCCATTGTTTGGTGATTGTCAGTCCACGGGGTGGCTCTTCTACACCTGCAAACAAACACAGGGCCTCCAGAAAAGAAAGCACCTTTGGCCTTTCGGGTAGCTATGCATAATTACCATGTACGAAACTCATATGCTTGCATCAAAAAGGGAGCAGTATGTCACCGGAAAAATCCCGCGAGCTCTCCATGTATGTGGACATGAACGTGTGTGCCACCACTGGGCATGCCATCCACTCCACGGCGCCGTAATAATCTACCGGCCGGCCTCCTGCAGAAAGCTTATCCTTAAGGTTGCTCACTGTACACATCAGAATCAAAGTTCATGGTGCCCTGGGCAGAAATATATCATAAGGAGCAGCTGAACAAGCCACCCTGAGCAGCCCATTGTTTGGACAATGACGCACATTGATTAAGGCGAGCCTCGCCCACTCTGTCCAGGTCCTCAGGGGACAAATCGTAGCCAGCAGCGTCTGAGAAGCGCACGTAATGCAAACGCATCGATAAAAGGAGACTATGCCGTTAGGAGAAGTTTGCGATGCCTTGTACGGGAGCTCTGGAGTTGACGGAAACATATTGGGCACCTCAATTCCTTGAATGGAAGTCTGTCTGCTGCTTACCGCGGTCAGCGCTAGTAATTTCTTTTTCTGGCCAGGGCAGCGCTGCACACAGATGCCTCTGAGACGGTGAGGAGTGGCCTTCCTCCTTCAGTTTTTTTCTTGCCTTTTCCTGGTCCAAAATATTTTCGTCTGGATTAAACAAATAGCATAAAAGCCAATCAAACTGCCGCAGCGACGGCTATGTTGTGTAAAACTGCCTGGCCTCGATAAAGGTGCAGCTAATGCAGCTTAAAGTTTCTTGTCTTGCAGCTCACACTGGTGGACGGTAACACTTTTGAGTACGTGCTCAGTGACTGCAAGCTCTTTCAACTGAAAGACCACCCAAGATGGAGCTTCTTTTGCTAATGTATTAATATTGACTTCCTTTTCGCCTTTCTGCAGGGCCTGGAGGTTTTCCGTCACTGAGAGCACACCGGGGCAGTAAAAGGGGAACTGTATGCTCGGAATTATTCCACTATGGAAGCCACTACAAGCGTGCTGCTTGAGAGGGGGAAGAGGCAGCCAGGCACGTACCATCTTTAGCAACAGATGTGAAAGTTTCTGCAGGAAATCAAACGCAGAACACTATGCACATTTTGCATGAGGTGAGTCAAGACCAAGGGAGAAGGGGGATTGCAAGGGAACGAAACGAAAGGTTGATAGACAAAAGGACTCACCAAGTGCTGTTGCTGAGAGGAACGGATAGGCATCAACCAAGTTGTTGAAATCTAAAGTGGCAAAACACAGAGCAGAAAAGACTACAGCAGTTTTCCACAGTTGAGTTAAACAGCATAAAGTGCGCCGCTAAGTTCGTAGTTAATATTTACAAGCAGATATGAGTACCGAAAAAAATCACGACTTACCATCTCGCAGCTCGCCAACAGCTACGTCGAGTTCTGGGGACGTCGAAACCGATAAGGAAAGAGCAGCTTGTGTCTCTGTGAAAAATGCAGGCGCATATGTAAGCGCTTCATTAGCTAGGCTTAAAAAAGGATGCGGCTGAGGTAACACAATCTTTTTGGGCGGATTTTGTTCTAGCTTCAGCCACATACCCGTAGAGGTGCTTTCAGTAGAAGCCGTGCTTTCCGTCTCGCCTGGGGTCTCGCCTGGGTTCTCGCCTGGGGTCTCGACTGGAGCCTCCCCTGTAGCCAGAATAGCTACAGTTTGCAGGAGAAACAAGGTTTTCCACAGAAGTGAGATAAGGGCTCCTGCAAGAAGGGGTAACAAAAGGTTTGTAGAACTGCGTGTGGAAGCACTGAAACCAAAGTTTCTTTGGGTAACCCACCCATTCACCGTAGTAGCCCGGTGCAACCTGAATTTTACTTAGCCTAAGCACTAAAAGGAAGTTCAGTGGCAATCTAGTTTGGTCTGTGAGTTCCTGTCTCTGCGGCAAGCTTGGCTGCTTGGGTGAAGTCGTCGGCAGCAGCGTCTGCATGGCCTAAGCAGGGCCTGAGAGGTGACAAGGTGGCATTTGTGAAGGGGTGTTCTAAAAGCGTTGCAAACTGGAGTTTTGCTTTACCCGATCGATGATTAGATGCTCGAGCATTCCCTCTCCAACTGCGGGTCTCAGCCCCCATCGAGCTTGCCGCGGCCGACATGATTAAAAGCAGCGTCTAAAGCACCGAAGAGGGGTCTTGCAAGACAAATGAAAAGCCGATGTTTCGAAGAAAGAATAAAACGGGCCAAAACGTTATTTTCCTGATGCACAGTCAGGGAATATCTCCATGTGCATATGGCGCACGCGGTGTGCCAGCCGTGGCCTCAAGAATGAGCTGCTGGGCGCCGGAGGGATAGATAAGAGGTGGCCTCCGCAAAGGTACTCTTACTTTTGAATAATCGATTTTTCAACTGAAAATTTAGTAATACACTTTAATTGCGGGTTCTCGACCAGTAATTAAACCAGGTGCCCGTGATGAGGTGGCCTTGCTGTCGGCAGCGACCACAGAAGGGCAAGACACAGGGAGCATCGAGCGTGTACAGGTGACCATCCTGAGACCTGGCAGAACAAGGCCGTGAGAAAAGATGAGCCTTGAACAATATTTTACTCGAATTGATTAATGCTTAGTTCTTCTTGCTGAGTTTTCAGGAGAGAATGCTTCAGATCGCGTTCAATGACCGCTTGTCGGGTTTCCTTCGTGGTGCCCACCGCCGAACTCAGCTAGTCATTTTCAGTTCTCAACGGAGCTCACAACTGTACTACAAGGTGAGCCCACTACCAAGTAATAAATCTGAATAAATAAATACATGGCAGAATCAAGCTCTCACAGCACCAATTGTTTAATAAGATATGGTTAATCAAATAACCAGCAGGCTGGCGCTTTGCCAGCAATGAGTGAAGCACGGTGCGTCCACGCGTTGAGCTCTGTACGTCTTGCGAATCATATGATTTTACTCTAGCAGTTTTTTAGAATTACGAATTGCACATCACTGAGGAGCTCTAATGGGGTGCTCTACGGGAAGCCTGCCTTTCCAAATGCTTGCAGCACTTCAGCAAAGTGGGGAAAGCAATGTAACATTCATCTAGGGTAGCTACAGCCTCAAAACGTCACGTATGCTGCACATAATATCTCAGCCTCTTTAACTGAGAGGGACACACTCTTGGTGAATGAGCGGTCATTCGGGAATGCCATGCCTCCTCCGGCCTCCCCTCTCTTTACCTTCGCTCAATATTGCGACGCCCTAGTTATATTGGAGGTTTGTTTGTAAAAATATGAAGAAGTACCAGGAATTTTCGGCTCCTCGATACATTTACAAAGAGCTGATAAATATTGTGTCATGGCGTTTCTCTGGTTAACAAGGTACACCGCTCCGGGCATTGGCGTTGCCCTCTGGCACCCTACTGTGGGAAAGAAAATAGAGTCAAGAAACATTCAACATGAACTGAAGAGAATACGCCTGTACTGAACAGCATATATCAGGGCCGTTTGGGTTCCCCTGCTGGCACGCGCCTGCCCAGCGCGCCATGCACTGCAACAGAGCTTTGCTTGGGAACAAGAAAGGGAGGGTCACTAAATAGTCTAGGGGAGTCTTTCCGTGGGCTTCTTGGCAAGGGGTCTGCCACATGTGTAGTGTCGTCGCAGTGAGTCTGCTGCGCCATAAAGCAGCAGAAACAGCGACGGTGCTTGCAATTTGTGCAGCCAGTGGGAGAAGACGACCCGAACAGCGGGCTGTGCTGCGTACTGTCGATTGCATTGGCCTTAGAATGCCACGTGTCCTCCTCTACGAATTTCTGGGAAGGCAGCTCAGTCAGAGACCCGCTAGCCACTCTATCTAAGCCTTCCACATTCTTTGCGGGGGTGCTAGCCCTCTCCTCCAATGCAGCTGCTGCTTCTGCTGGAAACCCTGCGGCTTGGTCACTCTCATTTTTGGATTCTGAAGAGGTCCCCAATATTCCTGTTGTCGATTGACGCATGGAGCCTGTAAAAGGCTCATGGTGTTCAAGAACGGCGTCAGTTCTGTGCTGCGGCCATTCGGGGTACAGGAATGAACTGCTCCTTTTCTGATCTTTATGGCCCGCTGCACGTTTTTTCTGATCCCTTCCTTGTGCCTTTTGCATGAGCAGCCCTGATCCTCGGCCCCCATCAAATCCAGAATGAGTTCGCAGGCTTGCATCAGGCCCGTCCCTCCGGCCTTGAGATTCCGTTAACAAGCTTGAATGTGCGCTGCTACTGGGGTAAGCATTAGAGAAAACCGGCCTAGCCGTGTTTGGGACTGGAGAGGCGCTCGACCCACGACTACCCGGCCTCCAATTCCTTGGAAGCAGTACGTGGCTGCCAGCCAAGGTGGACCTCATCTTCGAATCCAGTCCCTCCCTCATGATGCGGCGCAGGCGTTTTTGTTTGTCGACCTCGCCTTCATGACCTTCGCTGGAGGCTTCACTGCCAAGCGGCTCGCTCAGTGCGTCATCTGAGAGGTCACTAGAATCCCGCCTGCTTGACACATGGCTGCTGCTATCACTGTCTTCCTCTTCCTCTGATAGAGAGGGACTCTGGCTCGCGAATTTTAATACGATTGCCGGCAGGCCTTCAGAGGTTGCCGAACCCTGGGAGCCTGAATCCGACAGCGGAAGGGGAACGTCAGCGAAAGAGCCTGTTGCTCTTTGTCTTAGCTGCTGCTGATGGTGCTCTTGTGGTTTGCTGCTGTCACTGGGGCGCCGCAAGTTGCTGATTCTTCGTCCACCTTTGAACAACACCACAGCTGAAGGCGGCTCGATGACAACAGGCACGAACTGCTGCGGAGCTGTTGTTAATGTGTAGCCTTCCATGGTATTTTTGTTCGCATATCCGCCTTTGGACCACGTTGGGGAGAGCTCTCGAGTACGTGCAAGGACGTCTGCTGCCCTATCGCTGAAGGCGACAGGACGGCATGGGGATGCGGAGCCCCTCGCGACAGGGTTCTGTGCTTTTCTCCGTATCAATTTTACCACTGAATCAAACAAAGCAGTCAAACGCCGTCGGCGCCAAAAATGCTGTATAACTCGCGCAGCTGCGTGGCGATGCAAAGCTCTGACAAGGGCCTCTTGCTGACTCAGCCAAGCCTCGTTCGTCTCTTCGCCTCTTTTAGTACCCCTTGCAGTCCTCTCTCCACTTACACCCCTTCCCGTGTCAGTCACAGAGATTAAATCTGAGTTTCCCGAGTCCGAGGATGACGCTATGCTACCCTTTCCCGAGCTGGAAGGAGCAGCGCTCGACCCCCAAACAGGAGTGTGGGTCGGCTTGTGCAGTTCCGTGATAGCCTCAGCGACCTCATCTGCGTCACGGTGGCCGCTGCGTTCTTTCACTGCTTCATCTGCTGCATTTTTGGAAAAGGCTTGAGCAGCGAAAGACGGCCTGAACGTGTGCTCACCAGAGACGTGTTCTGCAGTGCTCCTCTTCGCCCCTTTCGCGTTCCCAAACTCTTCTGCCGTCGGTAAATTATCCTGAGTCTCGTCATATTGCTTACTTGTCATTTCCCTCTCCGGTTGGATCGTCTGAGCATCCTCTAGCTTGTACGCATTGCTCGCTGGTATTTCCATTCCCGTGGGGATTGCTTCACTTTTCTCTCCTGTCTTGCCATGGCTTGCACCTGGCACTGCCATTCGATCAGCAGGGACTTCAGACCTTGCTTCAAGGTGGCCTTGCGATATCCCCCTCAGCTGATGCAAGTCTGTTTCGCCGCTCTGCCTTGTCCTTCCCTGACCTCTTTGTGCTTGACCCACTTGGTACCGCGGAATGCCCTGCTCAGTCGTTGCCTGCCTCGACACCGACTCAGAAGCTGAGCGTGAGCTGCGGCGCCTAATCCTTTTTTGTCTCTGCTCCTTTTCTCTCTTCCATAAAGTCGCCAACAGCACTGTATGCTGCCCTCTGATGTGCTTTGCAGCTTCTGCAACAGGCCCCCATGGCTCTTGAGGACTCTCCTCTATCCTGTGATCTGCGGTTTCTTGCTGTTTGCTTAAGTCGCTGCAGTCCCCGTGCGAAACATTCCTAGGGGCTGTTATGCCCGCGATGCTGATGGTTGGAGAAGCTTGTTCGCCTAGCACTTGTGTCTGTTGGAGGAGAGCATTCCGCACGGCCTCCAAATCCACTCCCTTGCGCACCGCCTGGTTGGCAGATACGTCCTTGGCGCTGCTTTCAAAAGGCGTATGCGGCTCCGTTGCGTGCTGCCTTGACAGAGAAACAGAGCCCGAGCCAGAACTGTGCGCCATTAGTCTTTTCTCATGCTGTGCTTCTGTTGCTTCCGCAATGGTTCTTAGCAGCTCTCGCTGGTGATCACGGATTTTTAAGGCAGCATGTGATGCATATGGTAGAGGGATTGCTGCTGTCTTGCCAATAGTGCCGTCTTCGTCTTCGTTTGTTTCTTCTCCTATCCCCTTGTTCCCCGTTTTGGAGTCTGTCTGAATTTGTGCTGAGCTGGTTGGCCTCTTCCCCATTGCTGGGCTGAACAGGCCTGCCTGAGACATAGGGAGAAGGCATTTGTCGCGGGTGTCCTTCTGTGACAGGTCTGCACCCACAATAATCTCCATGCCGTCTGAGGGTGAAGGTTCCTTAGGAGTTGGTGGCACTGATGTGTTTGGGTTCGAGTGCCAAGGGGACGAAGAGGCAGACAGCCGCCGCCGTCGTAAACTTTCTACTCTAGCAGCCTCCGCGAGCGCCGCAACACCTGCAGCCCTTTCTTTATGCTGCGCCAAGCGTAGCAAAATGGCAGGGCTTGAAGTACCTTCCAAAGCTTCTGTGGAGCTGCCACCTTCTGCAGCAACTTTTTGGCGTGTTTCGCCGACACCATTTACTGTAGCGGCAGCCTTTTTTCCTTGTGACTTGCTCTCGAATGGGCTCAACAGCCTATTGTCGCCAACTTGAGCACCTTCCTTGTGCTCGATATTGGTTTGTGAGGGCTCTAGGAGGGCTTTGCTAACAGCTTCCAAATCCACTCCGCCCCTCTGCATCAGTCTTGCGGGATGTATTTGCCTTTCGCTTTCCAGGGGTGTGTGCTGCTCTGTCGCTGTCTGTCTTGACGCGGAGGCTGAGGCAGACTGACGCTGCCTAAGTCGCTGCTTCCTCTGCTCCATTTCTCTTTCCTTCAAGGCTGCAAGCAATTCTCGTTGCTGTCCTCTAATGTGAATTGCTGCTTCTTTAGAAGCCCCACTTGTTTTTTCTACAGGACGAATCTCTTCTTCGCTGTCGTCTGTTTCTACCTCCTGTTGGTTGGCTGTCGGCCCTTGAAGCTCGGCGTCAGTATTGCCAGGGCCTTTCTGCATGCCAGGTAGCCTTTTCGAGGTGCAGCTCTGTTCCAGTGAATTGCGGTTCGCCTTGGCTGTAAGCGGAAGAGCTCTCCTGGCCGCATTCGAGTCTGGCTCTTTTCCACTGCGTCTTGTCTTGGTTTCGTTGTGCTCTTTGCAGCCAGATATTGCCTTTTGTTCCGTTGGGGCACCTTGGCTTGAAGCAGGGGCTGCCACAGTGTTTGTTGAAAGGGGGAAAACAGGAATAGATATGGTGGCAGACGCAGACGGGAAGTGATGCTCTCTGAGCCTTCCCTCAAGTTGTGCCTCTGCTGCGTCTGTGGTGGACGCCAGTACCTCTCGCTGTCGAATGCAGATTCGCCTCATCATCAATAAAGCTGCTGCATGTTCGCTGGCTTCGGCGGCTCCAGCAAAGTAGCCCGCATCAGCACTGCTGCGTCCTTGTTGCGTTTCCTCTATGTTTGTGTGACTGTTACCAATATCAGACTGAAGCGACTGAACTCGAAGGCCTACTTTTTCTGGTGCTGAGCCTGCTTCCGATGGTGCCCCAGACTGAGTATTCTTTTCAGCTTCCATTGACGCTACGAGAGCCTTGCTAACTGCCTCCAAATCCACTCCGCCGCTTTGGGCAGCCCGTGTCTCTCTGGCTTCATGCGGTGTGTGCGCCTCTGCCTCAGTCCGTCTGGACGTAGAAACCGAGACTAACGCTGAGGCTGAGTGAAGCTGCCTCACTCGCTTCTCTCTTCGCTCCAATTCTTTCTCACGTAGGATTGCCAGCAGCGTCCTTTGCTGAGCTCGCATGTGGGTGGCAGCTTCCTGAGCAGCCTCAAGTGCCTGTCCAGAGAGGACAGCATCATCTGCCCCATCAGCAAACGCTGCTGGTATTGGCTCGCTCAGCTTTGCTTCAGCGGCATCGGTTGCTGCAGCTGGAACATGTATGACGGGCGTCGCCGTGACCTCTGGCTGGGGAGCTCCGGAATGCCTCACTACTTCGTCTGGAGAAGCGCCGCCTCCTGCGCTAAGGCCCAATTTTCCGCTGACCCCTCTGTCTGCATTGGTTTGGTCGTCGCGCTCAGCATGAGAGTCCTCTGGGTGCGCTGTGGCGACTCGGCATGATGCACTAGCAGAGGCAGGAAAAGATATGGAGGCAGACAATGCTGCTGTAGATACTGACACAGGACCAGGATATGAGCTAGATCCAGGAGACGTTACGGACACAGGGGCAGATTGGCGTTCCCTGCGCTTGGCGTCTGCCGGTTCTGGTGTGATCGTCGGCAGTTCCAGCTCGCGACCGCGAATTAGAGAGGCCACCAGTAAATCTCCCGCATGGCGACCTGGAGAAACACCAGACGGCTTTTCGGCGTGATTATGCCTCCCTACAGACTTCGTCTTGCAGCGGGTAGCCACATTAGAATTGATCAAATCCGCTGCAGCTGCTGGTATTTCTGCTGATGCTGCAGCCTTTGCTGTCGTTGCTGCTTCTGATGCCGTTTCTGCTCCTGGCGCTTGATGATTAGAGACCTTCGCTTTTAATGATGAGTTTAATATGGCTTTGCTGACCGCATCCAAGTCTACCCCTTTCCACTGCGCTGCTCGGGTCGTTTTGGCCTGTATTTGTTTTGCGTCTCCTCTTTCTGTGTGCTGCTCTGTCGGCGTCTGCCTTGATACAGAGATGGAAGGTGATGCTGACCGCCGCTGTTTGAGTCTCCTTTTTCTCTGCTCTTTTTCTTTCTCTCCCAAGGTCGCCAACAGTTTAAGCTGATTTTTTTTGGCAATACTTGAAGCATGCGACTGCTCACGTGGAAAAGCAGCAACATCAGCACCCGCCACGCCACACGGACTGTTGTCGCTGCTATCCTTGCTCGGCGGCGGCAATTTAACAAACGCCGAATCCAAAACCTCTGGAATACCTGCAATTTGTTTCTGGCCTAGCTGTTGTTGTTTTTTCTTCTGCTGCAGTTTCGATGCATTTTCATCAGCTGAAATCTTGTCGTCTGCAGTGGACGCTAATAGTGGAAGCGAAGTACCACTTCGCAGGACAGCGAGCTGCTGAGTTCCATTTGTGTCTAGTTTGATCATGGCGGCACGCCGGCTTGCATAAAGTTGCTTTTGGCGCGTAGGAATAGTGCTACCTTCAAGCTTGCTTGGAAGTTGAACGCACTCCTCACTCTGGTCTTCAGGAAAGCTCAAGGCGGGGGAAGCCGCCTCAAAATCCCGCAGGTAAGCAGCAGGACTTGGTGCAGACCCTTGTTCCACATCCCGACTCACTTTCAAAACGCAGGCTCGCGTAGAATTAAGGCGTTTCCCTTTCAACACTGCGGGAGAGGATAGACTGCCATGGTGACGGTGGTGGTGACGTTGGTGATGATGATGGCTCCGCGTGCTGCGTCTACAGCTGCTGGAGCTACTACCGCGGCTGTGGCTCTGGCTATGTTTCCGGCGACTATGTCTGTTCTTCTTTCGACTGCTGCTGTTCTTCCCGCTGCTGCTGCTGCCGCTGCTACTATTGTGACTGCTGCTGCTGATGCTGCTGCTGCGGCTGTGTCTATCGATGCTGTGGCTATGGCTGTGGCTGTGGCTTTGGCTGCGGAGTCGGGGCTCCTTCTTGGTCCTGTCTCTGAGTCTCCTTGGAGACTTTCTTGCCCTCTTCTCAGAGACGCCTTCACTATGCCCTTTCCAATGAGCTCTGCCTGGGTATTCAGGGTAGGCCTTCCGCACATCAAATGGCCCCAAGGCTCTCACGGCCAGGGCGGAGGCACGAAATGCAATCACGTCTTCCGGGGTCGCCGTATATCCCCGAAATAGGCCTTCTCGGCAGATGCCCTTGGGGAGCTCATCAATAGCCGTCCTTGTGTTCTGCGCTGAGATGCTCCCTGTCAAAGCTGCCGTCGTTGAAGTTGGTGGTTGCATCCCAGAGGCGTCAATGCCTTTCGTTGAGGGCTGGGCATGTTTCTGATTCTGTCGGAGTTCCTTGTACCTACGCGCAGCCTCTTGAAGGGAAAGGGTAGCGGCCTCGCTTTGAGGCTCAGGTTCAGGTTGAGGCTGCTGGTTTGGCTCCACAGAGCCAGGAGCGCCTGCTTTCCCTCGTTTTGAGCTGCCGATAGGAGGCTGCCGTGTATGGGAGGCTTTGGAGAGCCGCTGGGCACGGACTACAGGGATCAGAGAGGCAAAGGCGTCGAAGGGCTGTGCCAAAAAACAAACACCGGGGGCGAACAGACGCAAAGGATTCGTTCAAGAATGGAGAGGGACAGGGAGGAAACATCATCCAAACAGAAACAAGGGGGTGGATAGTCAACAAGAGAGAGAAAACGTGCTACACAAGCAATATCACGGGCTGGAACATAGTTGTGTGCTCAGGACAAGATCGACAGCAGAAAAACAGTAGCTAATGATTCTGATTTGCCTGTGCAACGGACAAAGACGGCAGTTTCAGGAGCAGGAGCGTCTGCCGAAGCAGTTATTTCTCGTTATTTGTGCTCTTTGCTGCACACAGCATTTGCAGATTGTACCCAGCGCGACTTTCAGCATACCTGGTAAGGATCCTTGAGAGCTTCTTCGAGTTTTTCCGCCACCAGTGCAGCCTCCTTACAAAGCAGCGTGCTGGCTTCTGGGGCTTTCAGTGGCTCCGCTATTGACTGGACCTTCAGCTGAGATGATGAGAAGAACAAAATCGAGGACAAAGAACAAAGGACACGCAACGGTGCAGAAAAGGTGGACCAAAAAGGCCACTAGGGCCTATACGCAATGGCAAAAGTCTTGCTTTGCAGACAAATGCGAAAATACTGCCCAACTGTGCCGAGTTTATTTATGAGCAACGAAAATAACGCGGGGAAAAAAGCAACAGTATTTCCGTACATCTAGTACAAGCTCCCAATATGTCGCATTATTCATATCTTTTGTCCGTTTCCACCAACACTCCCCAGAAGGCTTTATGTGCTCCAATGGAAAAAATAACAATCTCTTGAGGTTACCATTAGCAACCTGCAAGTAAGTCAAACTCGGCACCCAATTTCTCAATAAATTCGCCGCAAGCTAGTTGCGTGATTGTTGTTATTACTAAAAGGTAGCTGGCAGCTCCTCTTCGGCCCTGTGAGCTGTAGCTAGCTGTTCAGTAAACCCAGATAGCTTCCTCCTATCCACTACTATGACACTTTGGGGATTGGCACAGCATGGGATTGGTCGGTGGCTACTTCAGCACCAAAGGCTGCATCAGCCTATGGGGCGACAATGTGGATATGGACAAAATGGACTGACTCTCAGGGCTATACTCCGCCTCGTTCTGTGACCTCGGTAGCGAGCTTGGATTTTCGTTGCTGCGAAGTTCTGTACGGCAAGGAGAAGAAGAAGCACAGCAAATGAAAATGCAAGAAAGGCATAACTGTGAACACTGCAAGCGGGCAGAGAGTGGAACGAGGCACCCACCGATTCGCACACATGCACATGAGCATATTAATGTGCATAAACATGCACACATACGTGCGTATGTCATGCCATAGTTTGCACCATGGCATGAACCGTTTGCTGCTTGACAAACAGGAAGAACGAGTACTGTTATATGTGAGAAGGTGAATCTACGCAGTCTGTACATAGTGACACTAACATGCGTATGTTCGTGCGCATGAATTTGTAAATGAGCTTAAGCCTGTGCATACACCTTCAGGTACTCATTCATATGCCCAGACGCATGCACCTATAGCATACGTATACATATATGCTTTTCTGTAAAAATGTACAAGCGAACTCGAAGACTATAAGCGGGTTGCTTGTGCATGGACTTTTACTAAGCACACAGACACTCGCGGTCAAGCGATTCAAAACCGTGTACGTATACATATATCTGCCTACTCACAAATGTAAAGCTGTATTACCCGTACCAATGCATCTCTATACATGCAAATAAACCTGTACTCTTCATATACACGCCCAATTACACGTGCGACGGGCCACATACTCTCACACACAGGAATAAAGTGGGCTTGATGCACGATTACAGCCATACCTCGAGAAAAATTTTCGTGTCTCTGTTTTCTCTTTTTCTCCTAAGCAATTCCTTAAGTTGGGCTCTTTCCTGCTTCCTGATGAAAGCAAACAGACCGGGTGAGCCGCGAAGAGTTATGGTTCAGTAAACATGGAACGAAAGTACTGCAGAAGTCCGCTGATGGCTTCGATCGTACTCCATGGCACCACTCGCTCAATTTACAAAAGCCACAGAATTCACTGTTGTGCCGCTGAGGCTATTACTGCAGCTGAAATTGCCGCAAACTAACTGCAACCTTTGCAGCACAGTGTTGCATGATTTAAGGCAAACGCAACAATCGCTTATTCGCTCTCTCGCATATGGTTCCACGGAATCATCAGCTAGCTTCCTGTTTTCCAGTTGCTCTCTTAAGGCGTACCAGGTCTGTAGGGCCTCTGCAACTGCCTCGACTGCGACTAGGCTGCTTTCCCCTCTAACTCCTGCGTCTGTGCTAGCCTTGGGAAGCGCCAACTCTGCGTTGGCTTCTGTAAAGGCTTTGGCCACGAGAGGGCTTATTCCCAACCGTGCAGCTGTGCGGCTCATGCAGTCATTGCGTTGCGTGCGGTAACTTAGACGCTCAGCCGTCAGGAGAGCTTGCTGCCGCTGCTGCTTCTTAGCTTTGTGTCGCAGCCATGCTCGCTCTATGAGGCGAACCTTCGCCGTTGCTTTTTGCCGATTGGCGTTCAACTGATGAGCAGCACAAACACAGATAATATGCAAGCACAGGTTACACTGAGAAAACGTACACGTTCCAAATAGTGAAGTAGTATGAAAACGTATAAATGACAGGATAGTGGAGTCAAACAGCTACATGAATGGACAAAACACACCGATACAAACGAATCATCAAGGAAACAAGGAAAACAGAAACGTTAGAGCCTAAGAAGAAACAAGCAGATGAGTACAAATGGACAGCTGTGTACAAGCAAAAAGATAAAGCAATGGACAGGAGGCGCTCGTGCAACAGTGCGAGACAACTGTAGTGCACTACATGCAAGTAACAACCGGCGCTGTAACGCTTGCGTTCACATCCATGCCTTTCTCTGAAAATTCCTGCCTGTCCGTCAGCACTGCCCAGATGTGTTCCCACTTTTTTTAGAAGCTCTCTTTTATACCAATCCACCTCTGGTCCCTCCAGCCACTTTAACTCCACAGGGGTTTCCTGGCTGCCTTTGGGCCCCTCCGTTGTAGTTGACGGGCCCCGGTAAGGCCCATCCGCTTCAATTCGTCTGTTGCTGCCTTTCAATGGAGAACTTTCGCAGACTCCTTGGGTCAGCTGCGGATTGTTGCCGCCGTGTTGCACCTGCAGCATATGTGTCTGAGTAGCTGACACCACGCCAGCGTTACTCAATCTTTCTTCCCTAGGCATGCTTTTAGATGCCTCTTGGTGGGTAACCTTTTGAGCCTCGTGGATATCCGACGGGCTATTGCATCGGTAGAGGGAATGGATCACAGGGGCACACGCCTGGGTCGTGCCATGAGGGAGAGGGCGGCGCAGGGCTGCCACTGTTTGTGCTAAGCCCTGAGGTAACCCGCGAAAAGTAAGTGCGGGTCTGGATGTTCCTAGATAGTGGTGGATCAGATAAAATCTCTGCAATAAATGAGGCAACAAATACAGGACAGAGACACTACATGCAGCTGCAACTGCGTTGAAGACAGTAAACTGTGAAGGAAATAAACTCTCCCAAAAAGCAAAGATAAGACACTAAACAGACACAGGCTTCAGCAGCCTAAGGGCACCTTAAGGAGGCTTGGCTCTTGCTTGGGGTCCGGTAACAAGCCGTGACTGAGGGCCTCTGGAGGGATGCAGACGGCAGGAGGGCCCAAAGGCTGCAAAGCTTTTACTTGAGAGCGATGCAGCTGCAGACCCATTGCCCACGGCTGGACAGGATCTACGGCAAACGTCGCTGATGCAGGTGCCGCATAACTGCACCCAGCAGTCCCTGAAGACCCTGCGCCATACTGGTGAAGTGCCCAGGGACTGGCAGGGGGAAATCTGAGCGCTTCTGGGGAACTTGTAGGGATCGCAGAGACCCCACGGGGCTGGGAACCCGTCGAGGCAACGGGATTCATGGGCCGTGTCAGCGGTGTATGAAGAGACTGAGTTCAGGCTCCGCTCTTTTGTATTCCACATTGGTGGGACACTTCACGCGTAGCTACCTCCATGTATCTGAGAAATCCCCAGCCATGCTGAAGGATATTGCCGTTGCTGCTGCCAATCGAAGCTGCTGCTCTAACGGCCACCCACGAGAAGCAGGACGAGTAAGTCATTGCCTGTTATGGCTAATACTCGAACGAAGGTCTACAGGAATGAATCATGCTCTATTCTGTAGATGAATGTACCAAGGGAAATCAGAGAAAAGATAGGCTGGGGGTTCTCTTTGCGCAGTACGTAGAAGATACTACATGCTCCTGTGAAAGGGGGAGGGAAACGGTGACTCGCTCGGTGAATTAAAAGATAAGGATGAAGTGCCAACTCAAATGAAGCAAAAATTATGACAATCGAAAAAATAGTGTAGTAGAATTCATGGTGTGAACAATAACATGAGGCAGCATCGCCGATAATCGGCTGCAGCCCTCGGCACTACAGAAACGCTGTGTGGCAAGAGATTCTCCTTCTTTATAGTTTGAGGTGAAGATAAAGAAAGCAAAAGATGGAAATAACCTATAGAAAGCCGAAAACGCGTTAAGGTTGCAGTTGCTGCCGCGGGCGACCGAAATGACCACCGGCCAGTCCGTCACCATGTGGTACCTCACCGCAGATGAAATCCCGTTTGCGGAGCTAAAACTTAAGTTGCGGATAGCCCGTGCATTCAGACACAACCTACATGCCAGGAGACGCCTGTATACTGTTTCGTTAGCTCAGTGCAAACTCGCAGCAGTGAGTTGGTAACGGCGGCTCGCCAGGTGTTTGCGCCCTCGATCCGAGCAGCCAAGTTTCATTAAGCTAAACTTATTACTTCTCTAATGCTATGCTGCACTCTATCGATACAAGGCCGTCGAATCGTGGAACTTAAACGTACCATGCACCCGCACGAAGTGGCCTGCTCGGCCAACAAAACCGCAGGGTGTAGAGGCAATGTGGCCTATACGTTATTCGGAAATGTCTTCACGCAGTGCTCCACTACGCGGCACTCACTAGCACAAGCCATAGCCATAAAAAACTCGTCCCTAAGCTAGTAGTGGGTGTGGTTGGCAGCGCAGCAGAGGCCGCTTGCTCTTATTACAGTCCACGTACAACACTGCTACCACGCACCAAAAATTAGCCCCGATGGTCTATAACCACGAATCCTCAACTATGCGCGTCTCATTTCTCGATTCTCTGGAAACGACGACACTTGGAAAGGCAGCAACGGCCTCATGGAGCCAAGTTTTGGCGTTTAAAAATCATCGCCCAACTCCTATACTTTCGCCGCTAGTTAGCCCTGTGGCCTTCTTGTGCCGCGAGACTGTAACTGGGCTGCATATACACCCACTTGTCCGCATGTGCCGCCGGTGACACTCAACCTTAGTCCTTTTACTGTCGTCAGTCGTATTGCTGCCGCAACTGCATCCACGTTTCCGGTTTCCACGTTGCATGCGAGGACTGGCCCTTCTTCCGCTTGAGTTTCTCGCGTTCCTTGATTGTCAAAGCCTTCTTACGTGCCTCCGTCTCTGCCAGAAAAACACAAACAAATGCAGGTACGGGCTGAACGCTGCAAGTGTGTTAGTATGAAATTATATTCACACTTCGGTGGACTCATTCACACAAATACGCGCTCACATACGTATATGTGTACCACTCGGCACAGCATCTATGCGTGCATGTACGTGACTGGCTCGTATGCATGCTTGTGCGCATCTGACCTTTGCTCCGTTTTTCGTTTTCTGCAGTTTGTTCTTCCGCAGACGGCTTATAACCGCCGCGGCCCTCAATGCCTACAAGAGGCACGTGCCAGCCCACACCCACTGGCAGGCCCACGTACACTGCAACGGAAACGGAAAGATGCATCAAACTACTAAATGATGTATGAATTACGTAGATGGGCCAAAAGCAAAAATACCAACACACAGACAAAAGCAGTCTGCAACGTACACACCGCGCAGGCAAGCAGCATAATAGCAAGCCGCAAAAACAAAAAGATCGAACAAAAAGCTGGACCGGCAAATGCTAGAAACCGGGTATGGATCGTTACAAATATGTTTACTGTGGGAAGGGCAAAGATGACTTAGCAGACCTTCAACAGGGTTCCACTCAGCTACACTGGCATACTGCTTTATGCCTCTGTGTCTATCTGTGCCTCTTTGTATTTGTCACCTTGCTGCTGCTTCTTCGGAGGAGTCCTTCTGGGGCCCCCTGCTGGCGCTGCAGCAGGCACGTGTTGTATTTCATCGCCCGCCAGCCTTGCTGCTCTTGCCGCTTGCTCTGCTTCTTGCTGCTTTCTCTTTTGGCTGACTCTCTCCTCTGCTTCCTGTAAAGCCAGTTCCACGGGAGGAAACGACGCCTTGGGGCACTTCTCGTTCTGCTGCTGCTGTTGCTGCTGTTGCTGCTGCTGAGCAGGGCGCCGCCGTTGGCGGCGGCCTTCCCTCAGCAGTGCATGGATGCTGAAATCCTCATCGTCTTCGTCAACGTCCCCTGCTGCGTCTACTGCCGCACTTGAGGCTTTTGATGAGTCAGTAGCTGCTACATCTGCTGCCGCTGCTCCCTTGGCTGCTGCAGGCTCGGCTTCGGTGCCCCGCGATGAGTGCCCCTCACTGGGGGCCTCTGTGGGCTCCGCTGCTTCTTTGAAGATATCACAGGGTGATGGGGGCTCTGAGTCCGAGCTAAAGCCATCCAGGGCCCTTTGAATACGGCTGAGCTCTCTTGGCTGTAGCATATCAAAATGTAGGTGAGAAGTAGAGGTGGCGCTCAGGCTCTAGAAGATGATGGCGGGGCTGGGAGGACAATCAGACACAGTGTTCACCTGTAGTTAAAAATCTGTTCTATTTCATTATGTTCGTGCTGACGCCGATTGAGACCTGCCCCTTCCTTTCTCAAGCGATTTCGCAGCGCATCGGGAGGAATGAGAAGGGTGAAATGATTTGGAAATTGTACGCAGATAAACCTTCGATATGCGAAGGAATTCAAAAGCTTTTTAGCTATGCAATAATTTCGATGTCAGCTGAAGGGTAAGAATCCACGTGTAAACACGCATATTGCACAGGGCCCCCCCCAAAAGAAACATCGGCAGAATAGTACTGGTCGCTTACTGATTGAGTCACAATCAAAAGATGCTGTCAATTTCGCTATTTAGCCCAATTAGTAAATAGACAAAAAGAAGCATTGATACGGAATGAGAGTTACTGCTGTTGGTATCTCGTCCATCCAGACGCATGCAGCACGTGGGATGCGCTCTACTTACAGGCGAGCAGCCTTTGCTCAACAGTCACCTTCCGTACAGAAATGTTTGTATTTAGCTTGCTTGTGGGCCACATATACAGAATTATAGCCCAATCCTGCAGCCTGCTGCCTACACCGCTTTTGAGTGTGGTAGTATTCCCTTGGAAGAACGCGCCTTCGCATTGCTCAGACTCGGCAGCTGATCACATGGTTCGCAAGTAAAAGATGAATGCATGCACTCGCTGTGTTACAGGCTGCGCTGCAGCAGCGCTTCCAAAGGCTGGGTCCCGGGGCCTCGCCTCAGCAGCCGCTGCTGCTGTACCATTTCACTACTCACCCCTCTTCCAACATTCCAAAGAACCCAAATGCCAATTCCGCCGTCTGGACACTCTAAGCAACGGTGTGTATAGGCGCTTCAATGCCTGTTTTCATGCATGGATACATGCAAACCCCTGCCTGTTTGTCCAACCCCATCGCTCACACTCTGTTGTCGCGGCGATTGCTTGGCCCCCATGTTACTTGTTGCCTGCAGCCTCACCCGAACTGCAGCTGCATGATTTTAAGTTGTCTCTTTCTCCGTCCCCAATGCCCTAGGCATGCATGCAAGCGTACAACGATACATTTGTGCATCCCCCTGTGCTGTTGTGGCTCCTTCAGAGATTAAAGCAGAAAATGTAACAGGTCTCGGTCGAATCCTGCGTGTGCCGGCGAGCACCCTCACTGCTCTATCTCGCGAGGCATTCGGGGACTTGGCCCACCTGCTGCGGCCTTCTCATCTTCAGCAGCTGAGAAATATATTGGATGACAAAGACAGCAGCGTTAACGACAGGGCAGTGGCGCTGGAGCTGCTGAAGAACGCCTGCATTGCAGCTGGCAGGTTGGAAACGACCCATGGAATTGAGCTTATACACTGATTTTTGTACCAATCGTGCTAACATGCATGCATGTGATATCGAATACTGCATGCACGTAGTTCGTATACGTGCATGGCAGCTGCATGTCTGCACGCACGTGAAACGCACCAATACATGCACGCTTACAGTATCACTGTATGGATTTACTGCATCTGCGAAATGCGTGTCAGGCCTATCATGAGCATGCATGCTTGCTCACAAGTTACAGTCATGCGTACAAGTTCCCTGCATGCGTTGTATCGAAACATTGTAGCTATTCGTTGCTAATGCGCTTCTGCTTTCCGATGTATTATGTTTGTCCGTGTACCTTAGGGTGCTCCCCGGATGTCAAGACACCGGCACTGCTATAGTGGTGGGAAAAAAAGGCCAGTTTGTATTTACTGAAGGCGCAGATGAAGAAGCTCTATCTAAGGGCGCGTATCTGGCCTACACTACTGACAATCTTCGATACAGCCAGGTGCGCTGGCGGGGTAGCTGCATGCATTGTGGACGTGGCTTTATTCTAGTATGGGTTGCCTTGTACTGTGTTGTGGTCATATCTGTCGATGGTTTTCCGTAGAGTAAGTGATGCCAACTAAAAGGTAAACAAGTAGCAGTATCCTCAGTGTATACCATGCCTGAATGGGAACACGGTGCCCTACAGCAACTACAATCACAAATACGTAGCAGCAAGTATTTCTTCGTGACGGAACTATGTGCCTAATTCTCTTCTGTTATTTATCGTATTACCTTTTCACACCATGCGTTGAAACCGCAGATGGCTCCCCTGGACATGTTCACAGAGCAAAACACAAAGTGCAATTTGCCCGCACAAGTTGATATCGCAGCAGTAGACGGCAACTCCTACGAATTTCTTTTTATTGCGAAGGGAGGGGGCAGCGCAAACAAGACATTTCTCTATCAGCAAACTAAAGTAAGTAGCCGGACGGGAGATAGCCCACTCACATCCTTCTTCGCGCTCTTCTACGTCTTAAGCCGTTTGTGCTTGTTTGTGCCCCCGGCATTGCGTATTTGCGTTGCCCTGAGAAGATGCGTCTGCATGAACTGCATTCAGTGTCCACTGCTGCTGTTTGTGGTCTTGAAGTGTACGTCACTTTGGCTCTGCTGGCCATCAGCTGTATTGTCTCCTGTCTGTTTGCGATCAATTCCTGTCTTCACTTATCTATCTCGTGTTTATCTCTGTCTGAGCGTGTCTGGCTCTGCTGTTTTTTGTTCCCCATCCTCTATTTCACCTATCTCGAATTGACACAAAAGGTCCCCCCTATCTGCACACAATTGGTTTTATTCTGCTGGTACTTCCCCTGTTGTCCGTGCAGATGCGGCTCCTGTTACTTGGGGTGCCCGTACCTGCTCTTGCCGTTACTGTTATTTCAATTCGTTCTTCTAGTGCTGGTGCCCAAAGTCTCTCTCTTTGTTCATCACATATTTTGTGATCACTGAAGCTTCTGCTGCTACTGCGCATGCGGCTTCCACTGTCGCTGCTCCCAGGGTTTGTTGACCCCAGCCAAGTTGTCTGCATTCCTGGAAGAGAAGATTCGCACGATTGGCACATCTGCGTGTCCCCCTTACCACCTTGCTGTGGTGATTGGGGGCCTTTCAGCTGAGCAGACTTTAAAAACGGTCAAATTGGCCTCTTGCCGATACTTGGACTCCTTGCCAACCAGCGGGAACCAGCACGGGCGGGCGTTTAGAGACTTGGAGATGGAGGAAAAAATTTTGAGTATGACAAGGGAGATTGGAATCGGTGCTCAGTTTGGAGGCAGGTACTTCTGCCATGATGTGAGGGTTATCAGACTGCCCAGACATGGAGCCTCCTTGCCTGTGGGGATTGGCGTATCATGCTCAGCTGATAGGCAAGCGCTGGCCGTTATTAACGAAGATGGAGGTGAGGAATATAAGCATTCATTAGCTGGAAGATGTGAGCATATTTTTGTGCTTGGTGCCTGCCCGCGCTCGTTATTCTAACCTGCGCTTTCCCAGCGAAAAAAATGTGGCCTCCTTAAATCGGCTTGCCTTGCGAATAGGGGAACAAGGGATGGGAAGGAACAACTTTAGTCAGCCTGTACCCTTTTCAAAGAGACCTCACTGGATTTCCGAATTATGCACACGCAAGCAATAACACAGGTAGAACTATAGGCGCACGTACTTTATAGCACGTCGTATCTGGCTCTATTTCTACCTTCAGTTTTCCTGGAGCAACTCGAGACGGATCCCACAAAATATTTGCCCTCAGTTACGGATTCTGACCTGGGCATAACTGAGCCGGTGCGTCTAAGTCTTGACCAGCCTATGTCGCAGCTGCTGCAGGCACTGCAGCAGCTGCCTTGCAAGACACGACTGTCTCTGTCTGGGACATTGATTGTAGCTCGGGACATTGCGCATGCGAAGCTGATGGAGAGGCTCGAGAAGGAAGGAGATCTCCCGGAATACTTTAAACAACACCCTATCTACTATGCTGGTGAGGGAGGTCCCCTGCTGCAGAAGCGGCGAAGCTGCCGCCGGTGATGCTGCTGCTGATGCTGGTACTGGTTGCGGCGGCATTTTTGAAGGTGCTGCTGCTGCCGTGGTTGCTTTGCCTACTGTTTTGTTTGTTGGCTGCAGCTGCAAGTGCTGTTGATTGCGCTCGCTGTGTCTCGCGCCACCGCTGCTGCCGTTTAGTACGGCGCTTTATGTTAGTCTGCATCTGCCGCTCCTGCTCATGCATCTAGAGCTGTGGATCTAGGGCCCGATACTGAGCGTGTTTGTGGCTTCAAGGTCCCGCGAAGACTCCCGAGGGCCGGATTAGCGGCTCCTTCGGCCCCACCACTGCCGGCCGCATGGATCCGTACGTGCCAGCGTTTATGGCTAAGGGTGGCAGCATGGTGACACTTGCGAAGGGCAACAGATCAGCCACAGTCGCTGAAGCCTGCAAGAAATACGGCGGAGCCTACTTGGGCTCCATCGGGGGCCCCGCAGCCAGAATCGCAGAGAACTGCATCAAAGAAGTCGAAGTAGTTGAGTACCCGGAACTTGGCATGGAGGTAAAGCTGGACTGAGGGTTTAGGGGTTGGCGTTTTATATTGGGGGTGAAGGGTTTGGGGCTTTGGGGGTCTAGTGCTAGGTGGGTTGGGCTCCAGCCTTTGCTTTTTGTGGGTGGAATTCAAGGCGTGCAATTCTAGCGCCTGTGATGTAGGACTACGTTGATGATGGCATTTAGGGTTGTGGGTTCCTGCGTATCAGGCTGTCTGGCGTATTCGTGTGGAGGACTTTCCAGCATTTGTTGTTATAGACACCAGCGGAAACGACTTCTACAAAACATGGATGCCCTGAGCTCTTCAGGCCAGTGAAACCTGAATCTCAAGAGTTAATTCCCCACGCCACAGCGCTGCACCCTAAATTATACTTAAAAGGCCCACTAGAGGCTTGAAAGTGCTTTTTTTACTCGGATGAAAAGGTTACGAACGCATCCGGAGAATTTTCGTGGCATAGGGGTTGTTTGTTAGGTGTGCGGACGAGCAGCATCTCCCGCAGCCTACGAAATAGAGAGAAATGTCCAGCCATGCATCATCATCATTCTTACAGCAGTTAGCTTACTAGTTTGTCACCTGTGGGTCGTATGATGTGACGGCCATCGGGTCATAATGCAGACAGTTGGTGAAGCCTGTATGTGTCCATTCTCCTTCAGTAACATAACGCTGTGAATTATATTGCGCATAAAGTTGGCATATGTACTAAAGCTGCTTACATTTATGTTAACAGAATGTGTTTGTGTTTGCTTTTAACTATGCATGCCACCCTGTAGACATATACTTTCATTCATAAGTAAGTATGCACGTGTTTTCGTTAGGAGAAAACATGCAAGTAATTGAGGACAGGCACACATGAATTGGATGGGTCTGTTGCTCATCTGTGGCTACAAACCGCGAAGTACACAATTTTCACTTTGTTTGTAAGGAAGATATGGCGGTACTGATCCTTCAGGTAGGACCTGCGTAAGTGTACACTGACGAGTTTATCTGAGTTTAGGGCTCAGGGGAGAATAAGCTCAGAAAGGCGGCATAGATTCAAGGGTTTTGGGTTTAGAGCGGTTAATTATGAGCAAGCTGTGAACTAGGAAAGAGGGGATCGGAAGTGCGGACGGGGAAACGAAAATCACCTTCAGGATTTTGGATGTGAGAACAAAAAAAGCGAAGGGAAAACTGAGGTGCTGAAGCGCAAGCCCGAGAGTGATGCGTCACCTGAGCTCGAATAGGTGGCGGCTAGCGGTGGCCAGGTATGGCTAGCCGAAGCAGGGCAATTAAGGAGTTCGCAAAGGATATCTGGCTGAGCATATGTGGCCATGATGGTTTGTTGCATGACCAAGGCAAACAGGAACGAAAAAGTACCGAGAACCACGAGCTGACACTTAACGCGCGAAAAATGTGCAAAATTAAGGGGGCCCGAGACACGGGCACTTGTGCCGCCCTTCCCGATGCGGCGAAGCTTGTTCGTAACTATCCAGCCTAGTTCTTAAGCTTACATGCGTACTAGTGGGGATGCACTAGGCAATGAACTCGCCCTCTGTACTTAGACACTTAGGTCTATAGGTTTTTATGCGTATACATTGAGTATGCGAAGCACTTCGCAAGGAGTTTCATGTTTCAGCTGATGTTACGCGCACTGCAGAGGGGCTCTGCTATTCCCGCGTTCCCAGCGAGTTAAAGTGTATACACTCCCGAAAAGCTTGGTATAAAAACCCACAAATAAATTCATTCCGTGGAAATTTGCGTAAGTCTGCGAGAAGATCTAAGTGTATCTGCTCATGTTCCTGAGAGCACACCTCTCATAGCTCTTTGGTGTGGCCATAGGTTATAAGCTCCAACTAGCCGCTGCATATCAGGCACATATTCTTTGATGATTCTCTTATTTGCACGGCACAACTAAGCATGAGCAAAAGTCTCGATTTAGCATCTGTCTGCCTCTCCAGATGCTCTAACTTCCTTCAACCTAACGGCGGCTTACGGAAATCCCAACAACTACACGCGCCTTGAAAGAGATCTTACGCTTTCATACGGTCTCTCTCCTTCAAAGTACTTCAAACTACAGAGCAGAAGCTAAGGTGGATGTACTTTGCGGAAGGTGCCCGGCCGCCTACTGTTTTGTGTGCAGCAGCATCGGCATTTAAGGCTGGGTAATTTGAGGCTATGGACCATCGAAATCCTTGCACTAGGTTTCATTTAACAGTGTTAATTTGAAATAAAACTGCTTCTACTATTGGTAGGCCTTCTGTTCGTGTGCTGCATAGCAAGCGGAACCCTGGCCCCCTTGTGGCTGCTGGGGTAGCGACATGCGAAGGCGCTGTTGCAGTGTATCGGCAGGCTCATACAGGGGCTTGTTTCCTTGCCTTCGATAAATTTCAGAGTGATTTATGTACTGTGCGTACAAAGAAGGCATTGCAGGCCATCTTCCCCCAATTGCTCAACAGCCACATCAACTCGCTAGTTGCCAGCAGAAATCATACACAGCAGGGTCTCATACCTGCACCTGCAAAGGAAACAACTCTTGCGTCCTACAAGTGACCCTGAGGAGAAGTGAGCAGTCTTCACACCGGCGGCTGCACTAGTCTCTGAATCAGCTGCAGGCACGGAAAGAGCAGCTCTAGCAGAAGCAGCGGCACAACAACCGCAACTTCTAGGACGTACAGGAGTACCGTGCTAGGCTGCTTTCAAGAGTCATCTGGACGACCGCTGCCTCTGTCGACGCTGCCGCCGCTGCCAGTACTGCTACTGGCGTGTGACAGCTGACGTGACGCCCCCTGTTCTCGAAAATGGCGCAGCCAGGAGATGGCATCGACTGGCCGGGCCTCTACAGATGGTCCATAAAATATTCAGGTGAAGCAAAGCGTCCGATGCAGTAGCAGCAACTACATCAGCACTGCAGTTGAGCTGCGATATGCTGGGTTTGGCCGAACTCGGCTACTGACCTCTCGTTCTGCTTCCATGCTTCTTTTCACTCACCTATGCACTGGGCGATAAACCCTACACGTCAGCCCTTAACTATATGCACAGTTTGCTAAACTGTGGGTACAATGTCTCCACGTGCACTTGCTCATAACCACTCCGACCCTTTCAACTACTGCACCCGTGATTACTTGTTTTTACTGTTTATTCAATCATGCTGCATTTCCTCCAAGAGCGCAGGCAAGATGAGGAAGGCGTCAACGTCCCAGTTCCCTGGTGCATGACAGTTCAATGGTGACTGTGCGTAGGGGCAAGCTTGGTACTGCTATTTGTTAGTGTCCATTCTATTTGTTACCAGTATTCTGCTGATTGGACTTGTCGGTACAGATGGCACGTCTCCCCAGTGCCGCCTCAAGGAGGAGGATATTGACTTCCTACGTGGAGCCATTCAAGAGGCTTTCAAGGCCGAAGAAAATCCCGTAGAGGTCATTAAAGAGCAAATGACCATAGTGAACAGCTTTCTGAACTCACAAACGAAAGGTATGTCAGCCTTTAACCCTCAACTTGAACTTTTAAGTACTGTAGTGGCCATGTCTTCTATTCCGGACCAGCGGGATTGAGACGCTAGACACATAATGCGACATAGCATGTCCAAGGGCGCGCTCAGCGTGGACTTAAGTCATTATTATTATCAGGCTGTAGATTACGCATTAAGCTGTTTCCTTTGGGAGCAAGGCACGCCTTCAGTGCATAGTGCTTCGGTGCACAGGCATTATGTAGCTGGGCCTTCGTAACATGGGAAAGCCTTCACATAAATCCTGAAGCTACTATGCTATTCTTTTATATTTAGCGGCACTTGTGTACTTGAGTTCTAAAGCAGAAGCGTAAGACGTGACAGTAAATCCTGTCCGTAAGCTCCAATACTCTTAGACAGTGTTAACTGGTTTTCGGAAGTGGCATTTCTGGTCCCACGCGATTTTTGCGTCTTCTGCTAAATTGTCGTCTGTTGTTTTTGCTGCTGTCAGGTCGTGACTGTATCGCTGCTCTATCAGTTGTGCAGCGCTTGATAGAGGACTATCCCGAACTTTCAAGGGACCTCGCTAAGTATGTTCCTGCTGTTGTTACCACTGGGGTTTTGCTGCGGATTAGGTTGCAGCCGCAGCCTCTTCTGCGGTTGCAGATGCCTTTACGTCTCACTTGGTGCTGCTTGTGCTGTTTCATATTTTGCTTTGGCTTGAAACTTTGACTGTTCTGTAGGGCTGCTGGTATTATCCCGATCGTGTTATTGCTTTTACTCCTGTTGATGTTCTTGCTCCTCTTACTTCTGCTTCCCAGGTTGAACGCTTTGGAGCCTTTGCTGCGGCTTCTTTCGATGGATCGAGCAACGCTCGCGGCCTCTGGGGGTCCGGCAACTGCAGCCCAGCAGCAGCAGCAACAGCAACAGCAGCCACAAGTGCTGGAGGAAAGCGAGGCTGCGAAAGCCTTCATAATTCTGGAGAAGACATTGGAAATCCTTGCATCTGTCATGCAGAACAACCCTCAAATTCAGCAAGCAGTTGCTGAACTGGGGGTCAGACAAGGTCTAGACGCTTAATGCTGAATCCATTTTCCGAGCTTTTATTTTCTGCTGTACTTCCTGGGCTTTCTGTTTGGGGGATCAATGTGGGAACATTTGCGGGAAAAAGTAACTCGATATCCAGCTATTTATTTGTCTTTTACTGTGCTTCTTACTTTTTTGCTCTCCTTTTGTGCTTAGGGACTAGGGGTGTTGTTTGCTCTAGTGAAGGAGAGCCCGCGGAGCAAGGCACTACGTGTGCGGGCGCTGCAGACGTTGTCGTGTTTGTTGCGCAATCACAGACCGAGTGAAGAAACGTTTTTGAAGAGCAAAGGGTTGACGTTGCTGGTCTACGCCATTAAAAGTGATGATCCTAAGGTGAGAACGAGCGGTTGCTTTCTTCGGTGCCGGTGCCTTGCAGTTGCGGTTGTCTCACTTTTTTGGCCCTGTGTTCCAGCTTTGGCTCTCGACTTTTGGCCTCTCGTCATTCATCGTTTTCTGTCACCATCCCTGTGCATATGTCTTTCGTTGCCTTTTTTGCTTCTTCTTGCTCCTGAGCACTCTTTGCAGATGTCTTGGTGCAGGGTATAGAATATATATCAAATTGCACTGGCTATATTTCCATCCACTTGTTTTTGTGGGGTGTTCAGTACCAAGAAAAAGCGTGTTCGCTTTGCAGACATTTGGTGGCTGAGGGTCTTATATCTTTTGAACAAATCAAAGAAACGGGACTCCTGCAGGCGCTCGAGATGCTGTTGCCGACATTGCAAGACCTTTCTAGTAAGTAGCAAACATAGAGACCGTTAGAAGACGAGATGGACAAGCAGACCCGATTACAGACGCTAGAGACGGAGGTAGAGGGGGTCCAGTGCGTGGCCACTGGATCTGTTAAGGTCAAACTGTGAGAGGTGCTACTGAGATGCACGCAAAGAGCTTAGCTGACCAGGTAGAGAGAAGCAGAGGCTGAGAGACAAACATACGGAAAGACTGAGCATGTAACTGAGACATATGACCACGAAGTTCAGGGAGAAGGAGTCATGTAGTGTGTCATATGGCCAGCAAAGTTTAGGAAGACAAGAAATGAACCAATGCAGCTAGATATACGAACATGCCGGAGACAGTGAACCCGACAAGCGCAGAACGTAGCTTCCACTTGACAACGGAATACATTGTGTGAACAAAAGAAGCAGTGCAGTATTTCCTGATCACATCGGACTCATTTTTGTTTGCTGCTTATTTTTGTAGACGTGCAGTTCGCAGAGACTGCGCTGCAGCTCGTCATTAAAATACTTCAGCAGCACCGGTGAGGATAACGCACATATAAATTGGCTGCACTTATGCAGAATTAGTGGTACTAGAACACAAACGAAGCCGAAGCACGCAAACAGTGAAGATAAATTTATTGAGAGCACAGCTTTAGAAGGAGAGTAAGCGGAATAATTCCTACGCGCTAAGCGTATTACTGTCGCCGTAAGGGGCAACTTATAACTCACGCAGTCGCATTGGATAGTAGGAACAATAACGGCAATGTTAATGGTATTGATGGTGATAGCATACACGTTTAGGAGCTGCAGAACCAGCACAAGCAGTAGCAACACTGTTGGAGCTAAAAGCAGCACCATTTCTGACGATTGTTTCTGTTCTATCCTATCCTTACATCTTACTTATGGCTGCAGCGAAACTAGCTCTTACAGCACCAATCGTAGTAAAAGTAGAATCGAAGGAACCCTCTGCGGTGACAATGCTACTACCCGCGCCGACGTGAATCTCGTTTTTGCGTTTTCTTTTCAGGATATCTCTGTCTCGCACTGCGGACTTAGCCTCTCTCACAGCTGCTCTGACGACCCGCAGCGAGTGGCTTTCAACGGCACTTTGCCGCCTCCGTAGCGAAGAGGAATTTTTGACTGCAAGGGCCGCACTGAAACTGCTCACGCCTCAGGAGGCCCTCAAGCTAGAGAATATTCCGTATGATAGGGAAGCAGTGCAGGGGCAAATGCTACTAGTCCAAGAGGCATTGGCGCTTACAAAGTGAGATGCGGGTGGATGCTTCTGCCATTGTTGCCTAAATAGTGCCGAGGAGCCATACTGCGGGTTTGTCGGCTGAGAGGGAAGGGATGCCCTGTTGGCACGATGCAGTCCCAAAGCCACGTATCTGCATATACATGTGAAGATGCTCAAAATGAATTGCTGCGGTCCTCTCCGCCCCTGTATGCTTTCTGTTCTCTTCAGAGTGCAGCACCTCATCCCGAGCAGCCAGCAGCAGAGGCAACCACAACAGCAGCAGCAATCGGTCTACCAGCAGCAGCAGCCACAGCAGCTGCAGCAGCAACCGGAGCATCCGGCCCTTGCTATGTCTGCAGCACATCCAGCTTCTTCACCCCTCAGCCAGCCACAGCCGCCTCCACCGCAGCAGCAGTCGCAGCAGCAGCCACAGCAGCCGCAGCAGCGGCAGCCACAGCCCCTGCAACAGCAGGTTCAGCAGCGATGCACCCAACAGCAGCAGCCAAACTACCCACTGCAACAACAGGCCTTCCTGCAGCCTCCACAGCAGGAGCAGCAGTACCCGCAGCGTCAAGGGAATTCCCACGGGCGAAATCGCAGGAGTCACAGCCGCTCCCGTGGGCAGCGACAGCAGCAACAACAGCGCAGCAGCTCCCCGAGGCCCTGGCAAACTCCCCCAACATAAGAACGCTTGCCGGTGAAGCATGCACGTCGCTGCCACAACAGCAGCAACGGCAGCAGCAACAGAAAGAGCAGCGGGACCTTTGCCTCTTGGCCGCTGCTCTGGAGTTATTTTCAGCTCAGTCTTGGCTAGTGTTGGTAGACACAACGAAAACCTTTTGGCTGCGTAAAGGAGCTACACTTGCTGCTGCTGCATGCGGTGCAACGCTTAGGCTTTAACAGCAGCGGCAGCACCACTGGAGTGTGCGAGGGGCCACAGTAGCGGTAGTAGCGGATGCAGCTGCTGCAGCCGTGTCTGCAGCAGCCGCGGGATAACAAACGTATTTCGTTAGACCCTTGTCGTCACCCTGTAAACGCACATATTCCGAATACTATAGCTGAAGGACAAGGCCACTGCATGCTGCGGTGAACATACAGAGGAGATGAGTCTAGCAACTGCAGAAAAGCATCTGCTCCAGCATTGTACTCCCATACGAATGCAAATCATTTTAGCGTAGTAAAACCCCTAGCAACTGCAGAAAACATATACTCAAGCATTGTATTCCCATACAAAAACAAATTATCTTAACGCAGAAAGACCTAGCTGTGTGTGTTCCATTCCGCAAATGTTCTGATGCCCTTGCATACAAACAGCTTCTGTGCGTAAAGATGAATGTAATGAAGCGCTTGTGCATGTATGTACACATGTATTAACGTACATTTGTTCGCATGTATATATACATACAGGGAACACATGCAGTGCGGATCTCCAACCCTAGACGGCAGGAAAAGCCAGGCCACGCGTTCACATACTGGCAACGCAGTGCATCTGTTCAGACGCCAAGCATATGCAAAAACTACAAGTGCGCATACACATATTTTATGCGTGTATGTGCATAGGCACGTACATACATGCTCTTGTACAACCAAGCATGCACCTAAACAGATGCCAGTGGATGCGCTTGCATACAGATGCGAGCATGGGTAGACGCGTGTAAATTGGCAGATACAAATACGCTTGCGAGAAAGCACATAAGCGCATCACACGTCAATAGTTGGTCCTCACCTCGCGAACAAAGACTTCAATTGAACGAGACGAAAAGAACCGGTACAAAGTGCAGACGGAAAGTAATTTTCAATGACAGCACAAGCCGCTCCACAAAGGAAAAAGTGAAGGCGGAGAGACGAAGACACACATACTATAAAAGATATGTTGGCAGGGATGGGAGAAGACAAACGCAGATATTCCTCGTCCCCAAAGCAAAGAAGACGCCAGTGTAGACGGCCTCAAAACCGCGAGCCCTAAACAAGACACTAAAACTACGCATGTTATTCATTTGCTTGTCTCCCCGTTCCTTCCATCGACCTTGTTTGCACTCCTCAGCAAGAGAGGCTGTAAATTTTGACATCCACTCTCAAAGCACGGCACCCAAACTGCGCGTAAGGTTAGCCTGCCACGGCTCTAGAAGGTGATACACCATGCTGGACCGCAGGCGACATGTTAAATTTGCAAGCACGCTTGCACCCATCTATGCAGCTCATGCTGCTTGGTTCGCGGGCTGCAAAAACAAAAACGCTGTGTCCAGTTTTACATTGTCCTTTGTTCCTGTCTTGTATTCTGTCTTTGATTACACGACGACAGAAGGCTAAGCGGTCGCTCCCCGTCTATCAGTGAGGAGGTAAGACAGCAGAACCAAGACCCTCGCCTTTTCCCCCAGCTGCCGTATGTTCACGCATGCAGCTGCACTGCCGCACCTGCTACTGCAGGAAGCTTAAGCAAGAGCAGCCGCAGAAAATGCATGCGACTGAAAGAATGAAGGTGCTTTGAGGCCTTTCGGTCAGCAACATTTGCTGCTGCGCAATTTCTGCAGGCGTTCAAGACTTAGGTTTTGAGGTGGTCGTAATCTATTACAGCAATTTCTGGAAATAATTAGGGGCTACCGGTTTGGGGAACCTTTAGCGCTTAACCTAAATACCAAGGCCCCTGGCTCTGTTAAAGTGCCTAAAAGGTGCTTGGGAGCACATGCGACGGCGACTGCGAAAGCCGTTCCCTACTAGGGTTCGTCGGATGGCATGAATTGGGGTCTAGAGTTTAGGTCAGGAAGGGAAAGATGACACTGCGGAGTAAAGGGCTCTTGTCTGTTCTTCCGCCTTGGCAGTCAGTAGGCTTGAAGACAAGTCGGCCTCCAAGGGCTCCCCTATGGCCAGCCCTATGGGGGAATAGTTGCAACTCCGCGTCTCCCCCAGCTCCTTTGCAACCTATAGTAAACATATTCCCCAACACTTCAGGCACCAGTCGAAAACGCATATGCGGACACAGCCAAAAACAAAGAGCTAACGGCAAAAACCAAGAAGGCACATGGGCACAGGCACAAGCAGACACCATCAACGGATAGTGAGCACAGTTGTTAAGAAGCACTGAAAACGGAACGACGTAGATGTAGGTGTGCAGGACTCCGTGAATACACAAAGGCATGTAATCATACGCATGCATGCTGATACATACGGGTGCGCGGAGAGATACATGGTTGTCTTACATATTCATCCTTTAATAAGTCTGTACAAGTATTAAGTAAGTATGTACTGAGCATCATGCACAAGTGTAGACTGAGAACTTGCGGATATGCACTCTCACGCATATTCAAAGCACACACTGGAATGAATAAGATTAGCTTGCGTGTTCATCTCTGTGTATGCGCATCTCTATTCTTTATATGTACCTCTTTAGGAGGAGGGCAGATAGGCGCTGTATAGACGGCCATAGGGAAGAAGAGGGTCTTGTGGCCTGAGGAATCTCGGGCGCGCTTTGCAAAGAGAGAAAAGGTCTGGACGGTTTTTGCATCGAAAGGGTCCGGTTGTGCGTACACCCCTTGCTGATTGGCCCTATCACGACCCCCGCTGGGGGCTACCCATATCAGACTGCCTCCTTTCTCCAGCAGGTGTTGCAACGCCTGCATGGCCTGCACGTTCTCTCGCCGCTGCTGCTCCAGCCCGTCGGCACCAGAGGACAGGTGTTTCTTTGAGTGCACACAAATCATGTCGCAGCTCATTGAAAACGGCACTGACAGTAAGTCCGAGCGTACCCTTAAGACAACACCGAATTCAAGCACAAACAGTTACACAGAAGTAGGCAGAGATAACAGAGTGGGGCAGGCTGCCCGGCGCACGTTCATTCACAGTAGATGAACGCAAGAAGGGGACCGGATGAGACAGCTACAGACGGACACATACTCACATAGGGGCGCGACGATTTAGCGAGGGTAGCAAAGGCAATTCCAGCCAAACAATCGGCTCATGAAGTAGAAGTTACAAGCAGGGGTCGCGAATGAGGACACGCGACAGAAAATGCGAAGACAACGCGTCCAGAACAAAACATTGTGTTGAACGTACACTGCAGCAGGGCTTCAAGATGGAATTAATGGTGAGTGTCCACTACAACACTTGCAGTCTGCGTAAGCTGTTGTTTCTCTGTGCCCCACCTGTAGCCAGCTACGGCAGTAAGCGCCTCATAAAGATCATTAAATCCTCTTTTGCGGAATAGAAGCCGCGCTAAGAGAGGGTCCGGCTCAGTCTGGTGATTTGAGAGTAGGACGGCGTTGCCCCCAGACCTCAGGTGCCGAGATAACCTAAGCAGAGTCTCTTCAGAGACCTGCAGAGGCAGAGAAATGAGGAGGCAAATTTAGGGACAAATATATATGGAAGGCACTAAAGCACGACTAACAAACGTGCATACGAAAAACACAGAGAGATTCAAAAAGAAACATCCAGCCTGGTCAGAGAGAGAACTATAAGCAGATACGTTCACGCACGTCAAGGCAGACACGCGAAAAAGAACAGGTCAAAGTAAAATAAGGTTAAGTTCGCGGAGTGAAGGAGCAGAGAGGCGTACAAGTATAGCGACTACGAAAATCATTGAAAAGAACAGAGCGCAGAGCAGCCGACAAGGGCACCGATGGGCAACAGCCATAACCAAACACCGAAGGGAGAGACACAACATAGCCAGAGGGGAATTGAGTGAGTTATGAAAATTTGCCTCTACAAAACCTGCTTCACTAAAAAGTACAGTGTGCCATGTACATGCAGCTTGCTGTTTTCCAGATCTATAAGAGGCTCCCAAATGGACAATGACCACTCAGTAAAGTCCATGGGGCTTTTCTGCGCCGCGCTGAACGCTGAAAATACATACGATGAACACCGCATGCATTGCTGTAGCACGCTTCTGCACGTACACACACAGCGGCAGCAGCAGCGGCAGCAGCTTTTATTAGCTCATGAGACAAAAACTCAGCAGCAGCAACTCCGTAGGACAGCAGCAGCTGCAGTCATTGCTAAGTCGTGAAACGTTCGCAGGACGGAGACAGACACACTGAAACAGAAAGTCAGGGATGAGCAATAGAGAAGGGGGATGAAGGAGAGATGCAGATAGGATAACACAAGCAAAGGAGACTCGCAAGATTGCCTTCAGAGGCATCGAAGAGGCGTAGCAGTCGAGACTGCGAAGGCTATCACTGAAGGAGCCATATTTGATCGTTGCTATTGCTATTTCAGCAGCAGCAGCAGGACGCGAAGAAACTAAGAGTTGCGCCGCAGGAGCTACTGTGGATGAGGCAAGATTGACGAAAGGCTGACAGCAGCTTAACGACGCATTCTACAGCATTCGCTTTGCCGGAGATTTTCGCAGAGTTGCAGAAGTCCCTCGAAAATCCAATGAGCTGTTCCACCTGCTGTGCAGAGAGCAGCTTTTGCTGCTTCTGCTGCGGTTGTTGCTGCTGTGTATAGTACAGGCGCCACATCTCCCTTTCTATGACCTCCTTTGCCTCGTCCAGTGCCGCTGCAGTTTTGGGGCTTGCTGCTGACTGGGGGGAAAGAGCAGGGGGCAACCCATAGGGGAACAAAGACGACGTGGTTGTTTTGGCTGCTGTCGCTGCTTTTGCTGCGGCGATGGCTGCAGTATCAGCCGCTTCCGCCGCAGTCATTAAGGCCGCATTTGCAGCAGTCCCGGCTGCTGCAACTGCGGCAGGCCGGCGTCTGAGTAAGGAAAGGGCATCTCCTCTGTTGTCTGCCAAGGAGGCCCGCGTTGAGATCCCCATGAGACGGCCATAGCCTTGTGAGACCCAGGCCGCAGGGAGAGTAGCACTTGCTGCTGGCTGCTGATGTTTCAGCTGCAGCGCGTCGGCAGGGGTAAAAGCACTGAATGCTATAGCAGCGAAGACGCATGTAAGACTGAAGGGTCTCCCGATGAAGAAGTAGATACCCCATGCAGCAGCTCTTGCCGTAGCTGCTGCTGCAGCTGCTGCAGCAGCTGTTGTTGCTGCTGCTGTTGTTGTTGCTGCTGCTTCCGGCATTTGCTACAGATAAAAACGGAAAAGGCTGGCGAGGCGCCCTTCGACTAGGGCCCCCTTAGGCTTGTGCGTCGTCCGCTGTGAGCTGCCAGGCCATAGAACGAGCAGCGCAGCTGCGCGTTGCAGCGCCGTTGGGAACAGCAGATAGTGGGGGGAAAGATTTACATTAAATCAAACAGGCAAAGATACAACCGCACAAGACACTTGAGCCTGCAGCGAGACTGCGGCTGCAGTGTACGATCAGGGCCGACAGACCCTGGTCGTCCCTCCTTATCACGTAAAACAGCCAGCTATACCTTAGCCTGGATTCAGCTAAGATTTATCAATTAGCTTGTAGCTAATAATTCAATTGTACCGATGCTGCTGCTGATGCTGCGCTTAATGGGTACGAAATTGCAGCAGTGCTCCCTTGCGCTCCAGGGAGTGGAAATTGTCTTCTTTGCTGCAATGCTCAAGGCTTGTCTACTACTGGCAACGAAAATTTTAAAATATTAGAGGATGGAGGCTGTATAATTAACACTTTTGAATGAAAATCTAGGTGACCCACGTTACCGCAGGGTCTTTTGCCGCAGGTTCTACGCGTCGCGCATGAGGCCACCTTAGCACAGTTGGTAGTGCGTTTGATTCGTAATCAAAAGGTCGTGGGTTCGATTCCCACAGGTGGCTCTTTTCTTCGTTCAGGCTGTTTTCTTCGTTCTATGCATTATCTTTGTATTTATGTTTCCTTTGAGTATAGTATTTCATGGGTGTGCGCAACGCAAATGCTTATAACATTTTAATGAAAACTAAAATTCTATATTCATCAGCACATTGAGAAGCTGCACAGGAGGAGCTTAGGAGGTCGCGGGAATTCAAAGTAATGTACACCATTCAGTTGATGTTACTTCTCGATTTTAATCACTGTATCTGCTCTCATTAGTTACTCTGAGCACGGAGTAAGAGCTGGCAGCCCGTGAAGCAACCCCACTCATAAACACAGTCGGTAGCGGGCCCCAACGCCAACCTGTGTTCCCGACTAAGAATATCCCCAATTATTTCAAAGTTTTCAACGCTCCTGCTCTATATTATGGCATGTTGCTGGTGCCACCGATGCCTCAGTCCTCTACTAGGGACTTGGGTGGACCAGCTGCCGCAGATAGGAGGAAAGGAGGGTGGCCAGGACAGCAGCGCTGGAAGAATCAGCACGTCCACCAAGACTCCGCGTGCTTCCACGTTTTTGATGATCATTCGCTTGCAGCACTTATATCAGGAGCTGCAACTGCTCCTTACAGATTTCTTAGTCGCCTGCAGCGAGTGTGCACCAGGGACGGCGCCCCCAAAGAACCGCAGTACACTCGAAGTTCGTAGCTCATGCCGCATGGCCATCAGAAAGAACATAGCATGGGGCAGCCAAAGCATGGCGAATTTCCCACCAAGGAATGTGCCTGGCAGCATGATAGCTTCAACAAAGCTGCCAGCAGGAGTCTCACCCACAGTGGGGACAGTGACGGCCACACCTGTTTGCCTCCGACACAACAAGAGGCATCGGCTCCCACTAGTCGCAGCAGAAGCAGCAGCAACAGTCATGATGGCAGCAGCAACAGCAACAGCAGCAGCAGCAGCGCAAGAAGCGCATCAAATGGGGGGTCTGCGCATTCGCTTCCCAGACTTTTAAACCCAGTATCCGGTTTTTCCGTGCGGCGCATTAGGGAGGGCCCTGTCAGCCTCCATTGGCCTGCTACTGCTGGCTCTGCTGCAGCGCGGGGCAATAATCTGCACAATCTTTCCCCCGCGACAGCTGCAAAAGCAACAGAGATCGCAGCTCTAGCTGGTGGTTCGAGGCATGCTGCAGCGATGCAGTCTTTAAATGCTCCGTGGCTTCCATCGAACCCACTGCTGTGCGAGCAGCAGCAACGCCAGTTGCTACGGCTAGAACCTCAGAAGCATGAACTGCAGCACAGGGAGAAACAGCAGCAGCAACGACAGAAAAATACTCCCCTTACTTCTTCAGGAGTCAATTCGCATACTGTCGCTGCAGCGCGTCGGCAGCAAGAGTACCCAAAGCAGCAGCAACAGCAGCAGCAGCGGCACATTGAGCAGACCGAACAGCAGCAGGAGGAACAAGAGGTAGCAACGGAGGAACAGAAGTGCCGGTTGCACAAGTTGAAGCAGCAGCTGCACTCTCTGGGATACAAGGACAATCTGGACGCCAAAAGCTGCCAGCTCGCCTCCCGGCTGCTCTCTGACCTAGTCAAATCTGTTGGACACTTCAGGGCTCTCATCATCAGGTGCACACACACCCGGCAGATGCCTCTGCTGCCATTGCATTCCTGCTGCTGCACTGCCTGTTGCTAATGGTAACTGCACCGCGAAACTTCGGCACCAGCTGCTCTTGTGCTGGTCCTATAGCCAACAGCAAGGTTCGTTTCCTCGTTAGCCGCACATATTGACTGTTCCCGTTTCTTCCGCTGGATGTACACCTCAGGTACAGAGAGCTGCAGCAACGGCTGCGTGAAGAAACCGTCGCTGCCGCTGCTGCCGCTGCTGGCCAGCAGCGGGAGGCAGCAGAAGCAGAAAAGTACAAAAGGGAAGCAGAGGCAGTACACCGACAGCTACGGCAGCAGCAACGACATCAGCAGCAGCTGCAGGAAGAGCTGCGGTCATGCAGAGCGCTGTTGCTGGAAAATAGGAAGCGGCAAATTGCGCCAGAAGCAGCAAACGCCACAGACTGCCACAGGCAGGTCGCTATTGTCTTTAGTTTCACGTAATTTTCTGCTTGCGTTTCCACCGTTGCTGTTCTGTCAACTGCTCTTAGTGTTGGAACGTCTGGAGTTATTGTGACTGTTTCTACTGTTCATGTTGCCGTCGTTAGCCGACCATTCTGTTTACAATTGGTGCGCTAGCCGCCGCTGCTGGTTGCTTATCGTTACTTGGGGAGCTGCGTGCCGCAGCTTGACTTTTCCGGCCACAAGCGCTGCAACTGCCTTAGCCGCAGCCGGTGCCTCGAATTCCAACACCTCACGGCCCTCTTTGGCCGACGCGAACCTCAACTGTGCCGTGTTCGCTGTTAGTCCGGCAGCTGCTGCATGCTGCTGCATATCATAAAGACGACTGTTTGTGCATGCATACGCTGGCGTGCTTCAGTTTACTCACACTCGAGGGAGAAGGGAAACTGCGTAGGGCTCCTGCTGCATTATTTCTTCCTGCTTCCCTGGCTTTGCTGTAACCACGGTTTGCATTAGTGTAGCTGGGGCTATTGTTTTGTGTTTCCCTACTTATGCAGCCATCGTTGCAGTTGCGCTTCTGCTGCTTCATTTCTGTTGCTGCCACTTATCCAGTCTTTGCCGTAATAAATTGCCCTGTCGTAGCACGGTCACTGGTCTTCACATTCTTGCTGGTTCTGTCTGGTCGCGGGGCTGCTGCAGGAGATGCCGCAGGAGCCTCAGAGCTGTTGGAGCAGCTGCGGGATGGGCGCCAGCTGCTGCAGCAGCAGCTGCCTCGACAGCAACAGAACCACGAAAAGGAAATAGAGGAGATGCATGAGCTGCAGAAACGAGAGGATAACGCAGAGAAAACGGAACTGCGCCTTTCGCTGCTTTCAAAAGAGAAAGAACTGAGAGAGCTTCAGGAGGATTTTGATGCGCTAAACGCTAGCCATCAGGTGCTGCAGCATGCATGCTCCCGTCAGTCTGTGTTTCCATTGTTCGTGTAGGCTATTCTCCCTCTGTTATCTACTTGCTGGCGTGGTTTTGACGTTTTTTCTCATCCAAACTATGTTTCCTAATGCCGCTGCAGGCGTTGCGTTCTGCTAGCCTGAAAAACAGGAACAGCAGCAGGTCTTCAGCCCGCCCTACTACTGCCGCAAGCAGTAGCAAAGCCTGCAACAGGAGGTTGCTGCTGCTAAGGAACACTCGAGGCGACGCCACAACAGAACGCCGGCTGCTGCTGCAACGTTGCAACTCCCTCCAGAAACAGCTAAGAGCGGCGCAGGTACAGCAACAGTAGCGGCTGCAATAGTACGGACTACAAACCAGCAAATCCTTTGCCAACGGCATGAGAGGGAGTTCACTGCAAAGACAATCAAATTTAGCAATCGGAGCAGCAGCAGAAAACCCAGGGGCACAGTCGTGGTGTTGGGGGCAGCAAAAGAAGCAAAAGCTGCTGCTATTGCTGCTATTTCACGCTTCCATTCACAAGTGGTGGTGCGCCTTTTCACACCATGAGCTGTCTGTGCTGCTGCTAAACTTACTGTTAGCCGCTGCCACTGCTGTTGATGCTGCTGCAGGCTGAAAAGGAGGAAGTTGCTGCAGAGTTGAAGCAGTGGATATCAAGGGTAATGAATTTTGAGAGCGGCCTTCAGCATGCGAAAGAAAAGTGAGTAAACGATCTAGGACCATTTGGTTATCCGTTGATGTGTCTTTCTCCGTCCTTCATCTTCCGTAAACAGCTTTGCTTACCCTCCGTCCTGTACAGCTTTTACAGCCGCAGGGATCTCCTGTCTACGCCATTCTCATGGTCGCTGCGTTTGTGGCAATGTCTTATCTTGCTAATACATTGATGTTATCGCACTGTTCCATGGTCCACTTGCGAAAGTGTATTTGCTTCGTCTTCGTCTGCTGCTGCTGCATCTATTGCTGCCGCTTCAGGGCGACAGCAGCGGAAAAGGAACAGGAAGTGCTGCGGCAGAAGAATTGCATGGAGAAGATCCAGGTTTGTTGCAGCAGCAGAAATAGCTTTTAGGAATAAACGGACACAGCATGCCAAGCTTAACCCCCTCCATAGCTTTGCTGCTGCAGGCTGCAAAGCAGGAACAGAGGATGCAGCAGCAGCAGGAGATACGGCACCTCCAGCAGCAGCTTGAGGCTGAACGCAAACGCAACAATGAAATGCGGGAAGCGCTTCTCGGACTTCAAGCAGCCAGCAAGACCGCGCAGCGGCACGCTGCCTTGCTTTTGCAGCAGCAGAAACGGCATGAGGAGCAGCTGCAACAACAAAATATGCAGCAGCAGCAGCAGCAGCAGCCGAGCTGGGCTACTTGTGTAAGTCTAATTGCCGCTGCACACTGCCTGCGCTTTTCCTCCTTACTGTGGTTATAATGCTGCGAGTGAAGGCCGATTTTTATCTCTTCCGTGCGATTTGTTGTGCAGCACGAGCATGCTGCTGCCGTTGCTGGTTCTGGTGCTGCTACCAACCCAGCAGAGCCTGCTGCTGCAGTCACTCCGTACGTCTCGTGCAATATCAGGCCTTAGCATGTCTTTTGCACGCAACTCTAGATGTTAAAGCAAAGCCACTTGCTGCGGCTGCTGCTTCTGCCTTGTTGCTGTTGCTGGCGTGCTGTTCCTGTTGATCTGCTAAAACGCAGCTTTTGTTCGTGTTGCTGCTTCAGCAGTGTACCAAAGCCATCCTCGAATTTTGGCACGCCAGTACGTTTCAATTCCTGAGACTTCACAAATAGGACTTGGGAACATAAAGACTGAAGGCTCAGAATTTGCATTTTTTCAATGCCACTTCCACCGCTCTGAAGCATCTCGGAATGACGCAGCTTCATGTTTCGATGCCTAGGGGTTCCACAAGGGGGAAAAGGACACATATGAATGCGTGCGTTGGTTATGTGCCGCTGCCACTGCATTGGAGATGCACAGGCACTCGAGGAGTTTGCTACGTTGCAAGAGGAGCTTGCAGTGAGTTGTTGTGCAACACTTACTGCGCAGCTCACGTTGCTGTTCCTCTTGCGCATGTGCCGGCACTCTTACGATTGCTACTTCTATCTCTGCTGCCACTGCTGCCTCTGTTTTTGCTTTGTCGGAATCGAAATTGATTGTGCTGTTGCGGTTGCCACGTTGCTTGCAGGCGACGAGGCGCAAGCTACAACTTTCAGGTTTGTCTGGACTTCAAGAGCTGGCTTAGCATCATTGGTTGCTGTAGGAGCAGCAATGGCCAGCGCAATTAGTACTACTGCGTTCATGATTGTGGCATTTACTTCAGAAGTAGCACTGCGATTGGAGCAAGAGAAGCAACGCAGAAGCGACGCATGCCCAGCATCTCCTTTAAGGCAACAACAGCAGCAACAGCTGCAGCAGGAGCTTCAACAGCTGAAGCTACAGCAGCAAAAACAGCAGCAAATGGAGCAGCATCTTCGTTCGCAGCTCGAGGCACAGGCGATGACGCTGGCAGAACACCGCAAGACAGTCCGTTGAGGGTGTAACGTTTACGCTTCACATGCTTTGAATATGGATTTGCTGACGACAAGATCTCTCTGTCCGTCCCCAGTTGTCATGTACGCATGCTGCCGTTGTGTGCTGTCCCCACCGCTGCGCAGGTGGTAGACCTGCAGCACCAACTTCTTACAGCCGAGCTTGAAAGATCCAGGAGCGCCGAGGTGAGTAACTGTAAGAAGCGTGCTGCCGTTGGAGCTACTATGCTGAGCTCGGCTACTCACTGCAGAGCTGCTCTACCTCCCACTGTTCTTGCTCCGTTGGATTTTACTAACGTGAATGTTGTAATTGCCCCTAATGCTGCTGAGTCCCAGGCTCACACGCGGGTGCAGCAAGAGCATATTGGGATTCTGGAGGCAAAAGCCCAGGTGTGCCTGTTGTGCGGCTGCTGCTACTCATGCTGCCGTCACTGAAGTTGCTGCATCTGATGCTAGCCTTGTTGTTGTGCTGCTGCTTAGGCTGTGTCCGCTCTAGAGGCTGACAAACGAAAGGCTGAAGAGTCCATCGAACTGCTACAGCAGCTGCTGAAGCAGAGCGAGCAGCAGCAGTGGCAACTGCAGCGACGCGTGGAGGCGGCAGAGGAAGTAGCTGCACAAGTAGGCCCCGTTGGCGTTGTTGTTGTTTTTGTTGCTGTTGCTGCCAAGCTGTGAGCGTCTACAGGCTTCCGTTCATTGTGCTGTTGCGTTGCTAGTTGCGAGCACAGCAGCAACAGCAGCAGCAGCAGCAGAAACAACAGCAACAACGACAGCAGCAAACGGAGGAGCTCGTCGCGCACGTAAGGCCTCGTGCGCGCCCGCTGCGTTAGAGCCGCAGTTGTGAATATAGCCCCACGACGTGCTTCACAATCAGTAGCAGCACCAGTTGCAGCAGCAATTGCTCCGTGTGGCGCCTTGCTGCAGTTGACACTAACGCAAGCCGAGGGGCAGCAGCGTCAAGAAGCACTAAAAGCTGAGAATGCAGCCTTGCAGGTTAGCTAGCAACGGACCCGCTAGCAGCAGCACCATCAGCAACGGCAGCATTTCGACATGCTGCGCGGCAACAAAACAAGGTCTGGTAAAGCTGAGCATATGACTTGCCGTTGCCGCTGCTGGTGCTGCAGACCGAGCTGCAGCAACAGCAGAATCAGCTGCGCAACGCAGCAGCCGAACTTGAAGCTGCAACTCGGCGGTGCATAATGGCTGAGACGGACAACGAGAGTTTAATAGACAAGCTCGATACTCTTGCCGCTGCTCTTGCTGCCAAAGCGGCTGCAGAGGACACAAAATCAACAGCACCAGCACTCACTGCCTTAGCTCCTCTGTCCATAGCGCATCCGCATGAGCCAGCAGCAGCAGCAGCTGCTGCTGCTGCCTCAGTGAGGGGCTCCTTGCGACTGCGCTGAAACAAAAGGTAAATTTTCATGATTCTCACCTGCTTTTAGGGCTTCTTCTCTTCACTTGAGGGCGATCCGCTGTTCTGGCTGGATTGCAGAGGTGCCGCAGCTCGTTGCGTACATACCCAGTTGCGGATTAGATCACCGCTGTTTACATTCGTTTCATTCCAAGTTGCTACTGATACTATTGCTGTTTTAGAAGCCAGTGTATCCCTATACAGACTACGAGGACTGCGAGCACAGTAGTCCACGAAAAGGCAAGAAACTCCACACCCTTTTAGGGGTTCCCTTCCTTCAGAGGCGCTTTTGGCATACTGCAGCTTGTACAGCCTTTATGGCTGCCACTTCTGGCGAAGCCCGGCACTTCATGTTTCCAAGATTTAGCTTGTGCTACGAATGTATGAACTCCTGCCGTGGGCGGTGGGAGGGAAGAGATATGCCTCTCCTACGCAGGTATATATATGAACTTTGAAGAGGTAAAAGCTCAATGTTATATTTACCAGAAAGGCTAGCCTGCGAGGCCGTAATGCCTCTGACACGCCTTTGGGACCCCTCAGAAACACGAGCCCTCTTGGAAGACATGATGTATGTTCCTTCTCGCTGGACTACTATACTCATCGTCTGTCTGAGGATGCACTTGTGTCTAAAACAATAGCAGTAATATATCCCTCATGTATTACTTTATCATGAGATGGGCGGAAAAGCAGCAAAGACGTACCTCCCTACCGCGCCGCCACTTCCTTGAGGACCTGCGGTGCTAGGGCCACTCCCTTCACCCCCTTAACCACTGCAGCGCCCCCTATATTTCTGTAAAAATCAACCCAAATTATCACTAAAAGTCGCTAATCAGCCGCTACCGCTGCTGTCGAACAAGCCAGACATAACCGATACATGCAGGAAGAGGCCCTCGATACTGTGGCTGCAGCTGCTGCTGCTGCTGCTGTTCCACAATAGCAGCAGCAGTATTTTTTTATAATACAATCTTCTGAGCTGAACTACGGGTCTGGGAGCGGGTGGTGCTGCTGCAGCGAGCTGTAACAGCAGCAGCTGCTGCTGCTGTTGCTGCAGGGTTATCAGCTGTCAACGGGGTGGAGCTTACCAAGAGTAGATGCACACAGCCAATGCTGTGGTTGCTGCAGCTCTGGGAAAGGATTGGACGGCTTGGCAGGTAGTGGTGCGAGAGACACAGGCCAGCAAGTAACGCTTTGCGCCTGCTCATGCATCTGGTTACTGCCCCACGACAACAGCAGGAGCGACGAAAATACTATCAACAACAGCAGAGGTGATGTCAGCATCAGCAGTGATCGTGCACGCGAGTGTAGCTGTGATGGAGACACACCAGTGAGAGCGGCTGCTGGGGTCCAGAGCTAGTTGACAGCATGACGCCGATGCCCAACCCGAACGTACAACGCAGCAGCGGCAACAGCAGTGACGGCAACAGTAGTAACAACAACAGCTGCATGTTCAGCATGGCGAAATCGGTCAACAATGGATTAGCTTACGCGCCTCAGCAGGAATCAGGGACTATCACAGCATCTCCTTGAGCAGCTGCTCCTTCTCTCGAGATTCCCAACGTCAACAGCAGCAGCAGCTGGAAGAAAGCAGCGACGCTCCAGTCTGTAGATGCTCCAAACTATAGGAGTGTCACGCAGAACAAAAGTATCAGCACAAACAGAAGTGGGTGCTTTCACCGACGCAGGAGGTTGACTTAGCGAAGTACAGCCACAAGCCTGTTGCGAAGTCAAGTATTGATGAGGCTTCGTGTCGCTCCTACTTCGGCTGTTTCTGCTGCATGTGCTGCACCAGAAATAGTTGATAAAAGCGCTCTCCGCACCATCAAGAAGCACAGGGTACGGCTAGAGCAGCTTACAAAATGGAAACATCACCACAGTTTTCAGTAGTACCAGCGGCAGCAGCTGCGCCTGCTGTTGCTCTCCCAGAAAGCAACATACCAGTCAGACGAAATGCTCAAGATCAACACAGTAAAGCAGCAGGAGTGGGGAAGATGGCAGCAACGGCAGAAACAACAGCAGCAACAGCAACAGCCACCGGTGCTTGCCCACAACCCGAATTTAACCCCTTCTCTAGATGCCCAGCAGAAGGCGAGCGTCCATATATTGGCGCAGCAGTACGCAGTGCGTTTGTTGCGGAGGAAACAGTGGACCCAGTAGTAGAACCGCCTGGAGGGTTGCTTGATCCTGGAGGGGAAATGAAAATTGACGGGGAAGTCGTAGATAATGCGTCAGAGGTGGCTGTTACAGTGACTGGATCAGTGGATACTCCTGCAGCGATGGGAGCGCCAACAGCACCACAGACAACAGCAGTAGCTATGGGGGGCGATATAGCTTCGGCACTTAATTGCATGCAGAGTCTGGAGCGGCCAAGTGCAGCATTGCCTGCAGGAACAGTACCTGCACCACCGACAGTAGCGCCAACAAACCGCCCAGGTCGCCGTCAGTGGCGTCCTTCTGAGCAGCACTGCCAGCAGCAGCAACAGCAACGACAGCAGCACCAGCAGCAGCACTGTTGGTTTAGCGACGTATTGTTTGCTTACAATTTACGTGTCGGGTTCACCGTTCCGAGAGACGTCCACTTAGAGAGCCATCCGCTATCCGTCTACGGAATGGGGGAGTTCAAGAGCGGCCTTTGGGGCAAGGGCGCCAGCAGTAGCAGCAAGACCAGCAATAGCAGCAAAGACACGCGTAAACTTAAGGAGACCCAGCACACAGACAACCAGCTCGCAAACAACGTGCGCTGGTTCTCAGCCTGCTGCAAGCAACAGCAGCAGCATCTCCAAGATGGCAGCAGCAGCAGCAGCAACAGAGCTGGCTTTTTACCATCGCCGGCACAGCAGCAACAAGACGACTGCCTACAGAGCTGCCTATTGCGGACTGGACGCTATGTAGGATTAGAGAATTTGGGTGCCACATGTTATATGAATGTATTTCTACAAGCTTTGTACATGAATGTGCATTTCAGACAGGCTCTGCTGCTGCTGCCCACTCTACAGCAGCTGCGATATGCAGAGCAGCAGCAGCGAGAGAAAGGCATCGTGCATGCTGAAGGTGTCATCTGTGTGGACGAGGATGCTGACCAGCAGCAGAAAGAGCAGCACCAGCAGCAACAGCAACAGCGACAGTTGCGGCAACAGCAACACAGTGTCGTGCACCAGACAAACGAAGCAGAGGCACTAAACCAGCAACAGGCGCAGCAGCAGCAGCAGGTGGCCAGAGTAGACGAGCGTATCTCATCCATCCCTGGGGAAACCGAGGAGGTCAACAACCTCTTTTTCAAGACGTCATTAGCAGCACCAGCAACAGCAACAGGGGCAGCATCATCTGCAGCTGCCGTAGCCACGGAAGCAGCAATTTCAGGCACAGTAGTGGACCTCTCAGGTGAATCGTCACCTCGTGATCAAGATGGGCAAGCAACAATGGGAAGTCAGAGCTGCAGTGGTAGTAGCAGCAACAAGACAGCGAGCCCGCACCCTGCAGGTGCTATAACTGACGCTCCACCTTGGGCCTTAGACGAGGCAACTGCTGCTGCTGCATGCAAGTGGCTGTGCAGCACCAGGTATGCCCTCGTCTCGGAGCTGCAACGAATATTCGCATTGCTGCAATGCGGTGTACAGGCTGCTCTCAGGCCTGACTCTCTAGCAGAGCTGCTTGCAGAGGACGTCTCCTGTCAGGTAGGCTGCTGCTGGTGTCGCTGTTTTTGGCTTCATCATTTAAGGTTGAGAGCGTACGCCAGTTCTTGGCGCTACTGTCTTTGGTGGTGCCGCTTGCATGTTTCGTCTGCTGATGCTGGGTTTGCTGTTGCAGGCCAGTTGGGGCAGCAACTGTTTTCGGGATGTTTCAGATGCTGCCATCGCAATTATTGTACCGCGACATGGCATTTTGTGCTGCGTTCGTTGCAGGAGGATGCAAACGAGCTGCAGCATCGTTTGTTAGAGATGCTAGAGGTTGAGTTGGGGGGCCTGAGCAGCCCCTGGAACTTTTTGCCTTCTCTTTTCAGAGGTGCTCACCTACAGGCAGTATGCTGCCGCAGTTGCGGATACACTGGGCTGCGGGAGGAGACTTTCTATCAGCTCAGCTGCAGCCACAAAAACGAGAAAAAAAGCTTAAAGGAGGACAAGGCGCAACAGCAGGCTTCACCTTCAACAGTAACCGTAGCGCCAGGTGGCGCTGCAGGCGTCGCCACTGCCGTTGGTGGAGGCAGCGATGCACCCGATGTCCAGCAGCAAGTGCACATGAGGCAATTGCAGCAACAGCTACAGCAGCAGGGGCTTGCTGACCGACGCGCAGGAGCCAAAAGGGAAAGAAATGGAGCAGCGAAGGGTACGACTACTCCGCAGCAACAGCAGCAGTTACTGCTGCTTCAGGCAGCAGGAGGAGTAGTCGGTGACATGTGTAGTGTAACTGGCGCTCCCATGGGTTTATTATCTGCCCTGCCACCTCCAGCAGGGGCAGCGGCAGCTGGTGCCGCGCCAGCATCAGCACCAGCAGCCGGTGCAGCAACAGCACAAGTTGAGCGCAGCAGCTGGCGGCTTGGTGAGGACCTGGCTCGTCAGTTTCAACGAACAGAACAGCTACGAGGGGATGCGAAGTATTTTTGCCCACAGTGCGGCGACAAGAGGGAGGCCCGCAAGCGACTGCAGCTGTCCCTGCTGCCCCCTTACCTCCAGGTACAGTCATTGCATCTAGAGGCAGAGGAAGCCATAGAGACTGAATAGGGGTTGTTAACGGACCAACGGAAGGATAGGCTTAGAAGAATATCGGGCGGCAGCAACACGACAGCTGCAGGAATAGACATGGAGGCATCCAGACGCGGGAATTGTCGTAGGGAGTGGGGACAATAGAGACAGCAGCAATTTATTGGAACAGAAGTAGCGTTTGCATGGTCGCTGCTTTTGCAGCTCGAACAATACCACAAGAAGCCACAAAAGCAGCAGCCAAGATGGTTGCAAGAGAACAACATGGGCAGGTGCAAGAGGTAGAGGCAACTGATGGGTGCCATGGGCGTTGTGCTTCAGATAGTGGTGCTGCGGTACAGCATCGACGTTCGAAAGCAGACTGGAGAAGTAGCTCGGCGAAAGCTGCACGAGGCCCTGGAGGTGCCTCTGGTGATGGAGCTAAGAGCTGGGCTTGCGGACAAATGCAAAGTTTCTTGTAGGTGCTGTTCCCGAGTTTTTTGGCACCGTGTGATTTGTCCTCTTCTGTATCTCTGTATGTGGTTCCCAAGCATGGTTTTGCTGTTCTTGCGTTTCTGCTTGCCTTTCTCATTCTGTGCATGTGGCTCACTGTTTCTATTCCCCGCCTTCCTCCGTTTCCTTGCCGCTGCCGCCTTTTGCGGGACGCAATTTTTTGTGAGACTGCAGCCATCCTTGCTAATTTCTTAAGTTGCTTCGGATCTACTCTCGCTGCTACTGTTACTCGTGCTGTTATTTTGCTCATTGCTGCTACAGTTCCCCTGGGCGGCAGCGCGCCTCTGCTGGAGGCAGGTCCACTGGCGAGCTGCTACAGACTTTTCGCCGTCCTACAGCACCAAGGGGCATCTGCTGCATCTGGCCACTACACCGCAATAATTCGTGACGTTAGGTACAGGAGTCAGTCCAGCAGCGCAAGCAGCACTGGAGAACTTGCAGAAGACAGGCAGGCATGCATGAGTGCTGCATCACGCTGTGCTGCCGTTCCCACGGCAGCTACGACGCAGTACGGTCGCTTCTCCCCGCAATGCCAGGGAGGAGTAGCGGATGCTGGTCTTGCAGCTGCTGAATCAAGTACGAATAGTGGAGCGACTCTACTACACGACGCACTGCAGTTTTCTGAACAGAAAGACTGGGAGCAGCATTATGAGCGAGAGCACCATCGGCAAGAACCGCAGCAGCCGCAGGAGGGGCAGCAAGAGACGGACGTTCACTTTGAAAATCCCAAGGAGAACTCAGTGCTCTTTATGCCTGTTAACTGCAAAGAGGCTTCTCAACAAAAGCAACTGCATCAACAGCATCAGCAGTTGCTGCAGCAAACTACACACAGTAGCTTAGGAAGTAACGAGGCAACGAACCTTGCTGCAAGTGCTCTTTCGCTACAAAGTGGCTGCAGTGACACTTGCTGCACGGAGCGGCAGCACCAGCAGGAGGGAATGAATGGGCAGGACGGGTCACCTTGCGTTGTAGCAGCAAATATCCTAATTTCCGATGTTAAAGGTTGGGAGCTGCGGGAGCAGGAGTCTAATCTTTGCTGTTTGGGCGAAGAAGGCCTTAACGGCATCAGAGATCGCAGCAAACCTACGGATGTAATGCTTTATGATACCTCAGAAGCAAACAAAAGCAACGGCGGGATTCGTCGCAGCCGCCGCGCCGTTGTCAGAAAGCAGCACTTCTTTCCAAATTCTGACAGCGACGAAGCAGGTGCCGCAGCTCCTGGGTCTCGAGCGCGTTGCACCACCAACCGCAGCAACATGTGCACTACAGAGGGCCCAAGTTCCGCAGCCGCAATTGCTGCAGCAGAAGCTGCTGCAGCGCGCCTCGCTGCGGACCTCGAGAGCGACGACGATTGGGATGTGGCTGCGACTCATGCTGCTGATGTATTCGACCCGCAGCCCGAGCAGGAACCAGGCCAGCTTCAGCGGCTACTGCAGCAGCAGCAACAACAGCAGCAGCACATAGGATCCGCCACTTCTGGGTAAGCATTTGAGTTGCCCTAACATGAATGGGTGCTCTTAAGCAGCTACAGTCACAGTTCTTGCTGCTGCTGTTACTGAATGTGCTGCTGTCACTGCCGCTTTTGTGGCTGCAGAACAGAGGCCGTCGGAGAGCGTTGGCCATGGGTTTACTTCAATGATAGCTGCGTCAGTCCTTTCGCCTTCCCACAATGCCCAGACAGTGAAAAGCAACAACAACAAGCGTATGAAGGCAGCCTCTGCGGCACCGACGGCGTCCTGTTAGAGCAACACCAGCAGCAGCAGGCCCCTGTGTCATTTCCCTGCAGTCCACCCTTGCAGCAACAGCAGCAGGAGAGCAGCAGCTACTTGCTCAGCAGGACCGTCCACAGCGTGACTTACATAAGGGGAGATATTGTAGCTGCACCTGAAGACCCTCCGTTGCCCCCAGCACTCGAGTCTTTTGTCGTTGCAGAGGTGATTTTGTTGCTTTGGTGCACTTGTTAGCATATTGCCTCCCGCTCGGTTGCCTTTCGTTTGTCCAGATCTAGTTACATTTTTAATGCCGCTGTAATTTGTCTTCTGTATCACCTTGATTGTGCCGTGTCTCGTAGATTTGCCTGTGGTGTCTTTTTGCCGATAAGCTGGTGGTGTGGTGGCGTCCGACCTAGTCTTATTGTTTGTTTGTGCTGCTTTTTTTGGCTGCTGCTGCTAACACTACATTGCTGTGGTTGCAGAACGAGCGCTTGTTCAGTCGCATACGAGAGCAGGAGGAGCGCACCCGGCTACTAACAAGTTTCGTGCTGCAACAGCAAACATTTATCTCACACTTGCTGCGGCAGCAGCTGCCTGCAGCATTGCGACAGTTAGAGCTTCAGCGGCAGCAGCTCGAGGCGCGGCAGGCATTTGATGCGGCGGTTGCTGCGGCGGAAGCAGGGGATAATGCCGCCGCAGACACAGCAGAGAAGCGGCAGTTGCTTCCGTCACTGCAGCAGCTAGCGTTCGTACCCAAGAGCTGGTGGTCTTCATTTGTTAGGGGGACGGACTATCCCTGCGTGTCAGTGCTTCTACCTCAGCACCTCCGACCTTCACGAGACAGCTCGAATAGCAATTCATATTTGCATAGTGCAACAGAAAGGGCAGCCAAAGCTGCGGCAACTGCATCGCCACAGCCGCAGCAGCAACATGATCTGCACGAACCGGGGGAGAGCCTACCCGACATGGACGAATTGGACGCTTCTCTTCAGCAGCATGGCAACCAGCAGCAGCAACAACAGCACAAGAAGAGCACAAGGAAAGGCAGCACTGCGTGGACTTCTGCCGTCTGTCCAGAGGTTCTTGAAGAAGCAGGCGTCGTTGACTACAGCAGCATTCTCTGTCCTCACTACATCCGGCGTGAGCTGCTGGTGCACGTTCTGCTGCTGAACATTTTGCTACTATCTTTTACCTTCGTACATTTGTTGCTTTGGAGCTGCTTCTGCGGACGGCTTCTACATGCGACGCTGGAGCTTCATTTTGCATCTAAGGGCAAAAGTGCTTGTTCTGTTGCCGTTCTTGGTCACATATCTGTAAACGCTCTGGCGCTCATTTCTGTGTGCTGCTGCGGCCCCTGTTGTCTTCAGATCTGAAGCGGCAGCGAGGTGTCGGCAAGCGTCCTTCATTCTGGTCGGCAAATGACAGCAGCAGCAACAGCACTAGCAGCACGGTGGGGCGTCCTTATGGTGTTGACCCGCTTGCAGTCTGGAGTGGGGAGGCAAAGCTCATTCCTGTCTCTGTACTCAAATCTATTTTCACTGCTGTCGGGCTCCGCGCGTCAGTGGAGACGCCGTTGCTGCAGCAGGCCGTCTGTAGCAGGTGCGCGGCAGCACTTCGGGGCCTTGCGGATCTATCAGCCCTGCAACACAGAGAGGTGGATCTTTTTGTCTCAGCTGCAAAGCAGCAGCAGCTGATTGCTTCTGGCGGGAAGGCTGCCACTTCAGTCAGTGATTTTGAGGGTCCCACTTCCATAGTTGCCGCCACCACTGCACGAGCAGCTGCCGGAGGCAGCAGCTATTTTTCACTGACACAGTCACAGCAGAAGCCTCAAGCAGCCTGCGAGCGTACCCAGGAACCTGCAGCAGACGTCCCAACACAGCAGCCTCAGCAGTCACACTCAGACCAGCAACTGAAAAGAACGCAAGAAGAGGAGGAATATGTTTTTGTCTCTCGGCGCGTTCTGCAACACATGTTAGGGCAGCACGCGGTGTACCTTAGCAGCTGCAGCACAGCAGCCAGGGACGGCCCCCGTAGCGGCCCCGTGATGACACTACTAGCCGCTGCTGCTGCGACGCAGCAGCAGCGGGGCTCCCGAGCAGGTAAATGCAAGAGTCGGCGAGTCTGTGGAGAGAGCGCTTTTGCATGGGCTGCGTATGAAGATGTCCGCAAAGAAGTCATAGCAAATCGCGTGTGGCCTCTTGAGGAGGAAGCGTCTGCTACTGGAGCAAGTGCAGTGACAGGCAGGGCCTCTCCTGGGATCGGGCTAATACGCGACACGATTGGCGGTGCGCCTGGTCTTGAAGTGGACTCATCTAGAACCGGAATCGCAACACATGAGGCTTCCTCTGGTGCTGTTGCTGAATTTACGGCTGCTGGCTCTAATCTGACATTGGATGTGTCTGGCGAGCTCCTCTGCTCGCACGGAAATTTGCTTCCGTTGCCACTGCAGCACTCCAAACAAAAATTGTCCCCCAGACTTTTGGTGTGCCGCCCTCCCCGCACTACATTTTTTAACGAGTTGTGCAATTACTCCACATAGTGCTGAGCTATTGCTGCTATCGTTCGAGTTGTAGTACTGCTGCGGCCTTCGTTACCCAGGCGTGCTGCAGTTTCTGGGAAATCAGCTGCATGTGTTCCTTCCCTCTGGTGTTAGTTTCTCGAGTTTATAAGCTCATTTCACATTAGATTTGTCACTGCTTGTGGAGCAGGTTCCCGCCGCTGCACTGCTACGGTATCTCTCGGTGGAAAGAGCCAAGTGGCCACTGCTCAAAGAGCTTGATGTCCCGCAGCCTTTGGCCCTCTCGGCATCACGGCTTGTCCCACAGAGCGCATCGGAATGCACTGTAAGCATGTTTCAGTGGCAGCGAGAATAGCAGCAGTGGCGTTGGCAATATCAGAAGCATTCCGGTTCCGGAAGCAGCAGCAGAGGGCCCAGGCAAGGAGCTCTTGTATGTATGGAATTTGTGGCCGTAATTTTATCTGAGCTTCCTGGCGAGTTGTGATGAGGTGGATGTTCGGCGTAGGAGGTCGCAAGTGTCGCTGCGTTTGACTTTTGTGGTTCTCAGATATGTTTCTCTGAACAGCAGCAACAGCAACAGCAGAGGCAGCGGTGGCGTCATCGCATGCGAGAAGAGGAGAAAGTCCTTGGCCCTGTTCTTGGTAGCCGTTGGACCGTCAAGAGAGAGCCACTTCAGGGAACATCTAAGTATGCCATTTCTGCTGTTGCTTCAGTGGCTCCAATACTGTTGCTGTTTCTCGTCTGGCTGTCCGCACGAACACTTCTTCTTCACAGTTTTCGTGATTTGACTGCTTGCAACTGCGTGCAGTTGCTGCTCGACTGTTCAGCTGGCCTGGTATCGAACAGGTTTTGTTGCTAGTTAGTAACTTGGCTGCGCCAGTTGTATGATTATTGGCACGGAAACGTTGCTTTTAGTGAGGAAATTTAGGTGCCTTTACCTGGCTTGCTGTTTTTTCTGCTGGCAATGCTACAGAATGCATGCGTCTCTTCCCCGAGCTGGAGTGTACCAACTGGTTCCGGAGGTTTGGCGATCTCAGTGGCAGCAATTTGTGGCATCAACTGATGAAGAGACTGTAAGGCACTCGTTGCAGCTGAAGACTGTCTTTTTGCGTTTTTCCGCCTACTCAGCGTTTAACGCTTAGTTGTAGAACCCCATCTGTTGCTGCTGCTTCAATGTTTTGCTAGCATTTTGTGTTTGTCTTTTATTCTGTATGTGTTGATGGCTATCCTCCTCTTTCGGTCGTTTGCTTTGTGAGGTGTCCCGCTTTTATTGAGCCATCTGCTCTGGTTGCCGCTGATGGTGTAGGGTTCGGATCTGCGGCCCAAGCCCCTCGACGTCTCGGCGCTGATATGCGATTGCGCTGTGCCTGGCCTGAAGGTGGATCCAACAGATTCAGTTTTATCGCCGGTAAGCTGCTATGAAGAGCAATGTGTACAGTCTATACACTGTTTCAGCCCGAATTGTATGAGTGTATTGCGGCATTCGCTCTTGAGCGCCTTCATTTTTCTCGCCCTCAGAGATTTCATCTGGCGCGTCTTCCGGATTGCGTTTCTACGCCCAGGCATTCCTTTCTTCGCCGCCTCCTTCTGAGGCTGCCATGTACTTACTGGTGCATGAATGTCACTTCAGCCTTCTGGAGAGTCACGGCTATTACGGCTTTAACAGCGGGGATGCTGTTAGAGCTACCTTAAGGGTTAGCTGACACAAGCACAGACCAACGGAAATTGCACATTTAGAGACCTAGGCAAGCACAACCACGGAGATGGACAGGCGGAGATACGCCCATTGAGAGCCCAGAAGAGATACACAAAGTAATGGAGTCATCAAGTGAAGAGGGGACACATTTGTAAGGGCGTCTGGCCCTCGCTTTTCTTCTTTGCAGGTCTGGTTGACGCCAGCTGGCTCTCGTCACTCTGCCCCGGTCTTTTTCTTTCCGCACCTGAAGCCTTGCTCGTCTTGCGTCAGTCGTCTGCGGATGCAGTCTCAAGGCTTGTATGACTTCCCTGCTGTTGATCTCCCCATCCACCTCGCAGCCAATTGTCACCACGCACTCGTGACTTCGCAGCAGCAGCCCCAAGAGCAGCAACAGCAGCAGCAAAAAGGTAACATCAGGAGCCGCTCTGCTCAAGGATTAAGGCTCTTTTCAAGAAGAATGATGGCCGAGGTCTCAGGGGCCATGCCGGTGAGGGCCCTACCACGCAGTAATTGGGTTCGAGAACTATGGGTCGAGCATTGGGGATTAATCTTGCTATAGGAGGTTTCCTTTTATGCTTAAAAACACCCCTGTGAACGTTCAGAGGTTCAGGCCGCAAAGGCCGCAATGTTGTGCTGTATTCTTGATTCTACTTTCTCTGCTATTCTCTGTATGCTCCCCTTGCTCATGTTAGGACAGTCGTTGCGGCTAGAACAGTGGGCAGTTGTCAGGCGCTCCTCTGACCTAGTAGCGTCACTCTCGCTTGTTTGGGCATGTCTCAGGTCGATTGCGTGGTTGCATCGGTTGTGGCAGCGGTCAGCGAAACCACGGAGTCGATTCGTCGCGTCCGCGTGGCTCTGCGGGTTCCGGGTGTCTCTGTGCTTTTTGCAAAACCAGAAGCGGCTACTGCTGCCGCTTCTGCCAGTAGCTCAGATGACGGCGTAGGCGGAGGGGAGGGCGTGCTGCCAATGACTGCTGTGCAGGTGGTTGGTGGCAAGACCCGATATGTCGAGCTGTCAAACCTCGTGGCTTCAGGTGGAGGCAGCGTCAGAATGCGCCAGCTAGGAATTCGAGTAGATGCAGAGTGTTGCGTACACTACACAGTAGATGGAACTGACCCTGCTCCGCCTGAGGAAATCCTGGGGCAGCAGCCGGAAGTGGAGCAGCAGCCGCTTCAGCACCAGCAGCAGGATGTCGTCTTAGAGGTATCGGCACAGTCTACCAATGATACCAATTGCAGCAATAACTGCACAACCAGTGCCAACAGCCCCCTTGGCAGCAGCAGTTGCAGTAATATTAGTGGGAGCAACAGTGTTACGAACCGTCAAGGCACAAATACCAGCAGCGGCAGCTGCAGTTCTCCTTGCCCTTTCACGAAGCCGGACCACCATGAATGCCAGGACGACGGAACATTAGTGCATATGTCGCAATCGTTTGTTCCTACGCAGCAGGACTAGAAAGAGCGGCAGCTACTGCACTGCTCAGGTCGCAATAGCGGAAGGACTCGGCAGTAAGCAGTGACAGGAATGCCTCACTTATGTGACGTTGAACTTCGTGCACACACCCCGGAGCATCCTGACAGCGACTGTAATGACTGCCATTTTCATTACTTCATTTTTTTGACTTCGGTGGCTATATGTTTGGAAATCATCCATGTTGTTTTGTCACATCGGGCGAGAAGCCCTCAGCTTTCGTTATTCTTTGAAGGTACTTCAGCCATCCACGTTTACCTGCTAGTTGAGTAGGCGTTGGCGTCTTGGAGTATGCAGGACCCTTTATGGTGGCTTTGTTGCAAGTATTTGCAGTAAAACAATGGTTTTTGTCGCATGATCTTGCTACGTAGGATTCAACCAGTCGACGCTATCGGCACTGCGACGCGTAGTTTTTGCAGGGCTGTTTACTTGAAACAGTGAAAGGAGGGACTTCGATGCTACGTAAGATGTAAATTAGGAAGCAGTTCAAGGGAAATACTCTGTTTGAACATACGTGAGCGAGCTAGCAAGCAAAGCTAGGTGTTAGCCTCAATGTGTACGGTTCATTAGGGTTCGTGGCCTGGGCGATGCTGCGAGGTGACTTGGCATAGAGCGTAGCTAAGAGCGAGCTTCAGCGGATCCGTCGCCAAAATGTATGCAGATAACTGTCTTGCATATTCATTAATCGGCAAGCTCTGCAGCGAACAGCGAGCATTTCGCCAAAATTTCCAAGTTCACCTTGAGAAAACGGCAGGGGAACAACTGCTCGATAGTAGATAAATCAAGCAGACCACGGCGGGTGCGACGTTTAGAACGCGGTTTGTTTTCTATGAAATGTCTTATCTAGAGCAGTCTTTGGGGGTTGTACCGCGAGGTTGTGTAGCTACCGCAGGGTGATTTAGTTACGTTGGTTCCACAGCTGGGAACGAAATGCTGCTGAAACATCCGAAAGCATGCTTCTGCCGCAGCCACGTTAATATGAAGGTGCGATTGCTCCGTGAGTTGCCACGGAGCAATCGCACCTTCATATTAACGTGGCTGCGGCACCACAGGCCAATGTTTCCTCTTAAGCTAGTTGGCAGCTGGGCATTATTGCCGACGTGATACCACTTGACCACCTCTCTCCCAGAGAAGGTCTTTACACTGCTGCTACATGCATACCACCCTGGCCTTACAGGTTGGGGGCCTTGACGCTGTTGCAAATACAGCTGTTAACCATACACACATGGCGCACCCCATCCTCCTTGTTCTCCCGTGTTAATAGTATCCATCACTTACGCTGCAAACAGTGGTTCACTTGCCGACTCTTGAGCCTGTTTCACTACGCTGAATGCAGAAGAAAGCAAAGCTGCAATGATGCGGCGCGACGACTCTGGCGAAAGGCCGCAGCAGGACAGCTCTACAGGACCAGCCAACGCAACTGCTTGCGCCGTCGTGAGGGGAATTGCCGCCTACTTCCCATAAGTTAGTGTATACTCTTTACAGATGAGAAACTGGAAAATTATCTGCTGTTTGTGTGTCAGCTACGACGGTGTACAAACAATGCGATCGTTTATGGTGACCGCGTCACACTAGATCCCCTGCTCGGCAACCCTTCATAATTCCAATGCCTGATTCCCGCCTCGTTGCAATTTAGGTCTCCTTATATGCTAAGTAATAGGATGTAGTTTAATTGAGGTACTTCTCGCGGAATTCTACTGAAGCTCTCGCAAACGGCTGCTTTGTCCCACTACAGTTCGGGCTGCAGTGGCTCGAGTAGAAGGCACCGGCGCTTTTGTATCCTTCTTCAAGCCCACGCATAGCTGCCTGTTTTAAGGTTGAAACTTCCCTCATTTCTTCTGGGGCAAGCCGGAGCTTATCGCTTAACTTTTCCTCAGCTCAGTAATCGTCAGGAGCCCCTGTTCATTGTGGAAGTGGTTCAGGCTTATGGTTAGCATCGTTAGCTGGCCTGTGGTTTCTATGGTAATTTTGTCCTAAGCACTGATGGAGCGGAAGCAGCAGCTGAATCTGGTATAGATGCCCTTGAACTTTCCCGTAGCCAATGGAGAGACCAGTGGGCCCCGTCGAGGTCTTCATGCATCAGACGCAGGAGGTGCACTTCCACAGAAAAATTTACACGTGGCCAGGGGGCATCGCCATAAACTGAACTATTATACACGGAAGCAGCAGCTGCATCCGCGCCATCGCAAATCACTGCAGAAGCAGAAGCCTAAGCCACTCCTTGAAAAGCTGTTGTAGTGGCAGCAGCAATATTATGCAAAGGAAGCGGCGTTTTCAATGCCTTTTTTGATTTCTGTGTCAATGAGGGACAATGCGAAAGGAGCGGAGGCGGTACCTGCCAGTTCCATTGCACCTGCTTCCGAGCAGCGCTTGAAAACAGGTGTTGCGCCAGCCTGTGCAACACGAACAGCAGCAGCAGCAGTGGAAAAAACTGCGGCGCAGGCTGCAGCAGCTAAGGCAGCTGCTGCATCAGCAGCTGAAGCTGCGGCTGCAGCCCACATCGCCGTTGCTGCAATGACGACTCACGAACAGGAGACAGTTGCTGACGCCGCAAAAGGTGAAGCAACCGAATTGCATGGGCAGGCAGTTTATTCCCGCCGCAGAAGTGCTGGGGAGGAGGCTGCGTCTAATGCTGCGAAAGCAGCAGAAGAGGCAGCAACGGCAGCAGCAGAGGCAGCACTTGGGGCCGCAGCAGTTGCCGAAGCAGCGAACGTAGAGTCTGAGTACCACACCCCGACACAGCTGGAGGAGTTTCTTGTTTCCCAGGGGCTGCGTGTAGCTGTTGCACTGGAGACAGCTGCAACTGCAGCTGCTGCTGCCGCTGAGGCTGCAGGCCAGGTAGCGACGTCGACAGCTCGCTACGCTCTAGAGACTTCAAGCGGCTCGATTGCTGCGGCAGCCCAGCGCTGTCACGAGGCTGCAGCTTCTGCTGTAAGCTCAGCTTTGTCTGCTCTCTCGGCGGCAGCGGCATCTACCGCTGATTCCATTTCAGCAACAGCTGCTGCAGCACGTGCAGCACTGGAAGAAGTCACAGGAGCAGCAACGCGGAAGATTGTGGATGCTGCAAAGGCTTTCGAAGATACTATTGCCGCCAAAACAGCTGCACTGGAAAGCACGCTTCTTTGGAGGCAGTCTGTTGAGTCCTATGACAGTGAGATGAGTAGCAACAGTAGTAGCTTTGGTAGAAGCAAGGCCCTGAGGCGACGCACCTCATCGCAGTCGAGCAGCAGCAAAGACAGCAGAAAAAGCCACAGGAACAAATCAAAGGGTCGGAGCTCATTACTGCGCTATTTTTCGTCTGACTATGAACGAGAAGGTAGCGAGGGTGGTGCGCCCGAAATTATTTCCAATGAGGATGAGGCAGCACACAGTCGAAGAGGAAATGCTGCCATTGCTGCTTTTCTCGCTGACTCCCGGTACGAAGGTCTCTCACTTTCTTCCGAAATCGGTTCCGGAGATTCCATTGAATGTCAGGGTACAATGGTGCCACTACAACCTCCTCCTGCAGCGGTGATAGCTGCAACAACCAGCGCAACACCAGATGACAGTGTCGATGCCATTGTTGCCGCTGCGGCAGCGGAAGCTGCCGCGTGCGAGGCTATCGCTGAGCAGCAGCTGCATCAACGGCACGAGGCAAATGATTCTCGCAGCCAAGTTGTGTACCGTTCAGAGGATTTTTCCGCAGCAGCTTCGGAAGTAGCACAAGCAAGAAGACCACCATCGCGGCAATTAAAAACGAAAGCGGCACCTCCATCCAAAGTAGCATTACCAGTAGTACCAGCAGGAGCCGTGACATCAGCGCCAGCGGATTTGGAGACACCAGCGGCAGATGAAGACAAGGAGGAAGGAGTGGTTCCACAGAAGGCCGTGCGCAAGCAAGTAATGCATGCGTCCGAACCCCCACAAAGCGCTATGGATGTGCAGGATTACGAGCATCAGACGAGAGAACAAGTCCACAGCGCAGCGGGACTGGAAGACAGGAGCAGCTGCATGAGTACCCGGGAGTGGCGGATATTCAAGGTTACCGAAGACGCGGCCACCAGCGCGCGTAGCAGTTGTTGCAACAGTAGCAGCGAGCAGTGTAATATGAACAGAACCACAAGGTGCTGTGAAGTTGCCACCGATAGCAAACGCGAACCTCTTGGCGCCCACAGAAACGGACTGCAACTTGGGGTCGCATGCAGTGACAGCAGTAGAAACAACAGCTGCAGCTGTTCATCTCTTCTAGAGTGCTCTCTCGAGGAGTTTATGGATTGCTGCGCTTCAAGGGAACAAGACCGTAGTACCTGTAGCTCAAGCTGGTGGAAGGACAGCGGTAGCGGGGATCCAGGCCTGCCGCTGCTCAATTTGCAGCAGCGCTGGACGCCTCGGCGTTTTGCACCCGAAGCTTCTGTGGAACAAGCCTACGTTGCTGTCGATGCTGTTGCTGATGACCAAGAGAACGACGCAGAAGCAGCAGAAGCTATTCGTGGTCGAATAGGCCGAGCGCTGCTCGAGTGCCCTCATTTTTCGATGCCGACGATAGCCCTCCTACAGCAGAGCAGCGGCAGCAACAACAGCAAAATATTTGTCGAAGATGGGCATGAGCTAAAGCAGTTTTTGCAGCTCTTCCCCTTCGCATGTGTGCCTCTCAGTGATCTGATGTCGCTGATTAACTATATGGGGGACCCACGAGTTCACGTAAGTTGATGGTATTGATTTTGTGCGCAACAGTTTCTTCCTTAGAGACGCCTGTGGTAATGGATTCTTGTGATTTTTTCTTGCTTTCCTACTGCTGCCGCCCTTTAGTCGCTTGATTTCCCATCTTTTCTCTATGTGCCTTCATACACCACGGTTTTGTTGCTTTTATGTTCAATTGTGTTGCAGACGAGAGTGGGTGGACTGGAGATTACGGCTAGTGCATTGGAAGACCCTATGAGTTTCACACTTCTGGCAGAAATGCTGCAGCATTTGCAACAGAATGATTTGCTGCCCTGTTTGTTTCTGTTGCGTATCACGGGTTACAGCAATGCAGACCTCCGAGCTTGTATGTCTCCAGAGCAGCAGCGCCGGATCTTTGAGCTACAACAGTCTGCCTCTGGCAAAGATAGGCCTCTGCGGAACGACAGCTTGGCAGCGTTCGCTGCCAGTAGAGCTATGGGAACATCGGGAGTGCAGGGTCCCATCCCCACCAGGAATAGCCGCTGCAACCGCGTTTATGGGAATACACGCTCAAGAAGCACAAGCTCCAGCACCAGCAGAAGCAGTACCAACAGTATAACGAGCAGCAACAACACGAAGCGCGACGAGTGGGTAAAGCAACCGCTTTACGTGCCTCCGATGCAGCTGCAGAGAAGTTTAAGATCGCTCTGTCGTCTGCTGCCGCAGTTGCGGCGGCTTGAGCTCTTTGCTCCCAGTGCGCAAACACGAGATGTGCCAGAAGGAACAGCTGTTGAAGCACGTGAACCATCTGCAACAGAACGAAGGCACCTTGCTTTTTCTAAACTCAGTCGAGTGTTTGATTACATCAGCCCTTTCGCTGTGCTGGCTCAAGCCATGCGTTTCGAATTGTTGAGCGTTAGGGTAACGAAGCTGCTGCTTTGTTGCAGCAATTGCTGCGGTCTCCGCGCTACAGAAGATGATTGTATGAATGCTGGCCATCGAAGAAACCCGGAAAAAGCCATGCGGCGTAGCAGATGTCGGGGCAAGTGCTGTAGTAGAGCTACCACCAGCAACGTCAACCACTCGAGCTGCCGCAAAAGTAAAGGATGCCCTGGAGAGCAGCGCAGCAGCAGAACTTCCACTGACGACAAGTTCACAAGCAGCATAGCGGAGCACTTCAGCGAGTACGTAGCCAGCAGAGAAGACGCAGGCCTCGTCGAAAGGGAGTCGTCTGCTTCTCGTATTGAAGAAGCTGATCGCTTTGGAGGGGTCATTAAGAGGACAGTTTGTATGTCATGCGAAGTTTTGGACGCTCCTATATATGTTGCTTCTGCCGTGAGTGCTTCGAGCAGGAGGCATTCGTGGCAGCGGTTTGTGCTTGACTCCGTCGTTTTTTCGGCGGCGAGCCAAATTGACATTTAATTATACCGACGTGCAAAGGAAGCAAGGTGCAGCCAAACATAATTTCACCCGCAGTTGCGTTGAGGCGGGGGATGCTTGTCTTTTCTATACGAGAATGCTCCACTTCGCCACTCTTTGCTTTGCACATTGTGATGGTTTTATCGGTTGTAACATTTGTCGGATATAAGATCTAACCATCTTCATGTGCCTCCAGTCATCTTTACCTAGAGTGTTCTCAGATTGTGCTTTTGTTCCTCGGGTTTTATTGCAAAACTACTCTTCGAGCTTCCATGTTCCGCGTGCCGGGCAAAGGGAGAGCGCTGTGCTTGTCTCGCGGTTGTGTTGAGAGCAAACATGAATCTTCTCAACTGTGTCGCAAAGGGGCCTCTTTTAGAAACAACGTGGGCTGGTGATAGCGAAGCTGCTCGGCGTTTTCCCAGAAGGGCCTTTATCCGCATTGGTATGGTGTTTCTTGATGTACCGCGGGATTTACGATTGTGCGCTGCTGAAGTTCCGGGCTATGCTGCCGGGGACGCGTTACGTGTAGCGAGCGCTCAACGCAAGAAAGTTGGAAGTAGACTTCTGCACATATAGCTACGTGGTATTTGATGAGTGTCAGTTAGGGCCAGTTCTTGTGTAGATTTGACAGGAGCTTGAAGCCGCTGTTAAGCGAAATGGCTCTTAAGAAGCCCAATGCAACGAAAGAAATCCGGTTCCTTCGTGCTTGCTTGTTTCTAGGCGTCGGACTCAGAGCTGTCGTCGCTTTCATCAAAGCTCTTGATACCTATTGGCACACAATCCACTCCAAATGCTGTGCCTTCATGTGGGCTAGCATTCAGTGATCTTCCCTTTACGTCCCCTCTTAGTGTATCCATTAGCGTACTTTTCCCTGCATGCGTTCAAATCTACTACTTGGCAACTTTCAAGTGTTGCTGCCTATACATGTCTGCTGTGTCTCAGTTCTTTACTCTTAACTGTCTTCTATGTTTCTGTCCGCTTGCTCGTCTCAATTTAACTCATATCTGGCTGTCTATTTGTGCTTCTCTCTGCTCCCTTGCATCGGATGGCTTTTTGTATCATGAAGCAAACTGACCCAGCTGCTCCCGTGCTTCCTTTATTTTTTTCATTCTGGTAGTCTCAGCCCTGTTGAGGGCCTTGGATGTTTTCAGAGTACGAAGTGCGTCATGTCGAGCAGTCGCCATTTTCTGTAGACGCTGTAAACGCATAGGCGCAGAAAGACTCAAATGCGTTGGCAGCCTCCCTTAACACGCTTCCTCCAAATGCAGTTGTCTCTGATTATGGGGTGGAACGCTCATCTCTGTGCAACTGCGGCTCTCCCTTAATATTCCCATTAGTGTGGGGCAGACTTTTGCCACTATTTTTCAAAAGCGCCTCAGGAAGGATGATGAATATCTACAGAGAATGAGTGCTAAATTTTCACAGAACCTGGCAGAGAAACATCTTCTGGTACGCAGGTAAACATGAAAACAAGCAGAGGAGAGCGACGACACATACGACAGCATAAAGTTAGCATGATTCCAAAATTTAATATAGAATGATAAAAAGTAAACTCACTAAGCATTATATTCAAGGTCTGGCGTTTCTTCCTAGGTTCCCAAGCTAACAAAGAGCGCAATATATGTGGTGCGATTCTCACTGACCTCTCTTTGCCTCCTCTGTGCCTCCTCTTTTTCCCCCTCGGAGATTTCGGAGACAGAGGCAGAGTCTCCTTCGCTGTCATTCTCAACTTTCTGAACAACGGGTTCAGGCTTCTTGCGAATGCACTTGTTGCCCATCCTCGAGAAAGGTTGCGAGTACTGTGAGCCCAGGTGTTGGTGGAGGGAGACAAGAGTTATACACACAGAGCTGTGCGCGCGCCTTAAATTTTAATTTCTAGAAAGGACTTTTAGTGCTAAGTCAGTCTAATGAGAAAATGACAGCAGATACGTAATCGCTTGTAGACAGTGCAAGTCGGAAATAGCGCCCTTTCAGCGAAAAACGAGCCAGATAGCACGGGGAAAGAGGAAGCAATAAAGCAAGAAAAGGGGAAAATTCAGGCGAGTTAGATAAAAACAGAAAGGAAGGAATGGGGGGAAGGACTGGCTTTGGAGCCCTATCTCGATGCAGTGCTCGTTACCGACTCCCAATTGACCGCTGGCACTGATAGAAATGCTGCAGCTGCATCAGGGTACTAGCCAACTCAATGAAACTGTTTAAAAAAAGGCCATCACCTTATATGCCTAACAAAGAAAAACAAAATAGGGAAATGAAGAGGGGACGGGCTGGGTAGCGTTATGGGGCCTCAGGCCCGTCATTGAACAGGAGGGCCATTTTGCAGGAAAGGCGATTTTAGTGGGACAATTCCATTTTGTGAACATTGAATTCAATGAAATATTGGTGGAAGTGTGCTTTGAGTATATTGTATCTTGCGGCGGTGCTGCACCAGTTGAGCCTAGCTAGTTCGAGGCGTCTTGCGACTCCTTTAAAATGCGGGGGGCGAATAGCAGCTGTAGTGTTCCTATTCGATGAAATTGGTTGTTCTTTGACTTTTGAAACTTGTCTTCCTCAAGCGTGCTGTTCTGTGCCATGCTTTGCGGTGGCACTGCCTTTCTGACGCTGATTCGTGTTAACGGGAGGAAATATTGATGGCAGACGCAAGCGCCAAGCTTACATCCATTTGTTAAAGAAGTGTATATTGCGAGCTTGTGTGCATGTCTGAGCCAGTTTCCATGAACTTTTATGAGTGTGGAAACGTGATCCCTGAGAATGCTAGTCATCTTGTACCAGACAGTGCAGACTGCTCCTGCGCAGCCTGTACTCATAAATACGGCCTCCACAAATTGCTGTTCCAACTCACTCTCTATTGCCACGCCTTTGGGGGGAAATGCTTTCTCTATGTTGGAAGCTTGTCTACGCTTGAGCTGTTTGTCGCCTATGTGCTGTAGTCACCCCACATAGTGTGCTGACGCCGCTCATGTTGTAGCTCCATGCTGCCTCTCTCTGCAGCATTGTTACCCCTCAATGCATGTGAAGTTCATTCCACTCGCTGACAAACACTTGGCATAATCCATTGTAGTAACTCTAGCACTTCTCGGCAAACAGCTTCCCTTGACTTGTCTCAAATCGCTGCGATAAATTATTGATGGAGCGTTGGTGGATATCTCGTCAAAATATTGTACCTATGACTTGGCTGGCCTCTCACCAGCAAACCATTTGTGCTGACTTGGTCGCTGTCTAGAGGTGATTAGAGCTAGGGACAAAGCAAAAGCATGCGGCTGATTCGTTTGCATTGGCACAAAGTGTGTCCAATCGATGCTTTCCGAGCAAGTTAGGTCTATGCAACCCATCTACAAGTGTAACTCTAAAGAACCTGAAGTTCGAAGTAGTTATTGACTTGGCCGGCCTCTCACCAGCAAACCATTTGTGCTGACTTGGTCGCTGTCTAGAGGTGATTAGCGCTAGGGACAAAGCAAAAGCATGCGGCTGATTCGTTTGCATTGGCACAAAGTGTGTCCAATCGATGCTTTCCGAGCAAGTTAGGTCTATGCAACCCATCTACAAGTGTAACTCTAAAGAACCTGAAGTTCGAAGTAGTTATTGTAACTTCATTTTTCTCCTTAGGCGCTCCACACGATTGTTTGTTATGTCATAGAATTTGACGGTCACAAGAGGCCCCCTTTTTTACGTGCCACTATCGTACGATATCTTTCATTGCGGCATTCTTCTCCAAAAACAACAGAAGTACAACATACACACACCATCCCAGTGTCTGACGCAGCAAAGTGCTTTTATCAGTTCTGCGGGATCTTCTTTTCGTCGTGGAAGTGTCTATTTCTCCACCTTCGGGCGCCAAGGACATCCTTCTGCATACTTTAATGACGTGGAAGGGTACACAGGGAAATCAACCCCTACAGTGTTCTATTCGATGTTTCTGGTGCACTTGGTGTGCGCAAGCGTTCTGAAGGACCAGGAAAGGGGTCGAAGTCTTTCTAATAGCTGAAGCAACTGTCTGTGTTTGTCGCACCCAGGATTCTGCATCAATGGCTCAATGGTCTGTAACAATTACACTAGGGAAAACTCATGCGATGTTCTGTTTAAAAGGGGGACTCCCAAAGCTTTGGCTTTGAACAAGCCATTTGTCACATGAGACCTCGGTCCCTTACGCTTTTTCCAAACTTCCCATCGTAAAATTGTACTTCATTTTTGTTATATCTTCCAAGTTTCTGAACCTTGTCAGGCAGTACCCCCCAATGTGTGGTGTCTCCAATCGCAGAAACAAGGTACTACGCTCAGAAATGTGATTGGCAACACTTTCAAATGCCCTCCGCTGCCCGTAAAAGTACTCTTCCGCAGGCCGCAATATACCAGTTGATTTCCTATGGAGTTCGGTGATATTGAGCTTACACCTGATTTCCTGATTTTGGGCTGTCCAAGCATGTTCTGGAGCGCAGGCTGAACGATGGGCTTCTGAACATCGGAAGAGCTAGATATCACAATACAGGGGCTTTATGTGCTGAACGTCTTCCCTTTTCCTCACAAGAAATAAGAACACTTTCTTGCTTCCAGCCGTCTTTCGAGAGACGAAAATAAGTCGTGCAATATTTTATTGTTGCAGGTGCGGAGATCCGCGTGAATATTAGGCAAATCTTGAGGCTGCAGTGTGTTTGCGTCCCCTCGCATAACACGCTGTTAACCGCATGCCAATTCACAAAGAAGCAACAAAGTCGAAGATAGTGCAACCGTCCAGCAGCGAAACGTCTCTATCCACTTTTCCTCAAGGCGATTGCCGTCGTTACGGAAAGTGTGCAAGCTCTCAAGAATCGTAATACCTGGACCTGCTGTGCCAGCATTGAAATGGGCAAAAGCACACAAGGAGGCACACCACAGCCGTTCAGCACGAGGTGTGTTCCCGCGGCAACTTGGATGTTTCGATTTACCTTAACTGCTCCCTAGATGGCAGGGCTAATGCCTCAAAAGACCCTCAGTTATTTTGAACAGAGGCATGGCAGCGTAGAACCGCCGATTTCCTTTCTAATCAAACGCGCTTTAAGATAAGAATGAGCTGTAAAACTTCAAAAAGGGTTGAGGCGAAAAGTGCACTCAATCGAAGATCATGTATACGAGGTCTGGAAAGTTCCTGATAATCTCTAAAGCCGTGGTCCTTTCTGAGTTATTTGGCTCCAACAGCTGCAAAATAAGCATTTTCCACCGAAATGGCACCTTGTGAGCTTCAAGTTTAGGAATAAGCAGTCTAGAGCGCGTCCCTTCGCTCAGCAAGTTTTTGGAAAGATGCCATGCTCTCTCTCCAAATGTGCTCCCTTCTACTCTGCCATATGGTTCCGTCTCCCCTGTGTACAACTCGAAAAGGAGGACACCTAAGGACCATAAATTCGACTGAGCCTCAGGAGCAAGGCCTATGGTGTTGGACTGCAACACCAACTTCGGCTCAGGATAATCTGCCAAGGAACTGGAAAATGTGGCCACTGGTTTTCCAAAAGGACTGGCGCTGTCAAAGTTGCCTAATAAGAACGAGCCATCTTCTTGCAAGAAGAAGGAACCCCACTCAACGCCGATGTGGCCAACGCCCGACTGCTCCAGTCTTAGTATTATATGTAACAGACGGAATGCAATGTAATCGCGTGCTTGTGCCATTACATCGACATCCGCTGTCCGTAGATGCAGAAGGCTCCCATGAATCTTTTCTGTCAGCTTCACATCATTGTAGATGTACGCCCACTTTCCTGAAAACAAATTCTTAAGACCGTCAATACGGCCTGAGCATAACGGGACTACAATGCCCTTGTGTGATGCTGCATGTTCAGCTGAAATGTTCCCACAAGCCTGCATCGACGAAAGCTTCTCTAAAGCAACCGCCTCCTCCATGTTTTGCAGAAATCCCTCGTCTCCAAATTCCTTGACCAGTTCTTTCGCAGTCACAGGAACGTGCAGAGAATAAACCCTTTTGCTCATGACATCTTCGACGTGCATCACTAAACTCGCCCCATGAACTCCCGCCACTCTTATAACGCGCACCGACTGGGGTAGTGCCTCAGTACAACCTTTGCAGTTTAATGGCACTGTATCCCGCAGTTCAATCGTCATATCTGTCAAGGAGTTCACGGTTCCGTTAGAAATTGCTCGAGCGAGAATGCGTTGATAAATCTTCGCATAGTAAGAGATAGGGCTGGAGGCGTAGAACTGAGCAGCCCAAGCAGCAATCGCCTCTTTGCCTTCTCTTAGCTTTGGGGGGAGCGTATTCTCAAATTGCTCAAGTGGTGGTAGGCCCCAGGCGTCGTACTTCAGCAAACGCCCCGCTGATGGAACCTCTGAAATGGAGGCATTACTACAGTCAGCAAGTTTGTCTTTTGAAGGCACCTCAACAGGCGGCAGCGCAGGCTGAGTTCCTTCTGACTCTAAAGACTCTGAGGCCGAATTGGCGCCATTATCATGCTGGGGTAGGATTTCCTTCCGTACACCAGATGGCGTGTGCAGCACAGAAAGGCTAGAAAGACCTTTGTTTTCAGCTACGCCGGCTGCACTCAAGAACGAACTATATAGATCACGCACAACACCGCTTCGAAACACAGAAACGAAAAGCAAAGCGGCTATAACAAAAACCTGAGCAGAGCGGAGAAGCCGTTTGGGCCGCAAACGAGGAGCTGGTCGATTCTCTGTTTCTAGACCACTGTCTAGGAGCAGCGGTTCTGTCTGCAATTCCATTTCCGTTGCAACGAGATCCAGCTCCCCTTTCATCGTTGACAAAAAAAAGTACAGTCCAATAAACTGAAATAGGATTTTTGTACGAGCTGAAAACCAAGCTACGGGGCGGAACAGTGTTACGGCTGCCGATGCATCCGTAGTGGGTCATGGCAGAGCTATGACCGTTCGCTGCTGCAAGCAGCAGACAAGCGATAATAGAGCGTGTAACTATGACAGAGCTCAAATAAACACAATGTTATCTAGCAGTTGGATTGATGCTGCTGCGTCTATGCGTATGGGCGTATCCCCCGACATACTGTAGTGAATGTACCCAGGTTGGTCCACAGGCAAATGCCACTACACCCTCCAAAGTGGTTACCTTCCTATGCTAGATTGTTACATAGTAAGCCTCAGCTCATCCGAAACGAACCGAGATACATGGCCAGAATGGAAGTACCAATTACTTCCCTATCATGGATAGTCGGTCTCTGCAAGGGTTGTGGGTCTTCTCTGCATGCTGCAACCAGCAGCTGTGCGCTTTTACTGCAAATAAGAGCATTAGCTAGGTTGTGATCCCCTTCTAGGTTACATTATTAGCTCCAGCTCGGGGGCCTGGAGGGAGAGCGCGCATCGTATGTTGCCTCGCTAGAATTAACTTTGGCTTCCCCTCGGGCAGAAAAGGCAGCAGTACGGCAATCCGGCGAACAGATCCTACATGCACGAACTAAAATCACACGCTGCCTCTGCATTTTCCGTTCTGTAGGGGTCTTTCCGTCGGCCACGGAATACGGGTGCCGCTCGTGTCGGCGCCCCTCAAGTGTTAAGCTGTGCTAGCGAGCCTATGATATTATTGGAAGCCTCCTGAGCGCTAGCAAAATTTGCAGAGTTCTTGTCAAATTCACGATGTGCTGCTTTCCTTCAATTTGGACAGGTCCTAATAAAATTACGATGCATCTGTTCCCATGATACGACAGAGCTTGTCAAAAGACAATTTTGGGAGGCACCAGCTCTTCTTGTTAGCACTTCAATACACAAGCGAAGCACTTGCAGAAGAGTAAGCTCACATATCAAATCCACTGCGCTCTGCTTAGCTGCAGTTGCTACGATTCCTCCCAAGCCAGAACCTAATGCTGTAGTTGGTTCTGGGTGTTCGGGCATGGACGCGTTGCAGATCCACCACGCCACAACAGAAGCTTTGTGCGCAAATTTATGCGTCTCAGCGGGGTTGGTCGGGATGGGCGTATATGAGTTCCGGAAACTCTCTGACTATATCCGTGCCGCTTATTCTAAACTCTCTGCATGGCTCTAATAGCCGCAGAATCACCTTTTTCCACGGATCCGGCACGTTCGACGCCTCTAGTTTTGGGAGCAAAACGTCCGACCGGACTTTTTGTTCCAGCATAACTCGTGCTAACTGCATTCTCCGTTCTGTCCAGGTCCTTCCTTCCACCACAGCATATGGGTGTTCCTCACCTGTGTATAATTGGAACAGAAGGACACCAAGCGACCACAAGTTCGTACCAGCTTCAGTGGTAACGCCAGATCTTCTTGAAGAGAGTATCATCGAAGGCTCTGGATAATCCGACATGGAGCTGAATAAATTGCCAGTCGGAACTCCAAATGGGCTGGCACTGCCAAAGTTTCCCAACAGAAAAGAGCCATCTCCACGTAGAAAAAATGAACTCCAGTCAATCTTGAGGTGCCCTACTCCAGATTGCTCAAGCTTAAGCACTATATGCAGTAAGCGGGATGCGATGTAATCACGCGCCTCTGTCATGACGTTTGGGGCTTCCGACCGCAGCTGAGCCAGACTTCCGTCAACCTTCTCCCCCAACTCTGTGCGGTTAAAGATGTAAAACCCTTCTCGCAAATGCAGCTCATCAAGGGACTGCATCTCAGCAGTGTAGAGTGGGACAGCGATGCCCTTCTGAGAAGCTGCCTGTTCAGCCGAAACGCCACCACAGGCCTGCAACTGTGCCTCCACAGCAGCATCTGCCGCACGTCTCACCTCGCGCAACGCGTCCTCACTGCCATGACTGCCGATAAAATCTTCAGAAATCACAGGAATGTGCACCGAAAAGGAATTCCTGGACTTACAATCTATGGCATTCACCACTAAAGCTCGTCCAGCAACTCCCACTACTTTGACAATGCGGATTTTGTGAGGCTGAGGCCTATTACTACTGCTCCAGTTTAGTGGCCATATTCCCCGCAGACCTATGGTTTTTCCTACTAGGGAGTCTTCAGTTCCATTGGAAATTGCCTCTGCAACCATACGTTGGAGAGCCTCAGCAGATTCATTGGCATTATCAGATGCGTAGAATTGGGCGGTCCACGCAGCAATTGCATCTTTGCTTCGTTGAAGCTGCGGCGGGAGAGCGTTTTCAAATTTTTCTAATGATGGCACGCCCCAGATATCATGATCCGGCGTGTGCGTGCTTGAATCACCACCTAGCAAAATGGAAGCCCAAGGGACACCAGGTACGCCTTCAATGAGCTGCACAGGGGGTGACGGCGCCTCAAAGTCGTCAGCAGGGCTAGAATTGTCATCTGGCTCCACTCTTTCCCCAAAATCTTGACTAGGAGATACAAGAGAACCAGAATTGGTAGAAATGTGTTCAGCGTCAGCTACTGCAATAACTAAAGCTGAGCCATTCACACGTGGCGCCAGGTTCCGACGGATTAACACAAAGCAGATTAATCCGGCGACAAATGAATATAACCATCGCAAATAATGTTTTTTTGACCGAAAGCCAAGCATCTGATGCGAGTCTGCTATTGGGTGCACCCCACGCAGATCCAGATCGGTTTTGACCCTCGCACTTGCGACAGAAGCATTCTGCGTTTCATCCATCCTCATATACAGAATGACCAAATTCGAGCATTAGGATGTCGAAAATCAAGAAAAATGACAGTCAACACGCATTTCAATAATACTGCGAAAAGTTACGGATATTTGGGGCTGCCGATCCACGATCAGTCGTCGCTCACGCCAGTTTGGTAAGCCGTGTTTTCGTATCAAGGCGAGATTCAAGCATACACTTGAGTTAATCCAGCATTAAAGTGATACTTCAATCGCAGCATGTCCAGAATTATGAAGATAGATGACTGTACACCGTCCACACTTAAAACGTGTTGCAGGCAGGTCCTATGCATGTTCGATGCACCAGTGCGTTGCATTCTGCCGTCCATTGGATAACTTTCTACGCAGGACAGTGTCAGCTCAGTTTGCGAAAAAAAAATTTCAGGGTGAGGCAGATCTGCTGTGCCTTTGGAACGGCATTGTACCCGAGGTAAGAGTCGTTACTTATGCTGCCTCCTTGTCAGCTGGCCAGTTTTAATAAATGTTGCGTTTCTGTGGGAAAGTTTCAAATGGCAAATTTAGCCTCCGTTCTTATTAAGTGCAGTAAGACAAGCGACATTTGAAGAATTATTGGAATACTTGCTTCAATTTGGTGCTTGGTTTCCTGCGCAACCCATTCCTAAATTACAGCACACTGGAGCGTCCTTCTCTACCACTTTCTGCAAGACCTCAGTTGGTCGAATTCCTCAGAGACCTCTCTCAAAATATCTATCTCCTCGCTTCACAGTTCCAATCCCAGTACAACCGCAGCATTCCGCAATACTGAACGGCATGTGTCTTCAGCGTATGCGGGCCTCAATGCATCACTAGCCGTCAGTGTTGTGTCCGGATATCTTAAATCGGAAGCATTTCAACATGAAGTATGGCATTTTGAACGGCTGGAGCCTTTGCACGGCTTTTCACGGGTCTTCGTAGAAGCAGAAAGTCGACGGGCCAGCTTTATAGCCAACTTAAGAAGTGCAAACTAAGGAAAGAGTGCTCGTAAGTCGGAGAGTCTTATGTGCACCCCGGTATGTAATAGTAGACATTTTAATGCCGGGGAACGCTCCCGTGTGCACTAGACACTGAGCAAGCAGTAAATGCACACACTCGAGCATGAAACAAAATTTAAGAAGAAATAGGGCAAAATCTCAAATATGGTGACATTTGCATAGCGCCATGTATATGGCCGGTAATTTAAGGTCAGCTTACGCCCCGGCTACAATGATTGGAAGGCGTCAGTCGGCGGTGCCCCCTGAGCAGTGGTTAAGGACGGTCGCAGTGTCGAGATGGTCCGTGTCTGAGGCAGAAACACAATAGCTATGCCTGCACCCGAAAATTCGACAACTTTACACTCTATAAGCCCTTAGAGTCCCTGCATATGGCGCCGTGCTCCTCAGCCAGAAACTAGCGTCCTATGGAACAGATTTAAATCCGCCTAGGGGAAGTTATTTACCTAATCTTGATTCCAGTTGTTATGCTCGCTGCGACATGAGGCGGCGCCTATTTTCGGGCTTCAAACAAGACTGGCTAACAAACCACAGGGGTTGCTGACTGAAAAGCTTTTTGGACACCCGGCGGAGGCGGCTCACAGCTTCACGCTGCAAGCGTTGCTCGATGATTGGTTCCTCGTTCCTTTTTTCCTCCAGACTGGCCTGCATAGCTCTGGGAAATTTTATGCACCAGTGGAGGATCCAGAAACCTTTTTTGAAACAACAGCGTCGCTAAGCTGTTGTTCCAGGGCAATGCGACAGGAACACACAGCCCAACCTTGGCCGAGCGCTATAATACAACTGCTACGTAAATATCACAGTCCACTAAATTCGGCTGCTTAACGCCACCACTAGCATGTGCATATAATTCCAAATAACATGCAATCCACAGCAGTTCAACCCCTGACTCCAGACTTCCCAAGGGTAAGCTCCTGAAGCTGCAAAGTTGTGACATCCTGTTTCACGAAACATCTATTTCTTTCCATTTAAAAGTACAGGCATGTTTCCATGCGACTCTTGAGGCGCAGTTCAAATGTGCAAAAGAAGTGAATTGCTAAAATGAGGGTCTTTGCAAAAAAACAAAGACTAAATCAGGCGCTGCTGCAAGTCTCCAGCTCCCACCACAGACATGGTGGATTTAGCTCCTGGTAGTTAAGGTTTTGAAGGAACTTCACCGAAAGGTGAAGCGACAAGGAGTCCAAAAAGAACTGCTCTTAGATAGCATATCAAGAAAAATGACTAACACGCGAATGCGGATGGGCAGTCCGCCTGACAAGCTATTGCTTCTTGTCAGCTCGCATGCTCCTACTTACCTGCGCAGTTACGCGAACGCGAGATCCGAAAGCTGCAACGACTTTCAGACCATTAGGACGGAAACGTGATGTACCAAGGCGAGCATCTACTTTGGCCTACCAAAAAGGCTCGCACCTACAGCACTCGCGGCAGCTGCAATTCGTAGTACGTTGGCTCAACTTCAATGCAGCTACTGATGATGGAGTTGTAGAAGATCCGCAAATTCCCTTACAACCTCAAAGCCTGTTATTCTATGAACGGGAGACGGTTCCAATAATCGTATAATTAGTTGTTTCCATCTAGTTGGGGTCTTTGCGACGTCTAGCTTTGAGGCCAGAACCTCAGAACGCGTACCCTCTCTCACCAACTTTTCGGAGAGGGACAGTGCTTGCTGCTCCCAGTCTGCTGCATCCAATGACCCAAATGGCTCTGAATCGCCTGTGTAGAGCTCGAAAAGAAGAACACCTAGGGTCCATAAGTTCGATCCAGCAGTGGGAGCAATACCATTATCTTGGGACTGGAGCACCATGTTTGGGTCTGGGTAATTCGAAACTGCGCTCATCAAATCAGACGCCGGCTTTCCAAAGGGACTGGCGCTCACAAAATTGCCCAGGAGAAAAGTGCCGTCATCTCGCAAAAACAGGGAACTCCAGTCAATGCTGATGTGGCCAACCCCCGACTGTTCGAGCTTAAGGACTATCTGCAACAACCGCGAAGCAATATATTCGCGAGCTTCCAGCATGACACTGCTTGCTGCGGATTTTATAATGCCAAGGTTCCCCTGGAACTTCTCCATCAGCACTACGCGGTTGAAAATGTAAGAGTCCCGCGCACTAAACGCCGGATCCATGCCTACTATTTCGGTGCTGAATATGGGGATGGCGAAGCCCTTCTGGGCAGCAACCAACTCTGCTGGAAGGTTGCCGCAGGCCTGCATTGATGACTCCGTCTGCGCGGTAGCCGCCTCTCTCACCTTGTGTAGAAAGAGCGCGACGTCCATATCTTCAACCCACTTCTTGCGAATCACAGGTATGTGGAAGGTATAAGTCTTCCCACTGAGGTCTTCCGCATGCGCGACTAAACTCCACTGTAAGACATCCACTACTTTTGTGATGCGTAAAATTTTGGGGCCAGCCTTGTCACTCCAGTTTAGTGGACGTGCATCGCGCAGAATAACAGTCATTCCTACCAAGGAATCTGAAGCGCCGCTCGATAAAGCCTCTGCAAGAAGGCGCTGCGACTTATTGGCACTTCCACTCAGGTAGCGAGAGTTGTTGAAGCGTGCCACCCAGGCAGCAATCGCTTCTCTGCCTCGTCTCAGCCTCGAATGAAGTGTGCTTTCAAAATAATCAAGAGAAGGCAGTCCCCATGCATCGTTTTGTGGGGCTGGGTGCTCTTCTTGGTCGTACAGCCCTTGAGATCCGGGGGACCTACTTGACGTGGATTCCCCGAGCTGACCCTCAACAGATGGGGCCTCAGAGTCATCTAGAGTGGAAATAATTCCCTCTTTCTGACCATGTTGATGCTGTGAAGTTATCAGGACGGGGTCAGAAAATCTACGAATGAGACCATCTGCGCCTTCTTGATCCAAAAGTGAATCATTCAGCACCAGGTTTTTACGAAATATAGCGAATAGCACGACGCAAGATGCAGCAACAACAAGGGACTGTAATGCAGCTCGCTTCAATCCCGATCTTGAGACACCTTTTCGACTCCCCACCTTCGAAATCTTGTAAGCTAGCAATGGATTTTTTAATCGTGCTTTGACATCTAAACCAGCAGGCACCTTCCTCTCGTCCATTCTCAAAAACCAAACGGATCCGACTCAGAAAACCTGATGGGAAAAGAAAACATGTAGTCTGCAGTTCTGAACTACGGGAAGAAACAGGTTTGCGGGGCTGCCGACACCTGCTCCAGCGCAATGGTGAAACGTTCCCAAAGGAACACAAGCTCTGTTCTTCAGGGAGACGATGTAAATGTGTCTAAGTGTGAAGAATGAGGGTTCAAATCAATTAAGCATCATATATACACTTTGCTAGTGGGCAGGGCCACAGAATCATACACACCAGATGCAGTCTTTTGCCAGACGTCGTGCTCCACAGGAAATGTTCGGAAACGGAGACTTTTGCGGATGGACTTGGTTGGCCTACGTTGAATTTACGCCACTGCAAAATGGATCCATATGCATTTTGGGCTCTCACTGTTGGTTTAGCCTCTGCTATGCAATTCTTTCTTGTTCCTGTGATCGCTCAGTAAAGCCTGTCTTTGCCCCACAGGGGTAGTTAACTATCCGTGGAGGCAAGACCAAAGTTAATGGCTCCGAGAGGCCCTTTATACACTGTTTCATGTTTTAGAAAAAGTGGGAGAGAACAGGAAGGAGTGCGCCCCAAAGTACAGTCCTGCTGGCTGGGGGCTTTCACTTGGGATTCACAGATGGGGCCTAGAATACAAGTATGGCAACTCCATAGCTACATGTAGCTTAATCTAGAATATTTTCAATTCATCAGATGCCTATTGTGATAGAATGTGCTATGTGGGCAAGACCAAGGAGTATCAGGTGGGAAAGACCGGGAAAGGCACAAACCCTGGTTTCTCAACGGGAGTTGAGTATTGGAGCAGCCTTTCAGCTCTGTAAAGAGGAGCATGGAGCTGTTACCTGCTTCTCTTCACAGAGCGTGAGCATGGAGCTGTTACCTGCTTACTTCAGGAGCCCGACCAGGGGTTCCTGGGAAGACCCAGCATACTGGCCTCCTGGGAAGACACACGCCAATTTCAGGTATCTTCTACCTCCATAGAATAATGGCACATTTTGTCTCAATTGAGATTTCCTACGTATTACCTGAGTAATGAGGTGCGTTTCGTGAAAGCCACCCACCATACTACACTCGAAGCTTTCTCATGATTGCCACATGCTCCTATTGTCCGGCAACACCTCAGCAGCGTCTGCCACCTATCCTGTGGAGGCCTATCCTCTTACTCTTCATAAACAGGGGAAAGCTGGTTTGGTCGTAAGTGCGTAAATAGGACCCGCTTGTTTCCCCAACCTAAGACTCACAGTATCATGGTGATCTCTGACAAATGGAAGATCAGCGGTTGACTTACAAGCATAATGCTCCCACGATCTTCTCCGCCATCCCGGTTCCCCTTATTCGAACGATACTGAGAGGAGCAAAGCACTTCTTTGGCTGAATTCATCAGCAATTTTAAAATAGATGCGCACTGCCAAGGAGGAACGATGGAAGGTTGACTTCTTGTCCGTTATGTTTTGTTCCGACCACAGCGTGGAGCATTTTGGTTTCAAGGACACTCCTCACGCATTTGAAGCGAAGATTAAAACATGCCTCTAACATCCATTCCCTTCCCATATCAGGTTGTTCTCCCCTACCTCAGCAATGCGCTTATATACGTTTCTGGGTTTGCCCAGCACGCTAATCCACTCAAACATTAATTTTGTTCTAAGCTCCCGACGTGCAAGAAATTGGTCTATCTCAGTCCTACTCTTAGCCCTGAAATGAGCGGAACCAAGCGCCCACGTTTCTTGCCAAAGTGAGCTTCAGCTGAACGGGTCTTTGTTTGTGTTGCTCGCCTCATACTCGGAGAGGCTCACTCTTTCATTAGGCATGTTTTATACTCGCGTACTACGAAGCCGTCGGAGGCGCGTAATTGGCTGCACAGTCCCGCAACCTCTCCACTTGGGTTCTTTTGAGGGTGGCTGCTGTTCACAGAAGGTATATTTAACATTTGTAGGAGCGTTGCAGCCCACCTCATTCAGGAGTCATTCAGTGTAGATTGCACGTAGTATTTGGCTTGCTTGGATGAAGACTGAAATATCACCCTCTCGGCTGTCTCCTTTTCCCACCAGGCACCCCATGTCAGATGCTGTGGCAGGGGCAATGGATACTGCTGTAGTGAACTAAGCGCTGCTGGGAGCCCATGTGCCTCTTCTGTTGTGGCTGCACAGGTTCATTCTGATTACTACTAAATAGAGGTTCATTCTGATTACTGCTAAATAAAGGTAAATGAAGGCACTGGAAAACATTGCAAGATAAAAACAATATCAGGCGTTAGGTTCTTCACTAAGCTAGTGTATGGATTGTCGTTATACCTATACTTTGCAGGCCCTGCTCTCGCGAAACAGACAGCACTCCATTAAGCGTTGGTCGGTGAAGGCCCCGCTGGTCAGCTAGAGGCGATGTTTGTGGCTGGACGCATCTCATTTCTAAAAAAGGCGTGTTTCGTCACAGCAAAGTTTTCAGAAACTGAATTTTGGTAGATTATAGCAAAAAATGGAGATTGCTCAACGTAGCGATCAGGATATAATCAGGGACAGTTGCGATACTTAAGTTGGCCACCGCGAAAGAGAGCACCCTCAACATTGCAATTTTCGGCGCGTAGTACAAAAGGAATGCCTGGATTGTACAATGCACGAAACTAGCCAGGGAAGTAGATTTGCGCGTGCTCGGCAATTTGAGAGATTTTTGTACAAAATTCATAACCAGGACATTTGTAAAACGTGGGGATGCGCATGTGCACCGAGCAATCTCGTACTTTGGTAGCTATAGTGCAAGGTAGGAGCTCGTTGGTGTGCAGCAAAGGATCAACGGCGTTTCCGTTGAAGAACTTGATCTACCGTAGAAAAATGAAAAGATATACCTAGGGCTTGAGCACGTACCGTCCTTCCTAAGCAGGCTGCTGCGAACGGCTTGGTAGTGCAGATGTTCTGGGATCAGAAGGACAATGGAAATCAGTGCAAACTGGGAAGTTTATAATTCGTGCTGGCTTAAAAGGGCTGGTCGTCGTGCCGAAGAAGGACTTCGGCCGTGTGGCGCATGACACGCTGACTCGTGAGGCTTTCGAGTTGAAAGGCGGCAAGCAGCCTTTACAGGACAATGTCAGGAGTCACAAGATGAAAGCGGAAATGCCAGAAGGGGTAGACTAAAGAAGAACTTGCAGAGTAGAGGGTTCCGTCCTACTCGGGGTGTGTTGGTGATCGTGCATGTAGAATTCAGCGGGGTTTACGCGCTCACCTTGGTCTGTCATATGCGTCTTAGTATATAGGAAGGAAGTCTTAGAGAAACAGAAAAGTAGCCAGTGCGTCTTAAACAGCGGCGTGTAATGAATTATGCTGAAAGCAGGACAAACCATTTGCGATGTCCTTCAGCTTTGTGCGGATGACCACTCATAATTGTGGGGCACGCAGCGTGGGACTTGGCCTCATATTGACGTAAATATGGAGCAGGGAAACTCAATGGTGTCTCTTCTACTAAATGAACAAACCGCCGAGCATAATGGCGTACGGTGGGTGTCCTGGATTCAAAAATTTACCTGGAAATTTTTGTCAGGCTGGTTGCAGATTCCAGGGAGTGTTACGCTTGAATATATGAACTTCGAAATATCGTCAATGGGGGTTAAAACCTGCGAAAATTTAGTGGCTTGTGCTGTAAACATTCAGGACTGAGGTTCAATCAAATTCAAACCTTAGCAGCTTGCAAGACGCGCCATAGCAGCTCGTTCTCACTCTTAGCCAATAACCAATTTTGTTCGTCTTCAGAAATTTATTGGAATTCAGAGCGATATGACTTGTTAAGTTATATCCGTAGGCGTTGATCGAGGGTCGGCTTGCTTGATGAGTGAGTACGCGGAAGGAATTCAGACCCCACGACATCATCGAAAGTAATGTCTGAATCCTCGAAGCATTCAACCTTAAGTCCATAGCCGGCAAGGATACCAGCAGAGCATACTAAGTACATTTGCTGCCAAATTTATTCGTACTCTCTCCGAAACAACGGAGGGATCACGCGCCTCTGATTTTGTTAACTTTACGTACTCTAGGAGCTGCAGCATCGCCCAGTCCCACGATTCTCATTCCCCCCAAAACAAAGAGAACGTAAAGTGGCATGCATTGTAAATTTGGCAGCAATCGGAGGATTTGCTCCAGACACGATTTGGCTTCAGTGCTCGAGCAGCGGAACTCTTCATTGGTCTTGAGTGTCATTTAACTTGAAAACCCTTCCATCCCATGAACAGCAAACCTCCTTGCACCTTAGCTTTCAGTCTCATAAGGGGTTCTCACGGGGAGATGGCCTATTTTGCAAGTTGCAGGCTCTTCTCCTACTGAGTAGTCGTGCATCGCACTCCCAATGAGCTTCCAGTGGCTAGAGTTTTTGCCGGTGATTTCCCTGAAGTCCAATGATGTCGGCTAGGGTCACAGCTTTTCAGGAAAAAATGGTGGGTTTCCTTTTGTTTTAAGTTTGAGGTAATGTAATCTCTGTCGCCGTTGCTGCTTCTGCGCAGACAGCAAATACGTCCGGCTGCGCGCGCACTTGAGTTAATGCGGCGTGTTATCACATTAAACCAAAGAGAACTCATTCACATTCACATACAAGAAATTCAACGGTGAGGTAATCCCTGTGTTGGATAGGCTATTTCGTTTAATATTTTCGTTGACTGCGCTCGCCGGGTATGACTGGGCTCCGCTGGTCTGGCGTTTCGTTTCAGTAACGCATACTACTTTGGGGGTATGCTGTTATGTCTCCTTCACCTTCTTTTCCCGTCTTATTTTTCCCTATTTCTTCTCGCAAGTGGGCCTCAACTTGCAGATTTGCCTTCGGTTTCCTTGTCGCGAGACCCGTTCGTTCATGTCCACTGTGGCAGCCACGCTGAATAATCAGCAAGCAAAGCTGAGGAAGTGCCCCGCTACTATCTGCGCCAGGAGCCTTTCCTACTACCTCAAGCATTTGCAAAGGCTTACGATAGCCCCGAATGCTGCTTGTCCAGGTCATGTTTCTCCCCGCGAAAGTG